CTAGGCACCCTGGAAATCATAACATGGCAAAGCCAGGAAAGAGTCGCAAATTGCCCAACCTATGCATGGTAAAATTACAAGAAAAATTACTCTGGGACAAAGGCATGACGACCCTAGCCTGCTTATCCTGGCTGCAGAACAAATGCTGTTGTCATCCAGTGTTTAACTTATGAGGCAATAATGATTACTTGTAATTTTGAGCCTGCAAGAGCTAAAATAATATCCTGTATTTCAGACTTGAGAGCACAGCTGTCTCTGAAGGCTTCTTCTGTACATGCCAATATAATAAAAGTTTGTACATTATAAAAATTCAACTATTTATTAATATTCCAGCCTGATTTGTAAAATGTATGTAGTTCAAAAACCTCAGTAGCCTGGGGTTGGTCTCTCCTGACTGGAAACTAGCCAGTGTTATTCCAATCTACAAGAAGGATGTGAGGGAAGGCCCAAGGAACTACAGACCTGTTAGTCTAACTTCAGTTCCTGGAAAAGTTGCAGAGAAGATCACACTGGGTACTGTCAGAAGGCATTTAAAGAACAATGCAATCCCCAGGCACAGTCAACACGGGCTCACAAAGGGAAAATCCTGTTTAACTAATTTCATATCCTTCTATTATAAGGTCACCCACCTGGCGGACGAAGGGAAGATGGGACATGGAGTTTGTCTGGATTTAAGTCAGGGATTTCATACTGTCCCTTACAGCATCCTTCTGCACAAGTTGTCCAGCTGTGGGATGAATGGATTCATGGTGTGCTGGCTGAAGGACAAAGTCCAAAGGGTTGTAGTGGGGCTACATCTGGAGGGTCAATGGTCACCAGTGGTGTTCCTCACACCTCATTCCTGGGGGCCAGATCTGTTCAATATCAGCAATCTGGATGCAGGACTTGAACACACCATTAGCTGATGACACCAGCCCGGGAGGTGCTGTTGACACTCTTGGGGGACAAAAGGTTTTGCAGAGTGATGTCAATACATTGGAGCTTTGGGCAATGATTAATGGGATTAAATGTAACAAGTCCATATGCTGGTTTCTGTACCTAGGACAGAGTGGGAATAAGTATAAATTGGGAGAGGAGCAGCTGGAGAGCAGCCCTGCAGAAAGGGATCTGGGGGTGCTGGTCAGCAGCAGCAGGATCCGTGTGAGTCAGCCAAGTGTCCTGGCAGCCAGGAGGGCAAATCCCTTCCAGGGGTCCATAAAACAGAGCATCACCAACCTGTCAAGGGAGGGGATCATCCCTTCCTCTTTAGCACTGGTGCAGCCTCACCCTGAGTGCTGTGTGCAGTGCTAGGTCCACAATTTAAGATGGATGTTGAGGTCTTTGAATGCATCACTAGGAGGACAGCAGCTGGTGAGAGGGCTGGAAATCATGTCCTGTGAGGAGTGGCTGAGTGCTCCAGGCTTGTCTTGTTTGGAGAAAAGGAGGCTGAGGGGGGGTCTCATTGCTCTTTGCAGCTTCCTGAGGGGGGAAGTTAAAGATGATCTCTTCTCCCTGGAATCCAGCAATAGGATGCGTGGGAATGGTTCAAAGCTGTGCCATGGAAGGTTCAGACTGGACATTAGGAAAAGCATTTCTTTACTAAGAGCATGGACAAACCCTGGAAGAGGCTTCCTAGAGAGGTGGCTGATGCCCCAAACCCATTAGTGTTTATGAGGTATTTGGACATTTACTTTAGTAACACACTTTAACTTTGGCTCAGTTCTGAAGTGTCAGGCAGCTGGACTAGATGATCAGCATAGTTTCCTTCCAAATGAAGTAGCCTATTCTAAACACATACTAATATTTCTCCTATAAATGCTACTTTTATGCTCAAGAGACGATGAAATTTGCCACAAAAAATGAAACACAAGGGTTGTTTTTCTTAAAAAAAGACATGAGCACCTTTCTTAAATCCAGGGGAATAAACCCAGTCCCCAGTCCAAGGGTTTATTCCCCTTGGAACATACTCATCAAATGACCCAGCAAAAAACTGTGCTATTGTATTGACATGATCAGCTTATGAACAGAAGAAAACAAAAATCAGTCCCACAACATCCTGAGGAACTTTCAAAAACTTCCCAAGTCATAACTTGTCCCAAACCACAGGAACAAAAAAAACCTTCAAAAAAGCAATCCAACAAGAAAACCAAACAAAGGCCAAGTCTTTTGCTCTACTACATAAACTGTAAATAGCTAAGAAAGCCAAGTAAGCAAAACCAATGCCAGAGCTGTGGTAGCAGGAAGACAGAGGTAGAAGAGAGATACAGAAATGTCTTCATATGGGTGTTAAAGCTCCTACCACATCAACAGGCCACAGTATCCTGGAAAACTGGAAGATGCATGAGTTAAGCTGACCGTAAAGGGACTTGCAGTTGCCCAAGAGAAAGAAGCTGAAGAAAAATATACAGGGGAGAAAGACAGCCTCCCAAATTAATGTTTTCCAGTGTCTTATCCTTACAGATTCCAGCCAGCATGAAGAAAATGTCACCATGGAAGAGTATCTTCTTGCAACTTCCCTTACTCTTCAGCCTGGGGGAACGCTCAGCTGTGCACTATGTCATTTTGGGTTTACATCACTAAAGTTGAGATCAGAAGTGCCACATCTTGCTCTGATTTTAGATGAGAAAGATGGTAACAACTGGACTAGTAACATAAAACATCCTCAGAAGCAACAGTGTCAGGAGATGAAAGGAGGAGCCTTTCCCTGAAGCTAAAGCAAGTCTGGTTCTCCTGTACACTCAGGCCACTTTACAACATTCTGGATAAAGCAGGGCTTACAAGGGAATGAACATATAAATTAGCCCTGCTTGAAGGATCCTTATGGGCAGGCAGAGACTGGGTTTGAGGTTGAAATAATTTCATTTGTCCTAAGCCACTGGCATGGGCTCAGCCTGAAGTTCCTGGCAGCAGACAGGTGGCCCTCAGAGAGACGTGGATCCACATCATGGCAATCAAGTCTGGCTCTCTTGAAAGCAGCATGGTCTGGGACAGCACAAATGGTTGTTGGACATCACAGCCAGAGGCCACAGCAGCTTCAGCAGGACTGCCCACCCTCAGAAGGGACACTCACCAGCCTCCACTTCTGCTGGCCCTCTGGGGAGTGGTGCCTCTGCTCCTCAGGGAGACCCTCTTCCTCTTCCTCTCCTTCCCAGACTCAGGCCTAGAGGTGTCCTGGCTGTGTTCCTGTCCTGTCCTTCAACACTCACTCCAGCCTTCTGGTTACTGCATGACAGCACACCAAAAAGTTCTGATAGGCCCTGGCCAAAATTTGCCCAAATGCTGCTCCCTGGATTCACCAAGCAAAGCAGTGTTATCCACAAAACAATAGGTGAGCTTCGCATGTCAAGAAACACGATGACCCAAGTTTGGACTCAAGTCTCCTACCTCAGACTTGATTAGATCCTAGTTGATAGCTTGGATTGATCTACATTACCACGACCAACATAATTCCAGTCTGCAAGATCTCAAAGCACTATGATGGGGGGAAATATTGAAAAAAATCTTTCTTTCCTTTTTCCCTTCTGCTGCCATGCCCTACAATAACTAGATCATAATATCATGGAGATGGGACTTGGATCTACAGTTATCTCAGTGTTCCAAAGTGAGCTCTGGCTACAGCCTGACACCACACAGGGGGCTGGCTCACCTTCTTCAGGACACTGTTTCTTTCCCTCCTGGGGAGAGAGGAAGGCATCTTGGCACAGAGGTTGAATGGAGCTGCAGCATGCCCCATGCCCAATGCTGCTGTGCAAACAAGCCTCCTGCCTGCTTTTCCCAGTCCCTCTTCCCTGCCAATGCAGGGAAGTGCGTCACCTGAAAGTCAGAGGGTACCAAGGTGGCAGAGAGCAGGCAGAGAGCCACTGCGTCACTAAATGCATCTGTGGACCCCCTTTTATCCTGCTGGAGCACTGACAGATCAACAAACACTCTGTTCCCACTGAGCTCTGACACACATCCAAAAGTACACCCAACTCTGAGATTTTTCTCTTTTTTTTTTTTTTTTTTTTTTTAATATATGTCGGTAAGGTGATTACATCCGGGTTTGTGTCCACATGGCAAAACCAAAGCACATTCATCAGAAGAATAATGATGCAAATATGGCTTCTTATCCTCCAGTGATTGCCCATCTGGCAAAAAGGTTTAGAAAATGTAACAATAGTTTTGACATAAATAGAAGGAAAGTAAAGACCGGCAGTGTACTTTCCACATCAATGGCAAATATACTACTGATGTGGAAAGTAAACAGCTTCAAACGAGGAGAAACCACTGAGGATAATGCTCCACCTGTGAGCTGCAGGCTCGAATGCCACTGCATGAAAACTGAGGTAGAAAATCCCAAGTTCATCACCTCACGTTGTTATAACAGGTGTCAAACGCTGTATCACCTGTGGCTGGATAATATCAGGGGCCAGCTGACATTCAGAGGATTAAAAAACCCTATTTTGCGTTTCAAAAGCTTACGTCCCTGTAGGAATATGGAGCGCTCGCGGTCGGCGCGCCCGTATTGTACAAGTATTCCTCGAAGCCACTCTCCTGGCGAGGCGCTTTGTGGGGAGGATGGCGCGGGGTCATAGGGAAAGAGACGCAAACCTGCAGCTGGGAAGGAGATGCTAAGGATGCACCTGTCCCGCTGCTGCCATCCCCTCTCCACCCCCGCACGAGCACCTGCGGAGGAAGGGGGATCCAACCCCGCATTACGGGTCGTGCCGCTGTTTGCTTTCGGGTCTGGTTCATTGGGCCAGTCCGGGGAGCGCCCCGCGGGGCCGTGCTGGGCTCCGTTCCGCGCAGCCCGGGGCGATGCCGGGCCCGGCCGGGGCGGGGCCGGTCCGGGGCGATGCCGGGAGCTGCCGGTGCTGGTTGGGCTGCGCGGCCGCCCCCGCCCCGCCCCGCCCCGCCCCGCCCGGCTCGGCTCGGCTGGGCTCGGCTCGGCTCGGCTGCGCCCGCTGCCGCCGGGATCCGCCGCCCCGGGCTCCGCCGGGATCCGCCGCGGCTCCGTGCCGCCCGCCGCTGCTGCCGGGCCCATGGCGAGCACGTCGGCGGAGATCATCGCCTTCCTGCTGACCATCTCGGGATGGGTGCTGGTGTCCTCCACGCTGCCCACCGACTACTGGAAGGTGTCCACCATCGATGGCACGGTCATCACCACCGCCACCTTTTGGGCCAACCTCTGGAAGACCTGCGTGACCGACTCCACCGGCGTCTCCAACTGCAAGGACTTCCCATCCATGCTGGCGCTGGACGGTCAGGCTCCCGCTGACCCCCACCCCGATGACACCTCCCGGTGTCCCTGTGCCTCTCGGCGGGAGCTCCGGGGCCGCTCCCGGGCCGGGCTCGGCGGGGCGGGCGGGCGGGGGGCTCGGGGCGCGCCGAGCGGGGCCGGGGGCGGCGGGGACCCGGACGAAAGCGGCTCCCCCGCGGGTTCGTGGGCAGGTGCCCCCGTGTGCCCAGGCAGGTGGCAGCGGGCTGCTTGTGCACACCTGTGCAAGTGGGGTTTTTGCCCCCAAAAACCCATTAGTTGAGATTATATTTGGTGCCCGAGTGTCCGGTTTGGCCTCTCGTACTGTCACTACCTGCCTTTTTTCCCCATCAGAAGAGTGTGTATGTGGATTTGACACAAGAAGAATGCAGGCAGATTTTTCTCGCCGATTTATTTCCCGACTGTCGTGACATTCCTCTTTTTTATGGTTTTGCCAGCCGTGCAATGGTCGGTGGAGAAGAACAAGCCTTGGCGTCGTTTTGTTTTAATTAATGTTCCTCTGCTGGTTTTGCTAAGTGGTTATTAACTCAGATGTAATTGCTTTATTGATAAATGACAGTGTGAAAGCTCAGGGCAGTCAGGGATGCAAAGGTATGCAGAAGGGATGCATAGCTTTGCTCAGCTTTAGGGCAGTGCTATTTTGAAGCAAAGCTAAGAGTTTTGCTATAGGGCTTGAAACCAAAGATTGAGTTGGTGCTGCGTTTCTTCCCTCGTTAAGGGGAAACATTTTTGCCCTTTAAGGAAGCTGTACTGGGAAACTGATTCACTGCAGAAAATCTTTACAACTAAACTTTTAGTTGATAAGTCCACACCGATCGTGGCTGGTAGAAACAGGAGAAGCGTGTCTGACATCGGTTTACAGCTTCAGAAGTGGCTGTAAAGAAAGGGAGGAAAGGCTTCTAAGATTATTGCACCTTTTCTAAGTTTTCATAGTTATAAATGAATGCAATATGCAGTGTGCCACTGGCTTTGATCATGCCTACTGATCACAGTCTGGCAAGACATTCCCTTTGCACTGGAGTCTGAGCAGGTATTTTGGTGTAAAAGCTCTGTTTAAGAGGAAAGGAAGGTCTGTTAATCTAATCACTAAGAGAGATTAATACTAATTGTAACAGGGATTAATATGAACATGACGTTAGTACCAATATCAGAAACCCTTTAACCTCTGTATGTGAAAAGGCTGAAAGAGGCCAAGATACCAAAAGGAGGTAACACAGGCAGCCCTCAAGCACCACCACTGCAGGATGCTTCCCTCAGGGCCAGAAGTGCCGTTCCCAGACATTATTTTGACCCAGCCCTGTGGCAGCAGAGGAATTTGCCTGTTCCTCTGAAGGGACAGGAGAGCTGGCTGGCCTCCACTGACATCAGTCACTCTGTGGCCAAGTGTAGCAGCTGAGAGTGTAATTTCCAGGACTGGGCAAGGAGCAGGGGTCTCTGTGCAGGCAGGCATGGAGTGATCGTTGGTGCGAAACCTTTTGGATCCCTTGAACCTATTGTTTAGCTGTTCTTTTAGGTCTGGGTGAATCTGATTTTAAAGTAAGAAAAGCACAGTTACAAAGTATGAAGAATTTGGAACATTTAAATTTTCAAAAAGAATACAACACTTGACAGGAAGATCTTTTCCCTCCTTTCCCCCAAATGCTTGTGCACTGAAGCCTTGAGTGTGGGGTAGCACGTTCCACTTGGCCAAAGAATGAGTTTCTGAGGTCCCTTGTGCACAGTGAAAGAGTCACCAGCTCATTTTGGACAGAAGTAACTCTGAAATGCACATCTGCAAGGGCCCTGTCCCAACCCTTCTGGCCAGGTTGTTTTTCAGTAGTAGAAAGTTCTTGGCTTCAGTGTTTCTCAGCAGCATCTTTAAATGCTGTGGGAGCAGATTCTGGCACCCAGGCACAATGTGAATGGAAGACAGGCTGGAGAGAGAGTGATGTACCCCCAGCACAGACCAGGCAAGCTGGGTGGGGTCAGAGGGGCAGCACTGCAGTCAGGGGTGCTTTCTGTAGCTAGCCTTGCCCAGACTCCCTTCCTTGTGGTTTCAAGCTCTGCAGGGAGCCTGTCAGCAGCTGACTGTGGGTGTGTATGTCCCCTCTTCACCCTAACCCTTCCCCCGTGGGGAGTGCACTTCAGGGCTGCGGTGTGTCACTCGTGGCTTAAAGAATTTGTGTCTCAACGAGAGGACAAGTCTGCCTCAGCCCTTGTCTAGCCTCTTCCTTCCCTCCTCTTCCCCTTTGCCCAGACTTACATGCCCAAGGTGGATCCCATTCCCTATAACTGGGAATATGGGAACTTCCTGACTCCATCCTCAGGTAGGGGACTCAGAATACACAAACAGGGCAGATCTGGTTGCTGTTCTCAGGGAAGTGTTTGTGAGCTGAAACAATAACCCTGTAAAGATACATGTAGTGACAATATGTTGCTCTCCTCAAAATGGTAAAGCATGACTGGAAAATTCCTAAAAATATTTCTGCTCTCCTAGGGAAATGTGGCTCAGCTCCACTCCTTTGTCACAGAGATGGAGAGGATCTGCCTCTCAGAGCAGTTCCTCTTCTACAGAAATATTTTTTTTGGTCAAATTGGAAACCTCAGTAAGCTGGACTTCTTATCCCAAAAGACTGCTCAGGTCTTCCAGGGGATCAGAGGCAAAATGAGGGGGAAAGAAAGTGGTGTGACCATGCTTTGAGGAACCTGCTCTTTGTGAAGTGCCCCTGCCCATGGCAGGGGGTAGGAACCAGATGACCTCTGAGGTCCCTCCCTACCCAAACCTCAGTGACTCTGTGATTCTATGCCAGTTGCTGGAGTTCTCCTGTGGAGTGCAGGAGAAGTCCTTCCTTCTTCAGAAGCAGTGTCATAGTTCAGGTCAGGGGTGCTCAGGAGATGGCTCCTCTTCACCTTTGTTTTGGTTTCTGTCATGGAGTGGGCCTGGACTGTCCTGCCCCGCTTGCTGTGAGATGGCACAGCAGACCATCATGGCTTTCAGGCCATCACTCCACACGAGTGGCTTCCAGAGAAAATTGCTTGTGGTCCCCTTCCACCTTTGTGCATTCCTATAGAAGAAACCAATTTGGCCAGCCCTCATTAAGTGCTGAGCCCTACATTCTTTATGCAAGCAAAAATGCTCTTCCTGTCTGTGGGGCTTAAAGTCATTTCGGGTTTACTTTTTGTGCCACTTGTCATAGGTGGAAATTTACTGATGAAACCACCTCCCCCAAAAGAGGACGTATCAGTTTCCATGTTTCCTACAGTGGATCTGATGACCTTTTGCAAGAAAAGAGCTGAACAAAAATTCAATTATGAGCTAAAAGAGGGTATTAGAGCTTAGAAAGACATACAAAAGCAATGGGTGTGTACTTTTGGAAGGAATCTGTGCTGTATCTGTAAGGCTACCTCTTCACGTGATGTAGACTGCAAAATGCCACCAGAGGCATTTATTGTGAAAGTGGCAATCCCCAGAACTTTGCATATATATTTTTTTTCCATAGTGTCATATGATATGAGTACATGAATGCCTTCTAAGTCTTTGTAAGCATGAGGCAAGTGTGAGAGCAGCAAGGCAAGAAGGATGAAGCTCTAACAAGATTAATTTCAATGCAAGACAAAACACATTTGTTTGAAACGAAAAAAAAAAAAAACCCAAACAAAAAAAAAACAACCCACCTTGAAATAGGTTTCTCTTGGAATGCTGCTAAACATGACTTTATGAGCAATGCATGTTTGTCTGCTTGTCTGTTTAAAACACATGGCTTTTTGCTGCTTGGGAGCTTCATTTGGGTGGTTGGTATGTACATGACAAGTTTCCTGCAGGAGCTGGTGCAAATACAGACAATAAATATTTGGAAAAGGAAAGGTCTTAGTCTTGAGTGGAGGACTGTGAAAAAATAGACAGCTCCCTTTTTCATGCCTCTTCATCATCATAGTATCACAAAATGTTTTGGGTTAGAAGGGACATTAGAGACCATCTAGTTCAAACCTGCCTACCATGGGTAGGGACACCTCCTACTAGTAAAGGTCGCTCAAAGATGATTCAAAGCTGCATCCAAACTTCAACACTTCCAGGGAGGGGGCATCCACAGCTTCTCTGGGTAACCTGTTCCTGTGTCTCACCTCATGGTAAAGAATTTCTTCCTAATATCTAATATCTTCCGAATATCTAACCTAAATCTGCCCTTTTTCAGTTTAAAGGCATTTCCCCTTGTCCTGTCTCCTACACACTCTTGTAAAAAGTCCCTCTCCAGCTTTCCTGTAGGCCCACTTTAGGTTCTGGAAGGCTGCTGTAAGGTCTCCCCAGATCCTTTTCTTCTTCGAGCAGAACAAACTCTGTAAGTCTTGGTGACCAATATAATCTTGTTTTCTTGAAAGCAAAAAAGAGATTTAGTTCCTCTTACAGCCAAATGTTATACAGAGTTTGAATCTAGGATCTAAGCAATAGGAGGTTTGATTTGGTGAAAAGATTGATTTCAACCTTTCATGCTTCCTAATGCTCCAGTCAACCTTGTGGGACTGCTAGAGCCTTCTGCTTTTCCACAGTACTGGTGTAAATTGGGATTTTTTTTTTTTCTTGTATTTTGTTTTAAAAATGTGTCCCAGTTGGCTGACTGCTCTGGTGAACTGAAACAAGCCCTACTATAGCTGGCCTGCCCAATTTGGTGAATTATTTAGTGAGAAAGGTTATTCATTCAGCAGAACTGAGCAGTCCTCCAGCTCATGCTGTTTATAATTGAAAATGATTTCTGAGTGAGTGAGTTAATTATTTCTTGGTGTCTCACTACCCTCTACCTATTTTAAAACTGTGTATTGACCTTCAGGAAAAACTGAATTTCAGCCCTGTGGTTACTAGCAAATGTTGGATATTTTAGTTGGGGTGAATATTTACTGGTTTTCCTAGGAGGTTCAGACATAAATAAAAGTTTAGAGGACCTCTGGGTAAACATGTTCATGGTTCAGCACTTTAATGTGTCAATTAGCTAACTAACACTGTCAATAAATTGGACCTGTCAGAAATAATAGCTTCCTTTCCAGTCTTCATCTCGTGCTTTACCTGTCTGCTACAAGAAATACATTACACACCACCTAAAGCAGCATAAGCCAAGTTTTCCATGCCTATAGCAAAAACTAACAAAGCAAGGCTGCTGTCTTCAAACCTGAGTCTTGCACAAATCACTCTCTCTCTTACATTCCAACATGTGAGCAGTCACACTTATGTCACTGGCTGTGTCTTTCTGGAGCAGGTGGGCCACAGAAGCCTGTTGCAAATGAAAGTATGTATGCCAGCAGAGGTAGATAAATGCTAGTAGGTTGTGTTCACAGATGGGCAGCACAGCTCCCAGGTTCAGCAGGCCTGCTAAAATGGGGTGTTATGTGCTACAAATTGCTTTGTTGCTCAAAGCTGTGAATCATTGAGGGATTTGAACATTGTTCAAGCACGCGGCGGTCATCCTAGAGCTGATGTACCTTCGGCAGTGGCTAAAGGAGGTGGCACTAAGGATAGCAGAAGGTGGCCAGGTGTCTGTGGTAGCCATCTGTATCCAAAGCCCTGCCAGCCAGACACAGACTTCTCCATCAGGAATGTATCCAGTCTCTGAGTATCAGTAAACCCTTAAGTGTCCACACGTCCTGTAGAAAGGAATTCCACCGCTTCATTTTACAAACAAGCATACCTTTTGTTTTGAATCTGCTGTCTTCTGTTTTCATCAAATGTCCTCTAGTTCCTTCTTTAGTATATTGTTTTATTACATATTAAAACATTTATGCAGGGTTTGGTGGGGTTTTTTTTGTTTATTTATTGTTACATAAAATTTGGTGTAATAGGCAATGACAATGTGGTTTAGCTCTCAACATTTCCACCCACTGGAGATCAAAGCAAAAAGAATGAATGCCCTAATAGTGGGAGTTCATTTTCATTTTAAATGAGATGTAACAACAGGTTATGAAGAAAAACATCTTGTGATGGTTATTCAGCTGTGTAAGATTGCAGCGTTCCACCCCGTAAGCAGCGATATGAGATTATCACAGTCCTTCAATTACAAGATATTCCCAGAAGGGAGAAGAGGCCAAGCAGCCCATTGTCCCCTTGAAGGGTCCTGCCCTGGGAGGTCCCTCTGGGAGCAGTCTCAGGCAGCACAGCCAAATTGTTTGTGGCTGAAGCCAGGTGGAAGCTGTTTGTCCAGGTTTAAATATGGCAGTGATTTGCTTTATCCCAAGGGCCTACTGCTGTGCATGGAGCTGAGTGCGTGGCTGACTTCCTTGCAGAATGAGGGCCTTCTGAGCAAATCCAAATCAATTCAGCAGCGCATCCAGGCAGGTCTAGGAAGGCTCAGGACCCCAGCCAGGGTCTCTGCTGCCAGCCTCACTGCCAGCCATATTGCACCTGTGACACAACTGGACTGATGTAAGACTTGCTTTGAGTGCACTGCACTTAAAGAGCGGCTCTGCAACTTATGACCTGATTGGACCACGTGGAGTTGCTCTTCTAAACCTCATGGGTATAACCTCTTGCAGATGCTATACTCAGTGCCATGGGATAATGTTTTGGAGCCCTGAGTGCCATAGTATGATTCTTATGAGCTGGGCACGGGTGATGCCCTGTGAAGGGCACACACCACCTGGAGGAACACAGTCAGTGGTAAAGTGATTCTGTTCCAGCCAAAGTCTGAGTCCACTTGCAATAGTGAGTGCCTGATGCTGCACAGAGGGAGGGCAAGTACAGCAAAACTTGTCATGGTCCCAGTTCTCATATTAGCCTTGCTCTTTCTCTCACAGGTTACATCCAGGCCTGCAGAGGATTGATGATCTCCGCTGTCTGCCTGGGCTTCTTCGGTGCCGTTTTTGGACTGGTTGGGATGAAATGTACAAAAGTTGGAGGCTCTGATCAGACTAAAGCAAAAATAGCTTGTTTAGCTGGACTGATTTTCATACTCTCTGGTAAATATACTTTGTTTTTATCAGTTTGCATATTTGAAGTCATACTGGAGCCGCTTCTTTTCCGCAGAAACCCATGCACAATCGTCCATGACTTCGTTGACTTCAGGGCCAGGCCCAAAGCTCTGCTGCCAGCTCCACTGAATGGTTTGTCTTATGCTTTTCAGGGTTGTGCTCTATGACTAGTTGTTCCCTGTATGCAAACAGGATTACGTCTGAGTTCTTTGACCCTTCTTTTGTTGCACAAAAGTAAGTACTTTCCTATACCCATAAATCTTTCAAACAAGTAGACCTTAGGTTTCCTACTGCACGCCACAGCCTGTTTAGACAGAGAGCAGCTGCTTCTCCCCGTGGGCAGAGGAGGAGAGTGGGCTGCAGTTTTATTTAACCACAATTTCTAACTGGAGCAAGCAGGTGCTGAAATTCAATGAACAAACACTTTGCTGCACAGTGATGGCTCTGCAATCCATGTGCCCAGCTCTACCACGGGCTGGCAGGGCTGCTGGGGTTAATTGGGAATGGAGCCTGCCTGGATGCCAGAGGTGCGGTAAAAGGATTGCACAAGACACAGGGGCTCATTAGGTGCATCATTTGATAGGGAAGGGAGAAAATATTTCCTGGAGCCTTTGATAGAAGGTGGCTTTGATAAAGGTGTCGAGCACCACGCAATCTTGATTCCTCTTGAGGAGAGGTTCCTGCAGGCTTGGTGGAATTTTGCTGGCAGATTTTCAAATCCAGGTGACTGAAATTTGGATCATAAACCTTATCAAAACCCACGATCTTTTAAGCATTAACATAAATATTTTGCCTATACCTGTAATTAAATTTAAGAGAGTGAGTATTTATAGAATTTTGGGATCCACACCCAAAATGTGTGGATGAGCAGGGATGAGCATCCCTGAAGACTTCCTTTAAAGCTGTGCAAATTCTCAGGACCTGCAAAAGCAGCAATCCACAAACCAACACTTGGATTTTGGATTGACATTCTTTACCAGGTCTGAAAATGTTGGCTGTAAATTATACCATCAGAGACTTTCATGTTTTGCCTTAATACATGATGTAAACTCTTTTTTTAAAGGCAAGGATTTTAAAGTTTTCTTGGCAGTGATTCCAGAATATGCCAAACATTGGGTGTACATTTCTCTGGGATCCAAGTAAGGGATCAGTGAGGAACCCTGACCCTTTATGTTTCACTTTGACAGAAAGAAAATAGTCTGAATAAATAACACTAAAGGGATCTACATTTGCAGTAGGGTTGACACTGCTTTTCCTGAAACAGCATTAGTTTTGTATTAGTAGTCTTGTATTAGTTTTCTCCATAATTCCCCTATAGTTTCTGTTTATTTGATGTAGAGAAGACAGGCTTGAAAGGCCACCAAAAGAAAGGAGGATGTGAGGTTCTTTGAAGAAAATGGGGCCTGGCTATATAGACAGAAGTTAATTATTCATCAGGCTTACTGTTATTAGTGAAAAATACCATGATTGCTGCCAGAAGTCCTTTTCCTACACTGTATTCCTAACCTGGAATTCCTACACTGTATTCCTATACCTGCAAAAGAGCAGGTAGACCTTATGGTGGAATTTTACTGTGAAGGAATGAGAAATCCAGTTTAAATATTGAAATAATGGTAGTAAAACATCCTCTCCAGAAATTACTTTTTTTTTTTTGTGGGACAACCAGCATAGCTCAGCTGCAGGCAGACATAATCATGATTGCAAAGATAAAGGCAGAGAGGAAATCCTGAAATTTTGAGTTGTGCACAATGAATGTAGCTCATGCAGTGACCTTGCATCAGACTGAGCTAATGATGGCATTCAGCTCCTTCCTCTCTCAGCTGATGCAAAATTTCCATTTTGTTGCCATCTCCAAACCCTTACTTTGTTATGGATTGCAGGCGCATTTAAAATGTTTGCTGGTATATTGTGGAAATTTGGAATTGTCTCTTCACTGAGAGAGGGTTTCAACCTTTTGCCTTTTACTGCATATTTCTCTCCTGAAGTTAGTCTGGCAGTGTCAAAGACCGGCTTGAGATACTGTTAGTGGGAAACAAATGACACAAGATATTCAGCACCTTTTGTCAACCATCAAGATTTCCCTCCAGCCTTCTTTGCTATTTTTAATTGAAATTAGCTGACTAACCTCCCACATAGGCATTGACATGCAATTGAAAATCTTGAGTTTTCCTCCTAAGTACCAATATAAATCAGAAGGGTTGTTCTCTCTGTTTGAAGATGTGGAAGAAAGACCTATCAGAATAGCTCTGCAACTCTTTAACCTGGCAGGGTGGCAGTCCCCCAAGCAGGGCCATACTGCTTAATCTGTTTAATCATGATATAGTAACAAGTGTTGCTTCAAAAGGTCAAATAATCCCAACTATGAAGGCTAAACCCCATGTCTTCTGTCCCAACTAGTAGGTAACACTCAGGTAGCCCTTTTCTACCCAGTTTTATCAAATATAGTCATGGTTTCTTTTCTGTACAATTGAAGAGTTTCAGGAAGGGAAGATAGTGCGAAGGGAAGATGGTCTCCTTAAATCCCTCAGCCTCTGGTCAACCATTTTGTGTTGTTAGACAAAAACATGGAAACTTGTGTTTCCCACTTTCGAGGCAAATGGTCTTGGCAAATAAGTTGTTACTGCAACAGCCATCTTGGACCCTGGTCCAGCTCTGTTCTCCAGCAGTGTGGTGATGTGCATTGACTTCTGTGGGGAGCCTAATCCTGGTCCTTGTACCTTAGGTGTGCTCTGGCAGTCCTGGAGGGATGGAGGGATCCCCATGAGGGGGCTTACCTCACATCTGAGCTACTCCCTCTGATCTGCTTTTACAGGTCAATGAAAGAGGTGCTTTGAAAGTGTTTTAGAGGTGCACTTTGTGTGTATTTCTTGCATGTTGAAATAATGAGATCTTAGGTGATGAGCTCTGATGTAGATCTCTGTTTCTTATCAGAGAACACCCTGTTCTTGGAGAGACACAAATCTCCTTAAGTCATGTGAAAACCGTAGCAAGGTGGTTGGAAATGTGAGCATAAGTAGAATTAAAATTTTACAGGTTTAGCAGATTTTGAAGTGAAATGGGATTGGGTGGAGAGTTTTCCAGAGTAGAAGGAGCTATGGTTCCCAGCAGTTTAAACTGGGGGTTGAGTCTGTAAGCTCCATGCTGGCGTTGAGGAATCGTTCTGAGGCAGTCAGTTTATTTCAGCTTGAGCTTGGTGTCTCCAGGGAGGGAGCCTGAACAAAGAAATTCCTGGTGCTGGGGAGCAGTTTCTTCCAGATAGAATCCAGCCACAGGGACTAGAGAAGGAGAAAGATGCTGGAACATGCACCTGTGTGTGCAAATGCTTATACCAGACACACCTGTGTATGTATATGCATATGTTGCATACATATACATTGCATGTGTATTCCATATGCATATTATGCATATGTACAAACTCTCATGTTTTAAGTAGGCTGGTGTGTGGATGATGAGGGATGGAGGCAGACAGATCCTGAGAGCCAGAGGGGAAACTTAAGGAGAGTAGTAGGCAGAATTTGTAGCAAAAAAGCCCCAGCAAAAGCCCCAGTCCAGTTTGGTTTGGGAACCAACAGAAACAAAACTGAAATGGAGGAGCTGGAGCTGTAAACGGGCCACAGAATGACATAACCCCACAGCAAAGCAATCCAGGAGGAGATGGACAAAGGCCAGGCCTTCCCCTAACCCTAACCCCAGCTGAGCAGGGAGAGAAGCACTGCCCAACTGTACTGCAGGGACTGCCTCCTGAGTCAGAGGGAAATAATGAAAAGAACGTGGGTGAATGGCAGAGCTGCTGATTTAGTGGTAAATAATTTATGTGTCAATGGAAAGTTATTCAAGAAAAATATAGTATTTAGTTATTTTATTCTGGAAATAACCCTATTAAATTAAACGCTCTCTTCTGTTAAATACATTTATTGACTTCTTGTAGGTATGAATTAGGAGCAGCTTTGTTCATTGGATGGGCTGGAGCATCACTCTGCATAATTGGTGGCATTATATTCTGCTTCTCAATAGCTGAAAACAGTAATTCTGCAAGGTAAAACACAAGTCTTACTTACTGAAAGAAATCATACCTCTGCATTTTTACCTGCTATATGTATGCAGTTTGATTACTGTCTCAAAACACTTTGCAATGAGATTCTGAAAAAGATTGCGTGGATAAAAGAAAATAAGGGGATGTAAGGATAATGCTCTGTCCACCATTAAAGAAAAGCTTTACAGGCATGAATAGACAAGATTCTTTGATCTCAAATCATCAGATCAAAAGCTAGCAGTGGTGGCAGTGGGACCTCCAGCAGCTGGAGAGGGGTGATAACAAAGAGGAACAGCTGTAGAGAGTAACTATTCACCTAGGGTCTGCCACAATTTAAATTATTTCATCATTAGGCCCTAATTTACTTAGCTGTGAAGAAGGGATAAGGGGTATGTGTTACAGGAAAGTGTAAAGACAGATGCAAAGAGATAGCTGGAGTGGCAATGTTTAACTAGAATGGGACCACACAGAGTGGGAATGTGCCACCTCCCCTGAAATTTGTAGGTACATTCCCATACATTTCTTCTGGCTTTATTACTAGAATGCCTGGATGCAGAGATGCCACCTGTCTGTGGGAAGAGCTGTAAATGGTTGTTTCTTTCTCTTCAGGAGGGGCTATGCCTATAATGGAGCCACATCTGTGATGTCTTCTCGTACAAAGGTGCACAACAGCGTCCCTGACAAAAGCCCACCCAAGCACTTTGACAAGAACGCCTACGTTTAGTTGCACTGTTGGAAGACTCAAAACGTTTTTAAACGTGATTTTGTACGTTTCATTCACAGTGATTCCCCCCACCCCAAGCCCTATGTACTTACCACTAAGACAATGACTTTTAAAAATATTAACTTGCAGCTTTTTACATATCGATGTAAATTTTATTATATAATATTTTAAGATTGATGTTGGTATTGTAAAGTTTATACCTGGAAATCATGAGCTGATGTTGCATTCTTGAAAAAAAATAAACAATGTATTTACTAATTCAGTTTGTCGTGTCAGCTGCTTATGGGAATGGCATCACACACACTGTATTGGCATATTGCAGTTCAAAAAGTCAGCTTGTGGTGGGTTTTTTGTCTGTCCATGGAAATGTGATGACTTTTGAGGGAGCATTTGTACAAGTCAATAAATGAGAACAGAGATTACAAATAACCACAAAATGCTTTCTAGATTGAGTCCCTAAAATCAGACTCAAACTCAGGTTTTTTGTGAAGTTTGAACTGATGGACCTGTGGAATTTCAATAAAAGTTGGTTATTTTGGGATGACAGTGTAAATATAAAAAATGAACAGTCCTATTTAATAATGGCACAGTATAGAAAAAGTTTTGTATATGATATTATCTAAATTACATTCAAACTACAAAGTCAAGGTTCTTTTTGTTTTATGTTATTTTTGTACTTCATTTAAGTAGAAACACTACTGTGTTTTTTAAAGAAGGCAGCCAATATGGACAAAGCAGAAATGTCAAGTACTTCTGCAATGGCAGGTTAGTGCTTTCCTTACTGTGGCTTGACATTGTGATTTTTTTCTAGTTGTTGTCCTTTTATGCTAACAAAGACTGAGCTCCAATACAAAAAAACCCCACAACAAACCAACTTCCCCATATAAGAGGCATTTAATGATGATTAGTTTTAGAGCTGAGGCTTTTTTCTTTTCACTTAGTGTTTATTGTAAACCATGGTAGAAACTTAATAGTTTAAGACATGGACATATTTTCTTTAAAATGTTGACAATTTTATATAAAGTTCATGATAAAATATAAAAAATATGCATTAAAGATTGTATAAAGTAATACTCTGCAGTATATTCTGTTCATTGGTTTCTTGCAAGACCAGTTTCAATCTTTAATGTAAACATTAGAGGTAAAATCTTCACCTCAGAGAAATGATAGAGACTTTCACCACTGAACTCATGAGTGTGCTGGTTTTGGCTGGGGTAGAGGTAATTTTCTTCACCATGGCTGGTATGGGGCTGTGTCTTGGATTTGTGCTGGACACAGAGTTGGTAATAGAGATGTTTTTAGTATTGCTAAGCAGGGCTTGCACAGAGCCTTTTCTGTTTTTCATACCACCACATCAGTGAGGATAGGGGGTGCACAGGAGGTTTGGAGGGGACACAGGTGGGACAGGTGACTCAAACTGACCAAAGGGATATTCCAGACCATGTGACATCATGCTCAGTATATACAGTGGGGGAAAAAGGAGGAAGAGGAAGACATTTGGAGTGATGGCATTTGTCTTCCCAAGCCACCATTACAAGTGATGGGGCCCTGTTCTCCTGGGATGGCTGAACACCTGTCTGCCCATGGGAGCAGTGAATTAATTCCTTGTTTTGCTTTGCTTGTGTGTGTGGCTTTTGCTTTCCCTATCAAACTGCCTTGATCTCAACCCACGAGTTTTCTCACTTTTACTCTTTCAAGTCTCTCCCCAGTTCCACAGGTGAGGGAGTGAGTGAGTGGCTGTGTGGGGCTTGGCTGGGGTTAAACTATCACAAAAAGAAAGTAGAATTACTTTGTTTCCAAATAGACATGGCCAGTAATGCATATTTCAATATTCTTTTTCAGAGTCAGACTGAAAGACACGAGAGCTCTGTAAACAGTATTCCTTGTTATTACTGGACCAATGAGAGAAGTTACTGGGAAACACTTGATGTTTTCACCTGCATTTTGAACCCAGGCAGAAGCCAAAAGCGGGACCTCCAATCAGGAATGGAACAATTATATGTCTGAAGAATCACTCCAGTCTGTTACAGTGACCAAGCTGCTTTTTAACGTGCTTGTATTATCAGCTTCATGAAGGCCTTTTAAAACAAACAGACAGAATAATTAATAGTTATTAATACTCTTTTGGGGATATTTTTACTTTGCATTTGTCTATAAAAGAAAATGACATGCTGTATGAGCAAACACCTGTGGACTTCAGGAAGCCCCCAAATTGCAACCAGTAAGCAAATGACAAGTGTTGATAATATGTAGATTGTTTCTCTCACAGCAGATAAAGCAAGCAGTCCTCGCCAACCTTACTTTCCCTTCAAAAATAACCAGAAGTATCCTTATGTAACTGACACAGCTTTAACCTTTACATATATTGAAATGTTAGGGTTAGAAACTACTATATAAATTATATGTAAGATTGAGGCTTTTGCTTTAGCACTAGTTCAAATATTTACTTCAGCCTGGTAAATCAGATACCTTGAACAAACCTGAAATGTTATTATTCTCAAGAAAAAGGGAGTTCCCTTCGCCCTTAAATTTGGAAAGAAAAAATACCTCAGATGATTAATTTTTAAGATGATGTTGAAGTCTGATAATATTATGGTTTAAAATCTCAAATTTAAGTTGGTATCTCTGTGTACTTATGTGTGTGTGTGGTTTATGTACCATTAAGTATCATAAAAACATGATATTTATATAGCAAGAAGCCAAACACAAAGGTTTTCTTGTTCTTTTCTTACAAAACCCCATCTATTGAATTACAATGTGTAATAGACTGTACTCAATCCTCCTCTAGGTGGGTCAGTCACTTATGAACACGTTACCTTCCTCCTTTGGTGCACTCTTCTTGGGAAGGCCCCATGCATGAACCACAGATGCAGCACTGGGCTCGTTTTTCTGAACTGTCATTGCCTTCTGACCTCTGTTCTCTTTCATCAATAAAATATCTTCTACTGATGAAATATCCCAATCATCTTCATCAGCTTCTGCGAGCTAACAGGGACAAGAAAAAAAACAGGCATTTTTCCTTTGTCTGTTCAAGCTGTGCTGAATTCTTTCCTAAACTCAACAATGTGAAACTGCTCAAGGAGAATGCACTGGCACATGGCCTTTATGAAGTCTATCATCACAGTTTTAAAATCCACATTAATTCAATTACCTAAATGATATTAATTCACTGTTACCATTCTGAAACTAAAAGAGGTTTGGTTGTGGGGTTTGTTTTTTTTTTTTAAGTCAGAAACTGCAAACATTTTAAGTTCTGCCAGTTCTGTATCTGGCATAAACCTCTGTTTTCAGGTATTATATGCCAGCCTTAAAATAGGATTATTTTTTCTGGGATATTCCAGTGAGATGAAAGTCATTTAAGCATTAGAATGTAGATTACTTACATGAAAATAAAGATATGACATGCAAGGTGGCAGTTTACAAGCATTCTATAGTCAAACTAGGAAAAAATATTGCAGTAAAGGCCTTTTCAATTTAAACCTAATTTATTTAAAGATAAAACTAAATAATGAACATTTTAAAAACTGCATGGTGCTCAAACTTTAAATATACGTTCCCCTCAAGACTCAGTGTCAGCATGTACAAACATATTTTAATTAAGTGGTGGATTTGTATACTAAATTCACAAAATGAGAGTCAATTCAGACAGATGAACCTGAAGGCAATGAGTCCATGGTCCCTCTTACCTCATCTGCCTGAGAACTAAATATCTTCATTCAGCTTTAGCAAGAAGAGCTACAGAATTTCCCTATTTTTCAGTCAAATGTGGTTTGATGGATTTGAGCTGTTTTTAGAGAGCTAAACTGTGGAAAGCAAACAATGTTTTCTCCCAAAGCTAAAACCTTATTTCACTGGAGTCTCCAGCGTTACAGTAAGGATCTAGATGGTGCTTCCATTGCACAGAAGGAAGGTTCAGATGCTATTAGAAAGCAATGTAAGGTATGTATAGGCTAGAGAAAAATCAACAAATATGAACATGTCGTATGTCTCGAAAATGAGTAAGGGACTGCAGTAATGCTTATCTTGCAACATAACTCCATTTTAACATTGCAAACTGTTTTTCAAAAACTGACAGATCTGCTCAGTGTGCTGTATTATTAACATACCAGAATTCACTATTGCTCTGTTTCAAATGATCTGCATTTGGAGGGTGTGGTAATGGGAAAGTCAGTCACATATATTGAGAAATGCTGGAGGAAGAGTTTCCTTGAACATTCAAGAAGTCCCAAATGATTGTTAAAGTAAAAAAATGGAGATAAACATGTCAACTTCCAACAGAATTCAGTTTTGATCAAGTGTAAATAAATGGCACCAATCAAAACTGCTAAACAGTTTTATTAACTCAAAGACTTATATAAAGACATCTACATTAAATATATAAATATGGGCATAAATATATGCATATAATTACTAAAGTATACAAGATGGTTCTTCTGTAAAGATTGCAGAAAAAAAGTAGCAGTGCCTGCCCTGGTTTCATAAGCTTATTCTGAACTCATGGTGTCCATACAAGATACAATAGGGACACAATGTATTCTAAATTAATCATAGCAACAATATTTTTCATAAAATGATGGAAAGATGTGGGTTGGAAGAGATTTCAAAGATCATGCAGTTGAACTCCCCCACGACAGCCAGGAAAACCTTCCACTAGACCAGGTTGCTCAAAACCCCCTCCAACCTGACCTTGAACACTGCCAGGGATGGGGCATCCACAGTTTCTCATCACTGTTCCAGTGCCTCACAGTAAGAATCTGCACCCTCACAGTAAAGAATTTCTTCCTAATATCTAATTTAAACCTACTGTCTTTTCATTATAGTCTAATTTTCTGTCCAGAAGGATCTGTTCCATGATCTTTCTGGGCACAGAAGTAAGCTTAACAGGCCAGTAGTTAATCCCAGGGTTCTCCTTCTTACTTTAAAGAAAATAGATTTATTTTCAATTAGAGACTTTTTTCAATCAGAGACTACACTCAGCTGTGATGACTTCTCAATTATTATGGAAGAATGGCTTGGCAACTATATCAACCAATTTCCTTAGGACTCTGGGAAGCAACTCATTGAGTCACATGGATTTATATAAGTTTAGTCTACTCTGGGGGTCTCAAACTCAACCTTCTACCACAATAGGATGGATTTCATTCCCCCAGTACTTGCCTTAAGGTTCAGGGGCTTGAGAGATGTGGGAAGGGAGATTTACCAGTGAAAAACATGGCATTTTTAAAACATAGGTTTTGAGATTTATTTTGCTACAAGTCTTTGCCATTGAAGCCCAGATTCCTGAACACAATGGCTCACCATCTAAAAATCCTTACAAAATCATCCTGCCAATTTAACTGTGAGCACTTTGTGGTGTTGAAAAATCTGACACTACAAAGAATTTGGAAATAATGCTAGATAGAAAATTGCACTGTAATAGTCATGTCTGCGTTGATAATTTTGAGTCTGGTGCAATCTGCAGCTCCCACACAATCAATGAAAAACTTAGGTGTCATCAATGGCAATTACAAGGACACAGGCTAAATGTGGTTATGCCATCCTCATGGCCAAAGCTGATTAGGACAATCACTCCTTTCTGGAAAATGAAATAGAAGTGTCACCGTTTCTGGAGGGAGTGATGAGTTTCAGATTTAACTCACAATTAGGAAGCCCTAGGGTATCAGTTTTATTATAGATAACAGGATTTTCAGTAATTATTATTTGCTAATTTAGTGAAAAAATATTGTATTGAATGCTAGAACTAGTACCTGTCTGTCTACTTCAATCTAGTAACAACTACTCAAACTGAAATAAAACCAGTATCTGCTGTTGACGTCTCATTTGAAGCAACTTTTGTTCCTTTTAAAAACTGTCCAAGCAAAGACCCCAAATTGCAGCAAAATGGTTTACCAATTATAGAACTCTACACTGAGGAGAAGACCAGGATGTTAGGAGCCTGAGGGGTAAAGAGTCTACTGTGTTAGTGTTCTGCTGGTGAACACAGGCCATGTTCAATGGGCAGCACAGATCTGATGCAGTCTGAAAGCAGTTAGTGATTGTGGATTGATGCAGAACAAAGACCAATGGAATCTGTCCTCTCATTAAAATGTATTTAAGAGACCCATATTAGATAAAGCTCTAGAAATAATGTTTTTAAATATTAGATAAGCAAATTCCTTTTCTCCTCCATCAAAACAAGACACTAGGAAAACAAGTAAAGGAGGACTCTCTATGCTGCTGGAATAGAAGATAAGAATGATACTATGCCCAAACTTTGAGCTGTACTGATCCAAACCAATCAAGGTATAAGCTAAAAAAGCAGTGTGGATGAAATAACTTGCCACTGGTCCCTTGCTACACCAGTGCTGGTCTACCCAAAAAGACTACTTAGCTGTAATTCCAAAGCTGTCTTGGAAAATTAAGTTCTTTGCTGCATCAAGATGATTTCAGCGTGAAAAAAAAAATTCAACATACATATAGTTCAATTACTGAATGTAATAATGCTGCATATTAAAAGTGATACCTTTGGTTCTTTCACTCCATCTTTCTTAGTAAATGCCTGCGCAACATTAATTCCTCCAGCTGGTTTGTTCTTACTTCCATGGTTAGAAAGACTCTCTCCAACTTGTTTGGTCAGTTTTTGAATAACTGTTGCTAAAATTCAGAAAAAAATTAAATTGACAGTTTCCATTTGCAAGGAGGGACTTTACTGTAAACCCTCTAGAAATTTTCCTCAAAGTAAAAATAAATAAAAGATGTCTCTCTGAGACAAAGACTGTCTCTTCCTGCATTTATATAGAAGAGCATGATACACATCTTTAAGTAATACATTAACAGAAATACATTAGCAAAAATATAGTCTTTACCTATAGATATATACTCTCAAGACTAGGTAGTCTGCCTTCACTATGTTTTCTAACACAAAAATATTACCATGAAATGCAAAATCATGCACAGCTGTTACAACATCCATATACAAATGCAGTGAAAAACCTTTAGAAGTTTTGGCAGGTGTTCCAGTTTCTTGAGGTCCATTTTCCTCCATCCTATCCCCATTGCTTTTGCCAAAAGGCTTCTGAAAAGCATGGACTATGCTGCTTGATGGTTTTGACTGCTTTTGCAATGCCTCTGGTGCTACATAAGACTGTTTCATATCATCTTCATCAGCTTCTTCCTCTGAACTGAATGGTGGTGTTCTAAGGAAAACAACATGCAACATGAGCACTTACTGGGTTTCAGTGCATGCATCAATGCATACATGTTTAAGCTTCCTTGCATTTTCCTTTCCAAGAATGTGCATTTTTCCTAGTGCAAAATGACAGAATCTCCCCTAAATTTTAACTATTTAAAAGAAAAAATTAAAAAAAAATCACGCTGCTAATTAAATTCAGAAAGTTATCCCAAATGCTCTCTTACACACACATGGCTCTTTCCATTTATGCAACCATCTTTACAAAACAAGAGACCAATATAAAACAAGTCTTGCCAGGCAAACACAGATGGGTTTTCATGCATCAGCAGGTAGAGCAAATTTCAGGGTCAAGGAATCTGTGCCACAGAAAGTCTCTTGTGACAACAGTTAGATGTGGGAATTTTTCAGTGCAGGAAGTGTCAAAGTAATGCACCTGTTGTGAATGGAACATGGAATATTGTATTTCATTTTGGCTGCACTATGAAAATATCAATAAACAACAAATTTAGGTCCCCAAGGACCTAAAAATATCAATAAACAACAAATTTAGGTCCCCAAATGCTATTAACACAGTCAGAAAAAGCATCTAAGAGAAAAACTAAACAAAGTTATCGATCTTATTGAATATCTTTTTCTCAACCACAACAAAGAATACATATGCCGAAAGAACAACATGATATCTTTCGGGGATTACAATACCACACTCAAATGGAGTAACACTTTAAATCAAAAAATGATTGTATGCAGCCCAGACAATGTTTATGAATTTAGCTTAATAATAGTTTTTGTGTGGCAAACATGTCAACAAAAATGTTGTCTTCAAAAAGGCAAGGAAACAAAACCTACGTGATGCTAGATGTCTTTCTGGAAGCTCCACTTCCAAGCATCTTCCTGGGGCTAAAAACAATGAGACAAGTTATTTCAAGACTGATAGCAAGCATTAAGTTTATATGGAAGTTTTGTGAATTCTTTCCTCAATTCTTACAATTGAGGAAATGTTCACATCAGCCACAAAACCCCAAACCCATGGTACTGTTATATGAGGGATGAGTGTTTTTAGAATGGCATCTCTTACTTTGGTGTAGAACTATAGTCAGGGATGATTGCTCTTTGTCCAGGTGGGCGGACAGCTGATGGAGACCACTTGGTTGGTTTTGGAGGTGTGGCAAGCGAGGAAATTCCCAATGAGTGGCACTTGTGTTTTTCTACAAGAAAAGTTATCTATGTCATTCATACAATCAACATTCAATATCTTTCCCATTTAATTTCTACAATTAAAGATGCTACAGAATATAGTTTCACAAAAAAAAGAAGAAAAAATGCAATTCTTTTCTTCCAAGCAGTTCAGAGTTACCATGATTTGGGTTAAAAAGTGCAGCAATCTGGAAAAAAATAAACCCCCTTGCTTTACAGCAGGTCCTTAGAGACCAGACACATTTCAGAATTAATCCTTGGCTATGCCAAGCATTTTGACCCAGGAAATTAAGCTTGTGATTGCAATTGTATTGTTAGTGCTATAAACAACTACCAAAAAAAAAAGTTTATAAACATATATACAAATGTATATATATATATGTACAGATGTGTATATATATATATATGTACAGATGTATATATATATATACATGTGTGTATGTATACACATATGTATGTGTAATATGTGTGTATATATACTTCTGGCAATCCAAAAAACCACATAATTTGATAGACTGGCTCTTTGGAATGTGACCAGACCTAGGGTTAACAGACTGTTTGTTCATGTACCCAGTGTGGGAGCTGTAGTTACACTTTTGCAACACAGCGATACAATACCAGGTGGAGAAGGCCCCATGGAGGTTGTGAGTGCAGCAGAAAAGGGGAAGAATGGGTTAACAGCCTTAGGTTTAGACATTCCTACATCCAAGTGTCAAGGGCACAAAGGAGATTAAGTTCCTCAGAGCCTGACAGATTAAAGGAGCGGCTTCTGATACCTTGGAAAAATAGAACATAGGTAGAATCTGTCTAGATTAGAAGAATTACAACAGTTAATGGGAATTTTAGGATATTGGTGCAAACATCCCTGGTTTCTCTATTATTGCCCATCCCTTGTACAATTTGCTCAAAAAGGAAAAGTCATGGGAGTGGACTGAGCAACACATGAAGCAGCTCTGGAGCTTGGTCCCACAACCCCCCCGGGACCCTATTACAGCAGAATGGGATTCTGTTGAGAACATGGCACTGCAGCTTGTTTCACACTGGCCCTGATGGACCAGAGAGATTCAGCCCAACTGCAATGAAAGAGACAGAACAGAGATATTCTGAGCTGGAAAGGGGACTTTAATCATCAGTCCAAGCCATTAAACAAGTTGAGCCACTAAGAGATAACCTGTCTGGACAAACCCCAATGAAAGCTGTATTGCTTTCATTTTCCAGGAATGATACTGAGAATGATGCCAGCACATCTTCACTGGAGATCAATTTAATCATCTGAAGACTGCTTATTCTTGTTGTAGAAGCAACTATTGCCATCATGAACCAAATTTGGTTCACACATCAACAAGCTCGACCTGCAGGGTGGAGACCCTCACTTCTATCTATGGAAGCTAATAACTACGGTAACTAGAGTGCAACATTAATTCCTCCACACTTCTCACTTGGGAGATTTACTGTGGCAGCAAATATAAGGGAAGGAGATGAGGGCACTTTGCCCACTGAAATTAGAAAGGCAACCTCAATGCCACTGAATTTGACAGGGAATTTCAGTCCTGGTAGCATCTAATCAATTTGACTTAGGACCTTATTAAGAATACACTAAGAAGGAAGATGGATAGCATCACTGGTCAGACTCCCTCTTCAGATGGTCACTCACAGCTAGAAGAATTTTCAATAAAGTACTTCATCCTGTTGTTGCTATGTTAATCCTGACTCTAATATGTCTTGGTTTTATCATAGACATGCACATAAAAATCTGGAAAATGATCTGTCAGAAACATATACAGTCTGGGTGTGGCATAATAAAAGGTGTGGGGGATTGGTATGAGCAATTGTTCTACAGAGACCCCCCAAAAATCCATTAAACAGGTGTGATAGGGGCACCAAATTGAAGGTGTTTCTGTAGTCACAGGGTGGATAATGCAGGAACAAGGCCTACAGCAATGAGATACATGATGAAGGGACTTCCATGAGATATGCCAAGAGATGTGTAGCTAAGGGATTATGTGGCCATGATGGCATGCTGAGGGGATGGTAGGTTATCAGGCAAAGGCTGGATGACCCTCATCACTGCAGTCAGCCAGGGAAGAGGGATTGAGGCTAAGGTGTCAGTGTTGGCGAATCTGGGATCACAAAACAAGACCAGACTCAGACTGCGACCCACATTACTGGTGCACCTGGGAACATGATCAGACTTCAAATGCTGAATTGGTTAAAATCAGAAATTAAGCACAGCCATATTCAGCCCTTCAGATCTGTGAGGACCAGCTGGAAAGAAAGGGGGTTTATTTGCTGCCAAAGTGCTACACTCCCAACACAACACTATGTATCTTGCCAGAACTAAGATATTTGCTGTTAAACACCATGTCAAGAACCCTTTAAAGAAAACAGTTTAGTTGTCCATAACTATATAGAATGTTGATATGGAAAAGCAGGAAAGCAGCTATACAGAAATGTTGTCAAATAAAACTTTAAACAGCAGTTATAAAATGTAAGACAATGAAATAAGGCCCAAAATGCACTGTAACCTTCGCCAGGAAGATGAGCACAGGCATCAGCTCTGCTAGAAGATGATGATCTCTCTTCAACCCGAAGGCCAACTTGACGTTCAAGGCGCTCTCGAATTCCTTGAATGGCGGGCTCATGCTTCCCTTTGCGTTCTCTGGCATATTCAATAGCTCGCAAAATTTTATTTAAGCGATCACTTGATATTCCACGAACACCCTAAGGAAACAAATTGTACTGTAAACACTCTTTCAGGCTTCAGATATCATAAAGCTTGTAGAAAAATCACAGAAGATGGTAACATTGCCCACAAGTGTATCCATATCCTCCACAGCTGTAATTTGATGGCCATCCCCTCAGGTTACTGGTTAAGGAATTACAGTTATTTAAAACACAGAAATTTAGCTTTGAATTTTATAGGTTGAGAACTGTAGTACAACAGTGAAAGAGAACAGAAGAAAAGTGGTACAAAGATTACCCTTCTTTTAAATCATTCAATATCTTACTGCTTTAATTCCCAAGGATTCCAGCTTCTCCTCCAGAGCTTGCTCCAAAACAACTCGCAATTCTTTAGTTAAAGAAGGATCAGACTTCAGAGCATTTATTAAATAGTGCTTACTTCTGTCTGGTTTTAGATCAATTTTCTCAATTTCTGAAATAAGAAGGAAAAATTCTGTTATGAGACATTTTAAAATCCACATTACATGAGACAATTAAAAACTGCACTTAAGCATGCATTCTCTAGAACCAGCATATGTGCACTTTTTATCTACCTGGAATTGTGTCATTTTCAAAATACTGGGCTAGCTTACAAAAGCCAGCTCACTTGGAATTTGTACCTCTGCACATTGTACTCACCATCACAAGTATCTTATTGCTCATTACAGAATCACTGTAAAGATACAGCGCTAAATATTTGGGAACAAAGATCTTTACTTTTAGCATTGTACTTGAAAACTTCTGATAGAGACTCAATGCCACTGAATTAAGTATCTTCTGATACTTAAGTTCTCTAAATGTGGTATTTCAAAGAAAAGCTGAATTCTAGCAGGAATTAGAACAAGAATACTACAAACTTAAGAAAAGCTTCAAGCAACGCGACATTCTCTGATAAAATCACCTACTGAAATTAAACCTTTGCAAAGTTGTAACACTTTCGAAAGTCTTGGTAAAGACAAAACCTTGTCTGGGGCAGACTGTTTCACAGAAAATACATGATGGATAATAGCCATCTTCAAAAATCTTTCAAGGACAAAGTTCAGTGTCGTGTTTTCTTCTATGCAAGTCTGTGACATCATACATACTTAAAAGCAGACAAAAAAGTTCCTCTCTCTTTTTCTTGCTTTAAGTGTCAACAATGACACTTATGTCAATAAAAAACTGTTATGCAAGCAATAAAGAATCATCTAGACAGATTCTTCCATCTAAAATGAAGACAGACATTTAAGTTAGGCCAAAGTATTATTGGGTCATAGAGGAGAGTGAAGAAGAAAAACACATTTAAAACCTGTCTGTAAACTGTCACTGGCAAGACAAAATTTTACTGAATGCCACTTAAAGTAAAGGAAGCGATAACCTGTGGAACCATGATGGCTGCTTCTGTCTGGCAGTGGTCAGCAGAGCTGACTAAGAGTATAAAACATCCCAGGAAAGCTGTAAACCACACTCCCAATTCCCCTGAAATAACAGGAAAATCTTGGGCAGGAGTTTGTCTTCCCAGTATGCCTTACAGGGCAGCAAAGTCATCTGCCACCCAATAGACAAGGACAGGAATGAAGGCATAATTCCATATTGTGACTTTCAAATATTATATTTTTAAACAAATGCGCCACTTTTTCTATTTGTAAACAATGACAGCTTATTAGAAAGCAGTTCCATTTACTTTTCATTTTTCTTTAAGGGAAAGACAAGCACCCTAAAGAGGAGACAAAAAAGCCTCAAGATGCACAAATGACATATTAGGCAGTTTTGAGAAACTGGCTTCCCATGGGGTCCTGGAAAGAACTATAGGTAATGGAAACTGAGAGTCCAATCTGCCATACTATTAGATCTGTGTTGAAGAGGACATAATCAGGCTGAAATCTCATCTGGTTTTGGGAACTGTGTGGACAACTCAGTACCTGACAGAGATGACATTAAAACTTTGATTTGATGACATTAAAAATTTGATTTATCTGGAGAACTGAGTCCTAGAAGAGGCAAAGAATTGGTCTTGAGGAAACACAGGGCTATCTGACTATCCCCATTCAGGACAAGATGGCACTGTGCAGTACAAAATCCTCCCAGAAAGCCATATATGAGACATTTTAAAGTGGAAGATTCCTAGGAGCCTTCTGAAAATCCTACCTCTTTCCAATGTTAATCCTTACAAAAAAACAGATACATTTAAACTCATTTTTAAATTCCTAATTACTAAATACTAATGAGGGTAACAAGACTATCCAGCATTATCCTAATTAATGACAATATCAATTCTTGCTAATTAATTCAAGCCAAATCCTCTTTGCCAGAGCAATTATTTAAGGAACTGTTTTCTTATTCATCCCCAAATACTAGATTTAACTTTTGAGACAAGGGACCTTACATCTGGTCCACTGCCTCAGCTCCTACATAATCCTAGAAAATGATGTTCTGAGTCAAGAATTTTCACACTCTCCCTTACAAATGACTGTCATCAAAACCAAAAAAATCTTGGTCTATCTTTTCAGACTGCATTCTTTCTTTTCTCTTATGCACTTCAGGCCATGCCTTTAGGCACAGCAGAAGAAACAAAGACAATCCATCAAGAGAGAAGATGGCAAGCAAGAGAAACAGCAGAAGGAACGGCAAAAATGCAAACAGTCTTTATTTCAGATTGTTCAGAGGCACTGGATTTTCCCTGGGGAAACCTCCTAACACACAGACGTATTCAAACAATGATTTTGTTTTCAAAACAGCATCATTCCTTTGAAATTTAAACTCACTGGCTGTAGGGTTCAAGACTGATTTTGATTTTCACACACAGAAGAGATTTTTATTTGGTGTTTCACTATTAGCTGCCTTCAGGAGAAGAACACCATGCAGGATGAACCAGTGCTTTCTGTTCTCTCACTGTAAATGTGGCCTTCTCCAAGGTCTCCTCAGAAGAGGCACAACAGCTGCCAATGCTAGGCTAGGTAACTTTATTCTGAATTGCACAGCCCTGGCTGCAGCTGTGGCTCCTTATGGGTAGGTGCAAGTCAGATTACCTGTAAAATTATCTGTGATGCATTCATGAAAGCTGGCAGCTCCAACCTCCACCATCAACTTCCTTCCACCTGAACTCTTCATCCTCTTATGCAGAGTTTAAAAAGGGAGTGAGCTCATATTGCAATAGTGTCAGCACAAAAATTTCCTAGTCAGGGGCTTTTCCCCATAATTTTTGATCTGCTTAGTTCAAATCCCTTTAGACATGTGAGATATGTGACTGTTTTAAAGAAATTAGCCAGATTTTCATAAAAACATTGAACTTGGATAAGGAAATCATAATATTTATAAGCAATAGCAAACAGGAGACTGACACAAACAACATTCCCACCCAAATCACACAAATATAATGAAATACAATGAAAAATACTGTAGGTATCAAATAATATGTTTTGTTTTCAAGAAACACATGCCAGCATATTTTGAGCTGAATCAATCATTACCTTTTTCCTCTTCTGAAAGCTCCTCTATGGGCTCCAGCATATGCACCAAGGGTGCCTGCTCTAATAATGAGGAAGAACAGGAACACCAGACAAAAAGGACAGAAAAAGGTCAAGGTCCAGAGAGGGAAAGTCAGAAAAAAAACCACCACACCGATGTCAACTTTCTTGATTGCTGACAACCTGCTTAACCATCACAAACCCACTGCAACATGACTCTTCAGTGCCTCAGGGGGACATTTTTGTGGAGGAGACCCTAATCCAGTAGTCACTTCAGGAGTGATTCCGCTGTCCAAACACAGGTGTATGGTGTCATCCCAGACACATCAGAGTTTTAAGCTGTCAGTGCAAGGTTGACTGATACATCACACAACTTCTGGAATGACACCAGGTAGGCCAGGTAGGGTAGTTTTAGACATCTACAATGTCAGGGCCACCCAGGATTACATAAATCAATATTGATGTTAATTTCTCATAAAAAGACATTTTTTAGGATGCATTTAAAAATATTGTTTATGTGCAATTCTGTACTTAAAAAAGACAAGTGAAATGGACAAAGTAAACCTCAAAAATATATAAAAAAATATATTAACTCACTTTCCAGAGAGTTATTAAGTACTGAGTCCATATGTGCAAGACAGAGATTTAACATATGTGTATATATATATATAATATATATATAAATTATATACATATATATATATATATATATGAGATAATTCCCAATAAAACAATTTCAAAAATCTTCACTCACTCCAATTGAGTAAGATTCAGTATTATCATGTGTTTTAAAGAATTCTTGAAATGTCTGTGCTGCAAACAGTTTCCTAAACACGCTGAATTTTTCATTCTATAGGCTGTCAGGTACAATTTGCTTCTGACTTCAAAAAATGAAGTCAGACTACAGTTTATTTAAAACTTTATTAATTTATAAGACATGCTTGAAAATTATTATATGTAGATCAATTCAGGTTTTTAAAATGTTAATATTCATCTTCTATAAATTAATTGCTATCAATGAAAACTAGAGCTTGAGTGTCTTGTAGGGTTTACAATAAAAACAGGTATGCAAACTGTACTTTCAGCATTCAACTACAGGTGTTATAAGAGAAAACAATTTATTGATCAGTATTTTGGGCCTACATGCATTTTCCCCATCCTTCACAAAAAAACCTCTTGCACTATAAATGGTTGTTATGCTCTGTGGGTAGAAGGGGAGGAGTGATGCTGCATGAAGATGTTCTTTGGCATTTCTTGTACACCAGGTACAAACATGGATGCTCTGTGACAGGTAATCACAGTGAAATAAGCATTTGGAGCTAAGTGACACTGCCACATCTCCAATATTCCTCAAGTAAAAGGGATTAAATGTGGTGGCATAAATGCTCAGGTATGAGAGCTGGTCTCTCCATGCTTTCCATGCCTGTGGTGATATTCAGCCTCTCATCTGCTCTTCCAAGCCAATTACCAGACTTACGATTTGCTCCCACAGAACTTGCACTAAATAAGAAGTTTTTAAAAAATGCTTCTTTTACCATCACAAGTCATTAACAAGATACCAAGATATCTTAGGAAAACATTTAAAAGCAAAACTCTGAGAGACAAATGGGCTTCTGATCTTTCAGTCTCTAAGGCTGTAAAATTTACCAGTGGCCAGAGCATTCCTGGGCACTGGAACATGACCCTCCACATTACTGCTCCTGGCACACCGCTGCCCTTCACCAACTAAGATCCTCCAAAACAGTGTTCAGACACAGTTTGGAATCATTCCCAAAAGCCTGAAATGTGTCTGTCTAGAAGGACATAGCCTGAAGCACAGATGAAATGTTCTGGGAAGATTTAATTAAGCTGCATGGGCACTGAGATTTAATCAAGCTGCATTGGCTGAACTTACCAATCAGTAAGGCAGTTGCTGTGTAGTTGGATTTAATCTATGCTTGTTTTACCTGTACTTTGCTCAAATGCTCTCTGCTTAAAGGGGTTGACTCATCTCTGCACAAGCCCTTGCCAGGTGACTTAATGTAACAGGAAAATCCCAGTCCCCAGAACTCAGACCTGAAAATGGTCTGCTGATCAGGCATAAAGGTACATGCTTCTCTTCTTCAGTGTACCAGAAACAGAAGAGATGAAAAACCAGGAATTACTAAGAACAGTTGCATGAGCAGACCTAAGATGCATTACTGTTATGTGTAATAATGTTCACTGCATGGCAACAGAAGAGATCAAATGCTAAGGCAGGAGGGAGTGCAACACCTGAAATTACCAACTTCCCTTATGTAAACAAACACATTCTAAGAGATACCTATTAAACATCACAATGGAATCACATTTAAGAAAAACCATTACTCTGGTTTACAGACAGGTGTGGAGATGACCCCCTCCCTTAAGGAGTCCTTTCCTTATGTTTATCAGAGAAGGGCTTCTTCTGGCCATCTATCATCACATACTAAATATCATCAAATATTCTAGCCATCATTAAGGCCAGCAGAGGTGTGTCTATCATCCCATATCTTCCAGAGTATCTCTTCTGCCAGCTAGTATGTGTGGAGACACAGATGAGATGTATCAAAAGTACAGGTTACCTTAATTTCTCAGTGGATAATTATATTACTGAAAAATTATGTGCCCAGCATACTTCAAGAAACAATTAAATATCTGTTTTAAAGAGCATTTGAAGACAATTTCTACACAGGTGGAACAGGAAAATATCTTTAACAATAATGAAGGATTCAGGCTGTGTATGTTTCATGCATATATTATTTGTCTGTTCTTATCTACAAGTTAAAAATATTCTGACAGTACTATGGGAAAAGCAGTCTTCTGGCCAACATTTAAAGAAGAAATCCCATATACTTATGTTAAAATATGAAATGCTAAAAAACTTTTAGCCTGAACAGAAGCAATAAATTTATCTATGCTGTAGTGTCATCTACAGTAAGCACTTTGCACTTGCAATGTAACAACCTAGGAAAATATGTAAAATGTAAGCCATGGCTACACTTATTTCATGCTCCTTTAATTTATACTCAAATTACACATACAAAGAGCTGCCAGACCTAATCTGTGATGCATGTAATTTGGACCATTGTTTCTCAATTAATACACTTAATATATTTTTTTCTCCTAACTGATCAATAGAAAGCCACATACTGCACGCAAGGAGCAGAAATATTAATTTTAAACCAATATTCCTAAGTATGATTTTTTTTGACACTTACCTGAGGCCCCTAAGTTAGGAGCCCAGTCACCTCAGACTCCATCTACAGTCATCGAAGGGACACAGGCAACTTCAAAGAGCATTCAGATCTTAGTTCAGCTGAACCAAACTCTGAAGGTGCCCCTTTTCTCTGTTTACTGTCTAGAAAGAGTAAGTACTTTAACCTAATTTTCCTCAGATGCTCCAGCTATGTCCCTAGTGATAGCTGAGCCTTGGTGTCCACACCATGTTTACAGACTGAGACACAGGTTTTAATGAACAATCTAATTGATAGCTTTGCTTTTTAACTACTGTCTTCAATTCCACCTAATATTATTGACTTAACTAAGACTAAATATTGAACAAGTATCAACATTTCAAGAGTAATATAGAAGCCAAAGCCTAATTTTAAAATATTACTTAAAAAAATAAATTGTACTTAATCTGTTGCCTTTTTGTGAGACTGAAGTAATCTTTGAAAGTAAGACCTAAGTTATATCTTCACAAAACCCTACAGGTAGCTCAGAAATGGACAGAAGAATGTTGAGCCAGAATGGCATTTAAGGAGCTCTACTAGCTCTCACAAGAAGTCAGGAACATTAACACAAAAACATCAGATTAACATAGTCATTCTCCTACTTTCCACCTAGGGTAACTCACATTTGCAACTTGGGTATCTTTTCATAACACAGATTTAAGATGTGCAGAATGAATACTAGGATGCAAAAGCATCTGAGTGGCTTTGAAAAGTGTACTTAAGTTCACATTAGAGAGCCTTTTCTAGAATTAAAAAAAAAGAATGAAGATATTTTATATGCAAGCAATTATAAGATGATCTGTGCTAAATAATTTTGTCTACACAAGTTACCAGGAAGTGCTTTCCTTTTCATAAAGGCATGAGATGCAGCCATGATGTCTTAATTCAGAAAGTCAATCCCTTGAGGAGTCCTGAAAACTTCGGGAAAGACACCATAACTTCTGCTAACCTCCAGAAAATTAGGTAAGGCAAGTTTAAAAAACAATCCAGAAGGGAAGAAAGGGGACAGACAGAGAGACCTGCAGAGATAAATAAAATAGTAATCAGCAAAGGAATCTGAAAGGAACACCTTCTTTGAGGTTTCATAATAAACTGATGGTGAATCTTTTGTGTATCAACGGCAGGAATAGCCTTTTCTATCTTGAGAAGTTTCACAAGATGTCACAAACTTCATATTTGAAGCAGCAAGAAACTATGAAAGATCTGAATGAGCTGATTTAAATTGTGAGAGTACAAAAATACTAATGTTCACAGGACTGTTCCTCAGGAAATGTGCTCAGTATAAATGAAAGCAAATGCACAAAGGAACTAATGCTTCACAATCTTGGTGTGTAAGTTTTTAGCAGCAATAATCTTCATAAAACTTAAATCTTAAATTCGGGACAATTGCTAAATTATATGCTGTGACACTTCTTAGCCAGAACCAGACTACAACTGTTTTGGTGTAATGAGGCTGGCTTAAATTAAAAGGAATTAATTGTTCTAAATGCTATTGCTAATTCTCTATACTTCATATACTATTACTTTTGGCTACACAGTATTCATCCATATAGTTTAACTTAGGAAGCTACAAGCAATGAACTACTAAACCTTGCATAGTTTAGAAAGAAATCTCTGTATTATTCAAATAATGTTACCATAGAATAATTAGCAATAATACAATCACTTTTCCTTTTTTAACTAATTCTTGTCTTGTCACATAGTCGAAAATGAGCACTGCACAAGTTTTTCATTCCTCATCAAGTTATCAAAAGCTTGATAGATAACACCCTTTCTCCACAGAGGCATTTTCAGAATTTTTTGTATTTGGTGAAAAAGAAAAATTATCTACATTTTTCACAGACAAATTCCATTTAGTGTCCTGTGACAGGCTTAAAAACTAAGAGAAATAATCAGGAAAAAAAACATTATTCAACTACAATTCAAATCAATAAACTGTTTTTAAACACTATGCTTGCTTGTTTTTCATTACTTAAAAGAAAAATAAAGAATTAGTTAATCACAGAATATTGGTATAGTAACAAAACTCTCCATTAATTTGCATACTGATTAAAAAAACAAAATTACTTTCACAAAACTATTTTCACAAAGTACAAAACAATGTAAATATAGCTCCCTTGCCCCCCTCCCCTTCTAAAGGATACCACAGGGCCACAAGTTAAAATACCTAAATAATGATCTATATGTAACCACAGGTATACTCTGGAAGAACTACGATGGGATAACTGTCTATTTTGATTATTTTTTCTGCATTTTTACTCCTTGCCATTTGAAGTCACATGGAAAATACAGTATTTCAAGACTTGCAAACAAACATCTCCACATGTTTCCCTATACAAACTCCAGCAGATGCATGTACCTATCCAGTATATGCATATAATGTACCTATCCAGTATAAGCATATTTTCCATTAGAAAACACAAATTTCTTCCTCAATATATTTCATCTAAGTGATTCAATAATATAACTATTCCAGGAAATATTCTCAGATTATTTTACTTTGTTTTTAATTTATTCTTCTCAGTAGTGCATCCTTATAATTATTTCATAGAAATTCTCAACTCTGACATAAAAATTATGTTCTTTCAATATAACTACTCTTAGACCTATGATTTGACAAAAGCAAATGATCTGAGAAATGATTTAACAAATTATTTGACAAACCTATGATCTGAGAAAAGAAAGGGTTAGATTTGAAAGTACTGGATCTGGACCTATCAAAAAAAACTTACCAGGTGGGGGAATTGATGGAGTTGATTTAGATTCTTGAAGACGCTCTACAGGAGTGTTCACTAAAATAACATAATAGTAAAAAAATAATAAAATTGTATTATTGTAAATAGTAACAGACAAATACAGATTCTTAAATATAGCAATATTCAATCATATTTATAAATCAGTTATGTTTTGACATTAATGGGCAAAAAATAAACAAAACATTTACAAAGTAAAAACTGTTCCTTCACAACATAAAAGTACATCTCTATGTATGCTTAGCATTTTTAACACTTCTAGAATCAGGAAAAGAAACTACTAACTCAATCATCACTGGACTAGAACATGATCATTTTTTTGGTCACGAGTGCATGCTGCCTTTTGTGTCACAGGGAAGAAGTCTTGGCCCAAAGCTACTTAGTCAAGACCAGCCTGACCAGGGCTTGTATTCCCCAGAGAGGATCTGCAGCATCCACAAGCGACATCAATGAGTGCAAACACTCATACATCTATAGATCATGAATAGGGTGTAGCCTTGGAGTGAATAAAGCTTCAATCCTACATTGCTCAGATCAGCTTGGGGCTAGGAGCAAATCTGCCATGGACTTTTACTTGTCTGTGCTTCAGTGTGAATAAATATGACCAGCTAGAGCTGAAAAGCCACACAGCCTTCCTCTATCTGAACCTACTCCCTGCTCTTTGACTCAGTTCAAGCCAGTGTCTTGTTAATACAGAAAAATGGTTTCCAAACTGGGATCAGAATTAATTCAGCAGTCATCACCTATTGCAAAAAACTTACTTCAAGTCACTGCAACTGCAGCATTAACCCATATGGGTGTTTGTAGTGCAGGACAATATCCTGAAACACTATTATCAGGTTTAGCTATTTGTAATAGACTTCAGATGTTAAAGTATTGCACAGACATAAATATAAGAGTTCTTAACATTCTTTGAACATCTGTGTCTTAACTGACAAGTTAATCCGTTTTGTCTATTCTTTCACTATTTTCCCTTTTGTGAGTTCTGCAGCCTAAGGACAGTCAAGCATGAAAAAAAAATCAATTTAAATTGTACTTCATAAAACAAATCTGGAAATTTTTTACATAATACAAAATAAAGTTGTTCTATTTTACATCTCTTCACTACTCAAGCAATCAACTTTGTCCATTAGAAGTCTTTACAGCCACAAAGCACGATCTTTGTAAATCATGGCATAGAAACAGGTAGATACTCTGTGAAAAACAAATACATTTCCAGTGCTGATTTTATTTCAGTATTTTGTTAGTCAGGTTGATGTCTATATTTGTTTCAGCTAGGCTGCAGAAATCAGAAACTAAGTCTGTTTTTTCTTACAGTTTGTACTCACCATCATATGTTTTAACACTTGGAGCTGGTTTCACAGACAATTCTCTTATCTAAAGTAGAAAACACAGATACAGGAATAGATACAAATATATATCATCAATATCTAGAATGAACATTTAGCATGAAATACCTAGTTTCAGTACTATTCCATAAGACACCATAAGAGAAGTTATGGGTTATGATTTGGGGCAAAAAATACTACATCTGTGTCCAATATATATTTTGTTCATGCTTAATGAATGTTTTTGTGTTGTCTTGATGTCCACTCATGCTTTGTACATCTTGTTATTACATCAAATGAGAGCAGACTTAGGGGCCACTTCAGCACTTAAGAGTTTCAATACTTTCTTCCTCAGCAATTCATATCCCATTTTGCAAGCCTGGCTTCCACTACACGGAAACACCGGAGTGTTTAATTGCACATTGATTTTAAATGCATGAACAGTTCTCCTCTCTGCTTTACAGGTTTATCTATGTGACACCCCAGAACAAGCACTGAACTAACAGAGTAAAGGAAATATGCTGTCTGTAATGTGATCTAAAGAAAATAGGAAATTTGTGAATACTGTATCACTAAAACAATGTTCTGCACTCCAATTCCCCAAAGAGAAGAAGAACACAATTCATTCATCAAACACACAGCCACTGTCAGATGGAGCTGGCACAAATATTGGACCCTGATCCTCTTATATTTATCGGTTTGGTTATAGCCAGTAGTGCCTCTATTCATTGTCCATTAAGTTTGGATTCTGCAAAAGTGTTACCTATTTCTCAAGCCCTTCTATTTTGCAGGGATTGAGAATGTAGATCTGCACAACTGTATTTCACGAACACCAAACTTGGACTCCCCTGAACCTATTACACATCTGTGGTCATACTGTTATCTTTCCAAAGGTCACTTGATTGAAGGAAATTCATCTATGATTGTCCTCCATTTCTCCAGCTATAAAATTTGTGAAGGTGGAGATGCAAAAGCTATTATTTGTCTTTCCATTCTTTAAGCATTCAAGTATAAGTTTAACATTAATCTCAAGCAAAATGTGTAAAATCAGATTTACAAAGAATGCACCATCTGATAGAGGAACAGGCCACATATTCATGCCATAGGCTAAACTCCAGACTACCCAGATCTTCCCCCACCAATCACCTCTAAAAATCTATACTTATGTTTCAACAAAACCTTATTTTAGGCAAAAACAATTCATTTCCAAACATAGAATCATAGGCTATCTCACACCGGAATGGACCTACAAGGATCAAGTCCAATTCCCTCACTGGACTACCTAAAACTCAAACCTGAGAGCATTGTCCAGACATGCCAAGAGCTCTGACAGGCTTAGTGCCACAATCACTTCCCTGGGGAGCCTGTTCCAGTGCCCAACCACCCTCAGCGTGAAGAACCCTTTCCTAATGTCCAATCTGAATCTCCCTGCTTCATTCCATTTTCTTGTGTTCCATCACTGATCACCAGTGAGATCAGCACATCTTCCTCCATTGCCCCCCCTTGAGGCTGTGATGAGATCACCTCTCAGCCTTCTCTTCTCCAAGCTGAACAAGCCAAGTAACAACAGCTGCTCCTCCTAAAATGCCCTCAAGACCTTTGATCACCTTGTTTGCCCTCCTCTGGATGTACTGAAATAGTCTGGTGCCCTTCTTAGCCTGAGGCACCCAAACTGCACACAGGACTCAAGGTGAGGCAGCACCAGCACAAAGCAGAGCAGGACAATCCCCTCCCTCAATCAGCTGGAGATGCTGTGCCTGATGCACCCCAAGACATGGCTGGCCCTTGTGGCTGCCAGGGCACTGCTGACTCACATTCAACTTGACATCACCTCAAACCCCCAGATCTCTTTCTGCAGGACTTCTCTCCAGCTTCTTGCTCCCCAATACGTGGGTATAAGCAGGGTTACCCCATCTCAGGTGGAGAATCTGGCACTTGGTCTTGTTACATTTCACATGGCAATATTTCAAGTAATTATTCTCACAGTAATGAATATGATACTTTATTTTTAGTGTGAGAAGTAATGTATTTTCAGATTTCAAACACTAGATCCCGTTATGATTACATCCTTTTCACTATCAAAAAAAGTTTGGTTTATTAAGCCTTTCTTTATCAAATGTGTTTTAATTCCTGGTACATTCCTGCATCTCTTTTCCAGATCTATTCTTATTTATCAACATAATTTCCAAAGCCTTACCAAAGCACTCCAGCAATACTATTACAAACTGCAAATATTGAATATGCAGTCAGAGAAATATCAAAACCCAAATGCTAGTAGAGTGTTTCTCTGTGTCCTGTGCTCTCTGAAACAGAGTGTTTCACAAAACAGACCTGCTTCCTCTGACTAATAATCAGATCATTCTGCTCCTGAAGCCTCTTCTCCAGTTCTTCTATCCTCTTCCTGTAAAAGATGTTATTTCTGTTCAGGTCTTCCCTTGCTGATGTTTTGGTGTTCTCAACCTCTGACCGAAGCTAGAAAGCAAATTAGAAGACAAGTAACATCATATTAACACTATGCAAAATATTTTAATACTACAAAGTCTAAACAAGAAAGTGTCATGCTTAGATACTTTTAACATTTTTTTTCCTCAGCAAAAACCTGATGTCTTCTGTGACTTCATTAGGACTTGTATAAATCATAGAACAGTTGTCTGGATCACTTTCGAATTACACAAGGAAGACTACCTAAATCTCAATATAAAGAAAATAACATACACACATTGCTGAGATTGCCTAAAAATAAGATTGCAGGGAAAAGTGTGTAGATCTATAAAAATGTTTTAATTGTAAATAGTGTCCAACAATGATACTTTAAGGAGGTGATACGTGAATTTGTATGATAAACCTAGTATATTACCTCCAAATGTGGAAGAAAGGGAACATTATTTAGGTGCATCATCCCAAAAGTAATACTTACATTACTTCTCCCTTATTCTATTCTTGCACTGTATGTGGGTGTATCTTTAACTACATCCTTTTTGGGGACTGTTCCATGGTTCATCCCCAATGTTTTCTTGCCAGAGGAGGAGAAGCATTGGTCAGACCACTATGATCTGCTCAGTTCTTACATGGTCACGCAGATGAAAGGAAAATGAAAGGAAAAGAAGCAAGAGAAACAAAGCAGCAAAGAGATTAAAAAGAAATGCAGATGTAAAAAGAAATCTGAGGAATAAAGCTTTGTATAGTAAAATATATAAACTGATGCAAAATAAAATCCCATGGTGTTTTCTCCTGGAAAAGCTGAACAGATTCTGCATTAGAAAGCTACAACAGAAAAAGCAATAGAGAAGTGATAGGAAGGAGAAAAAAAAGACTGAGACACATGCCATAGGTCCATGGTAGGTACAGGGTGGATGAAAGCTACATGTTGGCAAGTCATATCTCAACTATTCAGCCACATAACATAGAAAATACTGTATAATACAGTGCTCACACAAACAGCTGTAAGCTCTTCAAAAGACAGACACAGTTTCATTTTTTTTTTCAGATTCTGAAATGATGAATTCATTTTCAACCCTGGCGTTAACTGAAACACCAAGATCCTACCGTAACAGAAACACAGAGATGATAAATACAGCTAAGAGGACATACTCTTATAAACTCTTGATATCTGGCAGATGTACTAGAGCACATCAAGAACTACTGAAAGAGTAAATAAAAAAAAAAGTCTCCTTTAGGTGTAAGTGGTTAGCTGTGCCACTTACCAGGGACGTTTCTGTCTCATGGTCATGACACTTGGCTTGCATACAAGACACCCACTTTTTTTCCTGCATAGAGGAAACCCATGTTAATTCTTGTTAACAACACATTTAATTTGATATATGAAGCTTTATTTTTCTAAATAAAGCATAAATACTAAAAAGATTACAGATTCGATGAAATTTGAGTAACCCAGTACTTAATGCCTAGAACAGTTGATTTATACATCTGAGTGTGGTTTTCCTACCAATCACTCCAGAAACTGTATTTTCCTTCTGATTTGTATATGCAGTCACTGTGAGTGAGAAATACACAAGCATTTTGATACTTCTCTGGTATTAACAGAAAGAGTAGTAAGAACAGGGGGTTTTCCCTTAAAGAATGTAATTTTGAGCACTCATTTACAACATATTTTCCATAATAATGAAAAACCCCAACATTAACAAACGAGTTTTAGAGTGAAGCCAATTTTCTTTGATGAAATAAAAAAAAAACAACAAACCATAAAGCCAAAGTAAGTTTTGTACATCTTTGCACAGAAATGATCAAACTTCTGTATAATACCAGCAGTAAACAAAGGCCTTCACATCCCAAAAACCATGAAAGAAAACAAAAGGCACAGGTTGGAAAATCCTGTTAGGAAGTTTCCTAATTTTCATTTTGGGAAATGGAATACTCCAATTTTTCTGTAAGTGGCCTCACGGATGGGTAAACATAAATGCTTTGTTAGAGCCTTCTGGAATTGAACTGCCACCACACTTGGCAAAGACAGATATGCTTAATCATAAAGAATAAGAGAATATCAATAAATAAGCAAGAATTACTTCATTTATAAAAGATAAAGAAAATAAATCCTTGTTTCTCATTATATGGATAGTATTAAATAGTATTAAATCTTTAAAACCAGATATTTTTGGCATTAGAAATAATGAAAACTTTCCTTAGGGATTTCATATCCTACTCAGAGATGAAGAAAAATAAAAAGAAAGCAAGTAATCTGTCAAAAACAATACATTAAGTTACAGTGTTACCTGTTTTTCCAGAAGTTTAACCACATATGGATGATCCCGAAGATGATGAAGTTTCTCCTCTGTAAACTCATGGCTGTCTTTCAGTGTTCCTAAATTGGATTTTTGTTGCATATTGGACTTTTGTAATTCTAACAGTTGCTAATAGGAGGGAGGAGGAATACAAAATTTTCTTTAAACACAGTTATGCAGAGATTGCATCAGATATTTCTCCCATTTCATGTAAGGTCAGCATTTATCAAATTTCACGTCATCAATAATATCTACATCTAAAATAAATATGACTTGTAAAAGTACACAGGACCTAGCAGCTGCAAAATGTAAGCTGCTCTGGTAATGCCATGCAGATTTGATTTCTGACCCAGCCATACTTTCATGATTCTCTTGCTAGTGAACATTTCCAAAGCATGTGCTGAAAACAAATTAATTCTGTCAGGACAGTAATGCAGAGGTTAGTGTCCTCCACACCACTTGTGAAAATATTAACATAAGGATACTTAACATGCAGCAACCACAACAACATCTACTAACCTATAAACAGGCATTCAAAGGCTGAGGAGTACAGAAAAAAACTGACATAACTGATGAAGGGATCATTCATTCATAAAAGCAATCCTTTAAATAAAAAGGCCCACAACTTCAAGTTATGTTAATAAAATACCTGTATACAAAGATACAATTAGAGCTACCACTCAATCATTATTTTTAAGAGTTCTGTAGGAAGAGCTTTACAATGACTATATCACACTTCAAATATGTGAAATTCACTGCCATCTATTGTAAGGGATTCATGCTCTAAAATGTTCAAAAATTTAAATTGCTTACATTTTCTAAGGTTGAATTTCTCGAATGTAAGTCCTTAAGCTCTTTTGTAAACATATCTTTCACTTTTTCTATTTGATCAGCAAATTTCTCTCTTTCCTCGTCTTTCCATCTATGAAATGATTGTAGAAACTCTTCTTCTTTTGATTTTTGCTGCTCGCATTCCTGAAATTAAAAAAAAAAAAATTATTGGTGATTTTTTCCTCACATTCAATACAAATTCAAGCTCCTAAACTACATGTGGAATGCAGTCACTTTCAACATTTGGGAAATCCTGTGACATCAAAAAACATAACACCAGGTTTAAGAATTCTAGGGTAGCAAACTATACATACTGCTAAACAAGCTAAACAATTATACTTCAAAACAGTTCAGGCAGTTTATTATTTTTCACTGAAAAACACACAAATGACCTTACTCGGTCACATCAAAGATTCACTTACTTCAGTATCCTGTTTCTCACAAAGGCCTTAAGTAAGAAAGGCTGATATTGGGGCAAGCAAAAGTGCATGTTCTCCTTCACAGTCTCTAAGTTGCCAGCTGTTTTCAGCTCAGAGGACTTCTGGAGCCTGATACAGTCCTGTGAACTTCATTAACTGCATAAACTTCAATACATTTCTCCTCATACACTTTGCAGTGATCCCCTGTGGCTGCATCACCTTTAGCAACTGCAACACCTTTTGCCAATGAGCTCCACAAGCTGCATAAAGAGCTAAGCACTTTTCTTGTTTTAGTTGTTTGAATCTGGCTCCTGCTAGGTACATTTGATGGATTCTGAGCCCTGAACTGGAGAACAGAGAGAATCCCTATTCACTCTGTGTAACTCATGACTTCACAGGTATCATTATCTCACCCTCCATCTTCATCAAGTATTTGTCTCTCTTTCAGAGTGACAACTCTTAGCAAGCTCAGTCGTTCTAAATACTGACAGATCATCTTTGTAGCCCATCTCCATAACTTTTATAGCTCCAGTCTATCCTTTTTAGATGAAGGAACTAGACTCACACAACACATTTAGGCTGTGGCTTGCACAGTGATTTTTCAGAATAATTGGTAGTATTTGATTTTCTTTGCTAGCTGCTCCTAACATTTCCCCAGAGCTATATATCACAAGCTTAAGATCTTGTCTTTCAGTAACAGCACTCAGCTCAGAACCCACTGTTTCATAAATGAAATTAGAACCATTTTACCCCTATATGCCTTTACCCCACTTCATTCATTAGAAAACTTCAACCATTCCACTATACAGTGATGAATTTTTATATAGTTCTCAAATTTTTTAAAGTCCTGCATTTCACTGCCCAAGACATATGTATCTTTTAGGAAACACCAACATTTTTCCATCACAGCATTCACTCTGAATTTGTTCTCTATAATATGCAATCATTGTACAACTAGGAAGAATGAGATCATCTGTATCCTTCAATCAAGGATAAGATCTTCTCTCTTTCAATCAAAAGACATTTTGGTGGACATTGTGCCACCTGAATTGACAGTGGATGTCAGTCATGGCAGACAAACTGTAAAGAGTCACACCACACGTTTCTATCTTCCCTGACATCCCAGAAAAACAGAGAAGTTTTGAAAGCTTCTTGTTGTGTAACACTGCAGACTGTAGCTTCAGGACATTTCAGGTAGTCCCCTTGCAGTTAGGAGTCTCAGCTAAGACAAGTGACTTCAAAAGAGGCCCCTAAGGCACCAAAAAATCTATATTGTTATGAATGAATGTGTTATGAATACTCCAAGTTCCACCTCATAAGCAAAACAATGCTTTGGGGGCAGGAGAAATATATTATAGATGTATTTCTCAAAAGCTAGGCACAGAAAGAATGAGTAGAATACCTTCCACATGTCCACATAGGGCCAAGACCCATTATTGTGACAGTACCTGCTCTCCTAAGTGAAACTCTAGCAGCTTTTGATTTGGCCATTCAGGACTTTTGAAAATGGAAGCTGAACACTTCCAAGAAAGGAGGAACAAAAGGACTGAAGAAAGAGAAGTCTGAAGCTGAGTTCATGGAAAACAACACTCCATGTTTTACATAAGATCAGGGTTTCCTCTGAAAACAAGGAAGAAAACAATCATCCATCATAGACTATCCGGTTGGAAGGATCAGATTGGATTATCCTCCAGGATAATCTGGTCCAGCCTTTCTTGACAACAGCACAAACTAGACAAGGTGGCCCAGGACCCTGGCCAGCTGAATCTTGAAAGTGTTCAACTTTGGGAAATCCAGTACTTCAGTGCGTTGAGTGAACACAGTTCAAAGTGCTAATTCTTTTGAGACATTCACATTACTTAGTAAGTATTACCTTAGACAACCTGGCCAAATTAGCCTGTTGTTCAAACTCTAACTGGGACTTGGTGAGCTGCAGCTGCTCCTTCAGTTTTTCAATCTCATCCTGCAGTTTTTCTATATTTCCTTTCTTCTTCTGTTCTGTTTGAAAGAAACACAGATTTTAAGAAATTTGTTGCAATTTCTGGAACTGTAATACTTACTGCAAATACATTTCTAGGGTTTCAGTAACATTTTCACAAAGTGTGACTTTCTTAGACCATATTCCCTCCCACTACCATGATTATCCATAGATGCTTTTAAATACATATGAATACATATGAATATATATTATTCTCTGGACTGCTAACTTACCCTCAAATACTTGTACCACTTACATGTGAAATAGTTCAATAAATATTTACATGAAAAAGTATTCTATAACCTAATTTCAAAGGAATTTAAGCAACACAGGCTCATAAAAAGGATGTACAAAGGACAAAGTGAACCTCAGTTATTCAATCTCTTAGGTTAAGTTTATTCTAAATAACCTTTGTAAGGAGTCCAGTTGGAATACAACAAATTATTTATGTGGATAGAATTGGGAGAATATCAAACAAAAAATGTTAAAATGTGCAAAAATCACAACAATCTTCAACCATGAAACATTTTATCAATTTACCAATTATTTACTTGCCCATCATCTGGGAATCTGAATATTATTTCAGAAATAACTGAATGGGATATTTTCCCCAGAGAGCCATTTCAGGCTTTTTTACAACAATAACTTCAACTGTTTCTGCAGCATCTTACACTATCATTTTTATCAAGTGTAAGGTGCACAAGAGCTTCTTTCTTTTTAAAATATATTCACACTTCCTCTGATTAGCTGCCTAATCAGACCCCTCTCACTCTTGCTGCTGTTTCATTTGCCTGACAAGCTATACTTCAGACCTCATTAGATTCTTCCCACTTTTTCTCCTCCCAAATGCTCCTTTTTTCCTAACTTGTTCTTATTCTAACCACTGTTACTTGTCAATACTTGTTTGTCCTTAGCAATAAATCATAAGCATGCAGCCTAGCAGGAAGGAGAGAAATTAGATATGAATGAAAGAAACTTTGACATCATTGTTTTTCAAACTAAACATCTTTTAGTGAAGAGAGAAAAAAGTATGCAAGTTAGTGGTAAAGCAACCTTGAGTATCATAGATAGATGAAGTTAGACTGTTCTTAACAGTTTCTCTTTCTCACTACATTTTACAGTCACTTTAGTTCAGGAGACCCTGATTCTATTCAAACTGATTTCAGGTGGGGTGGACTATTCATGTATTTATAATTATTATATATTTGCAAAATTTATTTTCCTTAGTGCATCTTGTTCATTTTACCCATGCCTTCCTAACATACATGCCTAAAGAGGAACTGTGCTCTGAAATGTACTACTGGCTAAAGTATTTAACAGAAATGCTAGTTTGAAAAGATGCTGCAGATATGGCACATCGGTTTTTGTTAACTATTTTCCAAGACTGAAACATATGTTGCCCAATACATTGTATCAGTCAGCGGCACTTGCATTCACACAAACTGGGATCTGCCACTCAAAAATTAAAAGTAAAAACTTTTCTTCCAAGTTACACAAAATCATGGACTGCGCATCCTCACTGTATTTACACTTTTCTCAACCACCTCTCTCAATTTTTTGGATAACATTAAAGTACATACCGATCTCAGACTCCCCTGGGTGACGTCTTTGAATGTGACTTTGTAAAAAGGAATAGGTCATAAAAGCCTTTTCACAAAATGGGCACTACAAAAAAATAAGAAAAAAACAGTTAAAAAAACATTAGTAACATCTTTTTGGTAAATACAGTGGTTAAGGTTTTGAACAGGTTATTACATTTTGTTCAAATGTAAAAAGAAGGTAACTTCAACAAATTCCATCTCACAAGAATAAGAACAAAAATTCTCATGGTACCCAGTTATTGTAAAGTCATTAGTATATTAATGCTATTTAACATTTCACAGTGATGGTCATGAGCAAGAATCTGATTGTGCTAGGCACTGCACAAACTGAACAGAACAGACTCTGGCCAAGCAAGTTCAAATTCAGGTATAAACCACAGATAAGTATTCATATATATAGGTAGAGAACTATAAAGAAAAGGCATGACAACCCTCTTCAGCACAATACACAGACTTCAGCCAACCAGTAGCTCAGGTGTTCTTAAGATTCATGCAACACCACAAAGTAGAGCACCACACAGCTGGAGAAAACCAATAATGATGGGTTTGAGTATATGAGTTGTAAGATGGCAATACTCAAAGGACATGTAAAATACCAGACATTTCAACCAAGGTAAAGTAGCAGTACACAATTTTGTAAGAAAAGGTATGTAGTTACATTAGTATGCCACCTAGAATCCTTCTGAAGTACAAAGTTATTTCAATTACTGTTTCTATAATTAACCTACTAGTTTTGAATATAAATTCGAAGTCAAATTTGGATCCCACTCTTTTTGAAATATCCTTTTTGTTCACCTTTAAAATACATTCTACTAACGTTCAGAATATATTAAAAATAGGTGGGTTGTACAAGGACAGAAGCTGCATCTAGAAACCCTGTAACATACACATGAGGGCCCCTCATCAATTTAGGGTCATTAATTACCTCTATCTCATACTTTTGTTCAAATAAATATATTTTAACAAAACTCAGACAAAAAAGTCATCTTACTTATCAGTGTGATATGACAGTAAGAAACCAGCTTAATAGGTTCAAGATCTTGTCACCATAATCAATGCCAGAAGGAGGATCTGGGGAACTACAGGCCTGTCAGCCCAACCTTGGTGCCTGGCAATGTTCTGGAACAGATCATCTTCAGTGTGATCACATAGAGGACAACCAAACAATCAGACCCAGCCAGCATGGGTTTAGGAAAGGCAGGTTCTGCCTGACTAACCTGATCCTTTTATTGCCAGGTGACCCACCTAGTGGGTGAGGGAAAGGCTATGGATATTGCCTGTTGGACTTCAGCAAAGTGTTCAGCACCATCTACCACAGCATTCTCCTGGAAAAGCTGGCAGCTCATGCTTGGACAGGTGCACTCTTTAAGAACTGGATGGATGTCCAGTCCCAGAGATTGTCGTGATGTCGCATCCAGTTGACATCTGGTCACTGTCATGTCCCCAGGGATCAGTGTTGGGGACAGCCCAGTTTAATATGTTTATTGATGATTTGGATGAGGGGATTGAATGCACCTTAGGTAAATTTGCAGACAACACCAATTGAACAGGATCTGCTGGAGGGTAGGAGTGCTCCGCAGAAGGATCTGGATAGGATGGATTGACGGACAGAGGCCAACTTTATGAGGTACAGCAAGACCAAGCACCAGGTCCTTCACTTCAGCCACAAAACTCCCTGCAGCATTACAGGTTTGGGGCAGTGTCTATAAAGCTGCTCAGTGGAAAAGGACCACAGGGTGTTGGCCAGCAGCTGCTGAACATGAGCCAGTGTGTGCCCAGGTGGCCAAGAAGGCCAGTGTCACCCTGGCTTGTATCAGCAGTAGTGTGGTCAGCAGGACCAGAGCACTGATGATCCCTCTATACCCAGCCTTGGTGAGGCCATACCTCAAATCCTGTGTCCAGTTCTGGGCCCCTCACTACAAGAAGGACATTAAGCTGCTGGAGCATGTCCAGAGAAGGGCAATGGAACAGGTCTGGAGGGTAAGATCTACCAGGAACATCTGAGGGGGCTGGAGGTGTTCAGCCTGCAGAGAAGGAGGCTCAGATCTTATCACTCTTTACAACTGCCTGAAAGGAGGGTGTAATTACACAGGGGTCAGCCTCTTCTCCCAGGTGACAAGTGACAGGACAAGAGGACTTAGCCTCAAGCTGTGACAGGGAAGGTTCAGGCTGGACATCAGAAGGAATTTCTTCATTAAAAGGGTGGTTAAACGTTGTCATGGACTGCCAAGGGTGGTAGTGGAGTCACCACTCTGGAGGTGTTCAAGAAATAAATGAACACTGCACTTATGCCATGGTCTAGTTGACAAGATGTTGATCAGTCAAAGGTTGGACTTGATGATCTCAGAGGTCTTTTCCAAGCTAAATGATTCTGAGATTATGTGGGATTCCCAAATTTCATATTATATTTAAAATGCTGCCACTGGTAGTCAAGTATCCTATAAAACACACTTTTCATCAAACACTAAAGCCATGAATAATTAAGACAAATTTTGTTCAGCAAATGCAAGACCTACTATAAAACCAAAATAAAGTGATATAATATGGCAGCAAAGCATTACTACCAACCAAGAGGGAGCTTACAGTGTAACAGATTGCACATGATTTACAGAACTAAATTGGCTGTGAAATAATGTTATCCATTCAAGCACAAACTTCATGTCAGTTTGACTTGCTGAAGTGAAAGAAAGCTCTTACTGCAGGAGACAGGAGTAACATAGGGAACATTTAAGTTTTGAATTATGTAACACTTTTCTTGCAACTACTTTTCAGCGTTAACTACAACATGCACTTTATGCCCACATTATACATGAGAATGTAAGATTTCTGAACAAAGTATCAAAAAAGTGAAAAATATTATTTTAAATTAAATTTGTATTACTCACATGAAGGTACTTAAATTTATGACTTGTAGGTATCAGTACCATTTTATAGTAGCATTTCATGGTTAAATTTATATTGATCTTGGATTGAAGGCATTACAGCTGAATTCCAAAACATTTACATTAGCTGTAAAGTGCACTTCCGCTAAAAAAGGCTTATTTGTAAACAAGTAACAGGCTTATTTGCAAAACATCCAAGACTTTGAGGGCATGGAATCTGAGCTACCCTCTCAGGAACATCAGAAAAGCCCCTCTTATCTGGCAAGAAAGATCAGGGCACAGATAAATATCACAGAGCTGTTGTTCACTGATCATACTACTACCCTGCATTTACAAACACTGGGAAGAGTTTAAATTATTTTGGCATACAAACTCAGAATCCTGAAAACACTGTAGAACTTCAGGTATTGTTCAACATAATTTCCTGAACTCATTTTTCTCATGTGAACTTAAATAACTTCTAGAGAAAAGAAACAGAAGAATGAAAGGGGGATGGGGAGATCAGAAGTTTACTTTATATGAAATCAAATTACAAATGGGAAATAGATTTCCATCTCTGTTTTACTGCAAATGCCATTGAACAGATTAGCAATGAGACAAGTTCACTACCATGCTTTTCAGCTTCCACAGAGGCAGGTGCAGGCTACAAATATTTCCGGAAAATTTGATAACATTTGGCAATCACAGTGTGAGAACTATTTAAGTTTACAAATAAAATGACACATTTATCTTTTGCAACACAGGACAAACTGCTTTGAGAGTTGCATAAAGGTTTTTTTTTAAATAATACCATATCAGCAGCTTGTCCTCAAGACTAACACTTGAATGCATGAACCTTGCCTCAGGTACAGTTCTACTCTTGGGGCATAAGGTACCTTTTCCCTTACAGAAACACTTGAGCCAACTTAGCTGATGTCTTAAATATTGAACTTTGCCTGTAACTATAAACATAGAGGGCTAGCCTGAAATCACATCAAGTCTGTGTCCAGTGTACCCTTTAGACTTCAGATTACATTTGAAGCTGAAATTTGCATTCCCAAAACCTGAAAATGCTGATGCTGAAAAATACCTAGACCAAACGACCACACCATTGTAGTGAGATAAAAAACCCCTCCCAATTTAAACAGAGTGCCATGACACTATCAGTCAGAACAGCTGTGTATTAAGGTTCTTAAGAAAGACCCTTTAGGAACATATTGTTGTGGAATCAGAGCTGAGCTAACTCACTGAAGCTCTTTACCATCTTGCCTGAGTCACTTCTGAGTCACACACACAAGCAGAAACTTTGTGCCTGGAGAACATCAGTGCAGGACAATGACTTCTCACAGACACTACATTACTGCTCAGCATCAGTTCCAATGCTTTTGTCCTGTGTGTTTTCTGACCACGCAGTTGGCAGACAAGGAAAGACAGCAACACAACAAAGTAGTAACTTTTATCATAGGTTTTGTATGTGTGTGTATCTGACATTCCAGATGCATCTAAAGCAAATCCAAGAGTAAAGAACATATGTTAGTAAAGAGAGGATTTGTTAAAGATGATGTAGCATTCTCCCAAGAGTCTCTGAAACACAGATGGAAAACAAGTGCCAGCAAGACACTTCCTTTTGCAAGGTCACTGGTTGTTGCAGCTCCAGCCTGTCACCCAGCAAGCAACTGCACCCCAGCAGAGTGGGGCTGCTCTGCTGCCCATCCCAGCAGGCTCAGAGCTGACAAGGTGAGGGTGACTGGGCCACCAGGCCCTCTCTTCTCACCTGGTGGTAGTTGGCTCGTGCCTCCAGCATCATCTGCTGGGTGCTGATCATCTTCTTTCTCCGCCGGCATTCCTCCTTAAGCCCTTGGATCTCCTGCGAGCGCTGTGCCACCTCCTTGGCCAGCTGGTCACGCTGGGCCTGTGTCTCTCTCAGGGCCTCCTCCAGGCTGCCGAGCTGGGCGCTGAGGTACTCCTGGGAGTGCAGCAGGTACTCTGTAGAGAGCTGTGCCAGGCGCAGCAGCTTCAGCAGCAGCGGGTCTGCGGGGCCCTGGCAGTGCGGGCAGCACTCCCGCTCGGCGTTGCAGAAGGTGACATGCTCCAGGAGCGCCTGCAGGACCGCCACGTCCCCCTCCCGCGCCACCCGCTCCACGTCCACGGTGCTCAGCCGCCGCCAGTCCGGGTTCTCGTGCCGCACGCGGAACTGGAATGCGGGAAACGCCGCCGGCCCCGCGCCGGGCCCGGTTGCAGGCGGGTGATAGGTGCGCTGGGAGAAGGGCTGCGGGAGAGAGACACGGCTCAGCCCCGGCCGGCGCTCCCCGCCCCGCCCGCCCGCCCGTCCCGGCGCTCACCATGTCCCGGCTCCGTCCCTGCGGCTCCGCTCGGCGCCGGCGTCCTCCGCGTCGCTATAGCAGCCCCGGCCTGCGCGACGGGAGGCGGCAGTGACGCCGGGCTGTGCCGCCTCCCGCCCGCCCCGCCGCTCCCCGCCCCACGGCCCTGCCTTCGGCTCCGTGCTCGGCACAAATCCCGTCCTTCTCCCTCCCGACATCCTCCTCCCGCGACGCCTCCACAGCCTCCTGGCAGCGCCGCGCTAGGGAGCTCTTTCCCGCGGGTCCCGGTGCTCCCGTTGCCCCGCACGCAGCGCATCCTTTACCATCTTCACACGCTACTCGCATCAACAAACGTGTCCTCGGCTCCGCTCTTATGTTTATGCATCCTTGACACAGCTACACAGCACACGCTTTCTCTCTCCACATTCCCTTCACTTCTTCCAAGTCTGTACATGCCACACTGCTTGCACCTTCACTGCATCAAAGTGACTCCCTATCCTGTGCCTCCTCCGAGCTGCTCCTGACTCCAACCCTTCTCACTCCTCTACCCCTGTGCTGTCCTGTGCCCTTCTCCAGCCTTGCCTACTCAACTTTCTCCCAGATGTGACAACACCTGTCACCTCCCCACCATCAGGATTCATACATATGTCGTTTCTCTGTACATCTTCATGCAGCTGCACCCTCATGTGCCTCAGCTGGTAGCTCTATGCAATCTCTCCAGTGCCACTCCATATCCCTCCCAATGCCCACACACCTGTCGGCTGCTTGCAAACACCTTCCTCGCCTTAACACAGTCACAATTGGCAGGCCGCTTCCACATGCTATCGTCACTCATCAAACCAACACACCTCTGCCTGGTGTCAGCATACACCAGACCCACTCCTGCAACCATATAACCCCACAACCTCACCACATCTGTCATTCCTGTCTCATTCTACCAAGGCCAAACACTTCAGCTCCATGAAGCACCTCATGCCTTGCATATATCACCTATTTTACCATCTATACCACCTATTTTACCATCCATGCACAAATACTTTTCTTCAACGCAACCAACAACTTCAGCCTATATCCCCACCCCAATCCCCAGTGCTCCCCAGTTTGGTGTTTCCCTTGCTCCTGCTCAGTTGCTTCCAACACTATTTCTAAGCAGCAGCATCCTTCTCCTCCATCAGACAAAATTAACCTATTCCACTCTTCTCCAAAAACCTGCTCTTTCTGTTACCATTTCTTAATATTTCAGTCCCCTAGCTATGTCTGCCTTACTGCCATGTTCCACATTTATATATCCTTAACTTTTCAGTCCCTTCCACACATATTTTAGTTTCTCATCCTCTTGGTCATTCCTATATACGTACCTCTCCAAGAACAGCCACACAATATATATCTGATCATACACTCCATTCCATGGATTCCTCTACAACATGCATTATAGACTCACAGAGATGTTCTCAAGGGACCTCTGGTGATCATCGTCCAGTCCAAATTTCTGCCGCACACTAGTTCACATCACCTGTGGCATTTAAGATGAACAGACAATCCATGACCTCCCTGTTCAACCTGTTGCATTTCTGTGCTCTCCTCCTGATGAAAACATTTTTCTTAATGTGTCGCCGAGTATCTGCTATTACCAAGATTAAAAAATGGTTTGAATATTTTTGCCGCAATTGTTCAAGTAACTGTAGGTCACTACTAGAGGGCCCCTTTTATTCTCTTCACCACACTAAAGAAGCCCAGCTCCCTCACCTTCTTCTCATAGACCATGTAGATCCTAATCATGTTAGGCCTCCTCGGTCCCCTTTCAGCTCCTCCACATAGTTCATACTCCCCTTTAGTATTTCCCTCCATTTGCCTCCTAGGAACTTGTAATGAACCCCACCTCTCATCACATTGCCCTCTCCAATATAAACAGTAACATATCTACAGTAATCACGATATAGAACTACTTCCACAAAAATACCAGCAATGTTGCTACATGCACCAACACAAGCACCATCACAAATTACAAGGTCTTAGTTTTATGTAGATTTCTATGTTGGTTGTTGCTTTTTGGACCTTGAACCTTAAGCCTACTGGTCACACTTACACACTAGGTTCAGTTCCATTTAGATTTTTCCATCACTTACCAGGCCACTTGTTTTTAATTTAGAAAAGGTACTGTGTGCTGTTTGCAACATTGCAGTCTTCTCCTGCAAGAATATTTTTGCCACCTCCTTTTCCACGAACAGAGTCTCCAGCAAATCTTCAAAGAGATCTATTTAACTTTTTTTGATGTATATCAATTTATATATATATTATATTACACATAATGAAATTAACTCCCAAAGATCTAAGCCCAATATGTACTTCATGTATTTGACATAGGAGAAACTTCTTTACATAAAAACCACGTGAATTTGAAAGCTACCACTTTGTGTGTCAAGCAGAAGGAGCCTGAAAAAGCACATATTAAATAAGGGCCTTTCATTGACAGATGCATGGGTTTAATTAGAAAAAAAATAACCAAACATTATTTAAAGCCAGCAAAGTAAACCACACCTGAGGACAGCTTATTCTCCTCAACCAATGTATCTAGTCAGGAATATCCATACAGATTTGGAGCATGCTGCTCCAACTAAACCTGCTTTTACTGAATGTGACCTTGCAGTGGTACATCATCTATCCATCATATAATGGTCTTTATTGGAATGCACCTTAAAGACCATCTAGTTCCCACCAGCTGCCATGGGCAGGGTCACCTTCTAGTAGACCACGTCACTCGGAGCCCCATCTAACCCGGCCTTGAACACTGCCAGGGATGGGAGGGGCACCACGAACTTGTGAAGAGTCACAAGCCGCCCAGGCATCTCGATGGAGACAGAAGAAGTACGTACGGACGGAGGCGGTCCTTTTTGATCTTTTTCCCCTTTTCTTTCTGCCGGATTTACTCTATTCTGGGAGCTGTGCCCATGAGGAATTTGGGGTCATCACCCACCCGCGAGGCCTCCTCGGTCAAGGATGGCACCGCTTGCTCCCCCGGCCACCCCTCCTCTCCGGGACGGGCGGCACGGGGGAAAAGCGGCGCTTCCCCGCGGCGGTGTCCGCGGGCCAGGCCCGGACCCGGCGCTCCGGGAGGCGGCCGAGCACGGCCGGGCCTGCGGGAGGCCCCGAGTCGGGTTCCATCTGCCTGCCAAAACCGAGGGCTCCGCTCCGGAACGCGGCCGCCTCGCCGCTCCCTCCCGCCTGCCCCAGGGGAGAGGCCGCTCCGCACTCTGCCTCCCGCCACCCTCCTGCGCCAGGGGTGGGGGGCAGAAAGGGACACCCTGCGCTCACCTCCGGCTGCAGCTCCGCGGGTCTCGGCGGGCGCCGCAGGGCGCGGAGGGGCGGAGGGGCGGCGGGGCTGCGGCCGCTCCCGCCCCGGCCGTTACCGGCGGTGCCGCGGCGGGCGGCGGCTGCGCCCCCCGGCCTCCGCCGGGCCCGTCCCGCGCCGGCCCCGCTGCCCCGAGGCCGCCCGCGGATGGCGGCTACGGAGGGGTCGGCGGCCGAGGCCGGCGAGGGCTCCCCCGCTGCTCGCCGACTCTCGCTCCTTGAGAACCTGCCCGGCAGATGTTGATGCCCAGGCGGGATGTCCTTTGTCTTGATCCGGTCCCGAGCCTCTCCGACCGAGAAGCAGCCTTTTCTCTCCCTTTTTGTAAAATGTAAGGGAAGTTACAACAAGCTTTGGAAAGGCTGCCTTTGGAAATTCAAGGCACGTTTCGCCACGCAGTCGCCGAACACGACACGTTTAAACCTGTGGAGCAGCGAACTTCTTAGCGCGATAGGGAGTCCCCGCCGGCGCGGTGCGGCAGGGCAGCAGTGGGGCGGGGGCAAGAGCCCGCCTGCCCACCGAGATGGATGGGGGTTTGGGGTTGCAGGCGCCCGCCTGCCCACCGAGATAGATGGGGGTTTGGGGTTGCAGGAGCCCCCCTGCCCACCGAGATGGATGGGGGGTTTGGGGTTGCAGGAGCCCGCCTGCCCGCCAAGATGTATGCGGGTTTGGGGTTGCAGGAGCCCGTCTGCCCACCGAGATGGATGGGGGGTTTAGGGTTGCAGGAGCCCGCCTGCCCACCGAGATGGATGGGGGTTTGGGGTTGCAGGCTCCCGCCTGCCCGCCAAAATGGATGCGGGGTTTAGGGTTGCAGGCGCCCGCCTGCCCACCGAGATGGATAGGGGTTCTTGAGGAGCTGCAGGATCCCATCTGCCCGTCGATCTGGAGCGGAGTCTCGGGATCTGCAGCATCCTGCCTGCCCACCGAGCTGGAAAGGGGTTTGTGGGGCTGCAGAGACTCGCCTGCCTGCCGAGCTGGAGGGAAGCCCGAGGGACCGACTTCCAGCGTAGTGATAATCTCCAACGGGAGGAGGTGAGGAGCTTTCATGAGAGTTTTCTGACGTTTGCAGGAAAACACCATGTTCCAGTACCAGGATAAGGCTGGGACTATGTTTTCCTGCAGATATCTTAAACGAAGTAATGTCAGGTGAAGTTGTTATTTTCAATGAAAATATGTATTGTATCATGCAGATAGAATAATTCCAACAGCTACAGATTACCTCAAATCCTTCTGATTTGATTCCTCTTCTCTGTAAGGGTTTTGAATTGTGTTTTTCAATTATAAATGCTGTGAAGCCTTTGTGGCCATAAGGAAAATTTCAAACAGTTTGTATTTAATATCAATTATGCTGGTAAATTCAGTGATGGAAGTAATCATTAGACATTTACAATACCTGATATTCATTTAGGAATTCCATTTGGCATGGGAGACACCATTGTGTTTTCCAAAGTACAGACTTACTGAGACACCAATTTACTTTTCTAAACCATGAAATTCTGTTACGATGATGTAGACGTGGGCACATATGCTGTGAACACCAGCTTTAAGGAAAGAGGTAATAATTCAGTTTTTGATGCTTCAGTTTTTGATGCTCCAAGGGTACCTCAGCACACTTCAGTCACTCATGGGTGTTCAATCCAGAGGATCAGCCTAGTATGAAGGAAAACCTGAACATGTATCAAATATGGACATCCAGCCCTCAGTACTAATGACTTTTACTTCTTCAGCTATGCATCTGTTGGGCTACTAAAGCAGGCATTGCCAGAAGAAAATGCTTTATGAAGGCTTTAGTGTGGTAAACCTTAATTAAGAGAGGACTTTGAAAACCTACAGTGTGACAGTCACAGCCTGTGTGGGTCAGCCCTAGAGGCAAATATGCAATATAAGTTGATGAGCAGTTTATGTGAATAGTTGGAGCACTCAGAGAGCAAGATGAACAAGTGCAGGCCCTTGGGTGCCCAAGAAATTTTATACCCCATGCCCTTAGAATGCCCTAATGACAACACCGCAGTCTGTTCAGCATGCCTTCTAAGGATCTCTCTTGCTATGAAAGTGGTTTTTATATAAAAGTAAATGCTAACTGTGTGCAAAAATGCTGGAAATGCTCTTCAGTTGATGAGGGGAGTGGTATATGAAGTGTGCAGAAATGTGGATTTTGGTTGCTTATTCTAGTATCTGTTTAATACAAAATACACAAGCAGGCCTTGGATGAGAGCTATAACCAAGATTTTTATGCTGAAGGGGTGGTTCTCACCCTTTCATTCTTTTACTCTTAATTTGTTCCAGAGCTTGATTAATCTTTAATTACTTGCTGTAGGTAGTACAGCCTCACTTGGCAAGGGTGGGTATTCTTTAACCCACATTAGTGCTGAGTTCTACCCTTATATACCTTTTGGTGACAAAAGTACTCTTCTAAAACATGTGTGGTTTTACTAGGAGAGGGCTAAGAGCATTGCAAGGTATTTGTGAGGCACATAGAGGAGCAACTGGAGAGCAGAAAAAGGAGAGTATTCTGATTGTGGGGTGAATTATGATGACATCTGGGCAATGGCTATTTGGGAAATGGCCTGAGTAGCAGAGGGAGGCTGGGCAGGGACAGCCAGGCCTGGCAGTGCCCCCAGAGCACTGATGCAATGTGTTAAGTGAAAAAGTTATTTGTCTATTTTGTACTATGGAGGAGGACTACACATGTGGTACAAGATGTTTTAATTTGAGAGGGCAGTGGACAAACTGTCTTGGGAGCTGAGAAATACACTCTTCAGTAACCTCTCTCCTACAGCGTTCTCAGAGTGACGCATACAAGTAATCATTAACTCTGGTGGAAAGCTGACTTCACCAGAATGGTGCAAGTATAATAAGGAGTCTAGCCAGATTCTTAGTTTATTTAATCTTTTCCTTCCTGACAGTTCCCACCATGGCCCATTTTTCAATTTTCAAGTGAGCTTAGTTGCTGGCTGGAGTTAAACCGTTACAAATACCTATAATACTTCCATTTGTTCAAACTTTCCATCATTCAGTTTACCTGAGGAAATAATCTATGTATTTTTATCACAGGAAAACAAAATAGTTAAAAGAAAGGTAGAATGAAACACTCTCCTGACCCCTTTGTGTCACCTCCTTCAATCCAACAAATGCCATCAGCCACAATTAAGTAGTTTGAATAGATGATGCTCTATGTATTTTAATAAATTTTATTTTTAAGTTTGGGTGCTTCAGACTCTTTTCAAATTAAATCTTTTTTATCTTCAATAAAACAGTTTATCTTAAAAATTTCTCTTTACATAACAAGTCCAGTTGGATTTTACTGAGATGGACAGCTCATTTATCTTCCTTTCTTCCAAACTCAGAGGGAATTAACTATAGAGAAATGTTTGCAAAGACACTGAAACCATTGATGCAATTGCAGCAATAGAAAGGTCACACAAGCAAGTACTTGGATTTTAACACTTAACTACCTCTAGATGAATTTTTAATGGCATACATTAGATATTTGTTCTTTTTTTAACCACTACATTGTACTTTTTCACTGATGTGGCTAGAACAGCCTGCAGTTGGGTGGGTAAAAGAGGATGCTAGATGGCATCACAGACCAATGGCATACAAGAACTTGTAAAATTCTACATGAGGGGTGTCCTGTTGCCAGTGGCTTGAATGAATGTCTTGAGAGATGGAAACATCCACTTAGGAAGGAAGAGTATGGAGATGTCTGCTAGAGGAGGCAGAGGTGAGGCTGTACACATGCATGCTCTAAATTCTGGTTAAAGTGTTTGGAAGTGCAAGCTTTGCTTGTTCGGTGTTTTGGCAGACATAAAGTAAGAACAAACACCTTCAGTGATGGCACAGCACTTTGTCAGTGGTATTTTTCACAGTTTATAAAATCAGAGACATTCAAGAGAAACAAAATAGCTTCCTGGTATCACAGAGGTTTGAAATTTGGAGTTGAGCTGGGAAAAATATATGTAATTAATGATAGGTAAACCAAAACCAGTTTCAGGGAAATCAAAACTAGTTATGGAAATAGACTGAATTTCAGAAATTGCTTCAATCAAGAAACAGGAAGAGTTCATTAATGTTAACATTTTTCATATATTTTCAAAATAAAATTATTTATTTCAGAAAAATTACAGTATCTCAATATTTAAAGCAAATCGTATTGATTTTCAGAGTCCCATTTTAATTGAAACATATTCTATGCCCTAAAAAAATACATGTTTTAATAAGGGCATATTTTCATAAATTTAATATTTTACTCCGTTGCCCTTGACAAGACTGGACTGGACACTCACACTCCCTTTCAAGTCCAATGACAAATATCAGCTTTTCCAAGTGCAAATTTACAGCATGTAAATTAAGTTCTTGTGCTGAACTGTGGGTAGCAGGAGCCTTTCTGTTTCCATTTACTGTTAAGGAACCCAGATAAAGGAATTTCCCCACAGCTCTCTCCTGTGTACACCAATCCAAATGTGAAATTCCCAAAAGATGAGCCTACATGAACGAGAATCCCATGTTAAGCAGATGTACACTACTATTTCATTTAGCTCCATCACAGCTAAGTTTCTGACAGGGATGTACATAGGTGAGAACAAAAACGAGGTACAAGGACTGAGAAACCTCTTACAAGAAGTAGTCCTGAGAATACTACCTCTGTGTTATCATGCTCTCTCACCTCCTCCTTTATGTTCATACTACATTGTGCATACAACACAACAGTCCCTATATTGCTTCTATATTGTAACAGTGATTGTCTGCTCAGTTCAGTCTGCTATATTGCTTTTATATTCCTGGATCAGGAAACTTTCGTTTGGGTGGTTTTGGAATTGAGATCATTAATGAAATTCTATCTATCAGTTGTTTCACTAAGCAAACTTGGGTCCTCCACAGATATAACTGTCTCCACCAAATGTCACCTTATTCAGTTCACTGTCTCTGAAGCAATGAGTAGCTTCAAGAGTCATTCCTTGCTAATTGCTGCCCTCTGATGTATTACCAGCAGCAGCTCAGGAGAAATTCCTTAGCTTTCCATCTTTCCAGCACTTTGAACATTAGTGTAGTCTTTCTCATCCACCCTTTCATGCCAGACTCAAGAATTCTGAAGGAACTTGTTTGTGAAACCAGCCTAATTTTGATGAATCCATTTGAAAGAGTTTTTATATTTCAGCTACATTGCTTTGCAATATAGGGAGGTGATTGTCCTACTCTGCAGTGGTGTGGCCTCACCTCGAAAATTGTGTGCAGTTTGGAGTGCAACAATCTAAGAAACACATGAAGTTGTTAGAGGGTGTCCAAAGGAGGGCCATGAGGATAAAGGGCCTGGAGGGGAAGCCATATGAGGAGCAGCTGAGGTCATTTGGGCTGTTCAGCCAGGAGGAGACTGAGGGGAGACCCCATTGCAGTTACAGCTTCCTCATGAGGGGAAGAGAAGGGGCAGACACTGATCTCTTCTCTGCAGTGACAGTGACAGGACTGAGGGAATGGCCTGGAGTTGTGTCAGGGGAGGTTTAGGTTGGATATTAGAAAAAGGTTCTGCCTCCAGAGGGTGGTTGGGCCCTGGAAGAGGCTCCCCAGGGCAGTGGTCACAGCACCAGCCTGACAGAGCTCAAGAGGCGTTTGGAAAATGCTCTCAGGCACCTGGTGTGATTCCTGGGATGTCCTGTGGAGGGCCAGGAGTTGGACTCAATGACCCTGATGGATCCTAACTCAGGAAATTCTGTGCTTCTGTGATAAGGCAAGGCTGTATTTCCCAGTTCGATTTTCAGTCTCTATAATTCTCTGGGCAAATCGTTAACTACTTTTCACTCAAGGGATGTCAAGACGAGCAGGGCAGGAGAGGGCAAAGAGACAGGAGACGAAATGGAGACGCACCCAGGCACACGCCCCGTGCGCCTTTCAGCGGGCGGCCGGGGCGGGGCGCCGGCATCTCAGCTGAGGGCCCGTGTCGGCCGCGCCGCCATGTTCGGTGAGGCGCCGCGCTGGGGCGGGGCCGACGCGCCGGGGCGGGCACGCTCGCGCCGCTCCCTCACGTCCGGCGGCGGGCGCCAGGCAGGGGCGGGCGCGCGCGGCGCGGCCAATCAGCGTCGCCCACGACCCTGCCCGGAGGAGCTGGAGCCGCCGCTCGGTTGGGCCCGGCCCGGAGCCGCCACTGTCGGGACCGGGGGCGGCCACGGAGGAGGAGATGGTGTCCCCCGCTGCCTCGGCCGGGCGCCTGGGCTCCGCGCTGCCCTTCCTGCTCGTGCTCCTCGACCTGCAGTACCAGGGTGAGCCGGGCAGGGGTCCCTGTGGGGCTGCGTCGCGAGGGGGGCAGTGCCGTGGCCCGTCGGGGTCGGGCCCTCGGCCGTGGTGGCGGTGGCTGGTCTCCCTTCCTCCGTCCCTCCTGCCGGGGCTGCGCGGTGTCCGCCATGGCGGCGGGGCACACACCCCACGCTCCCCCGCCGCCTCCCCGGGCCCGTGTCGTCTTAAGGGGGGGGCATATTTCGGGCAGGGGTGTGAGGAGGGAGGTACAGCGCTGCCAGCTCATCGCTCGGGGCTGTGCGAGGGGTGCGTAACGAGGGCACGGCCCTGCCGTGACCTGTTGGGGTTAGTGGCAGATCCTGGCGGAGCGCTTGGAGGCGGCTCGCTGTGTGTGCGCTGCCCGGCCTGCTCCCGGACGGGCTGGGGCTGCCGCCCGCCACTGCCAGGCCTCGGGTGCCCTGGTGTCCTCGAGTGCAGCTGGGTGACAGCATTGGCGTTCTGTGCTAGCCGTGAATTTCCCACTCCCGTGTGGATTTCGTGTAGTTCCGAAGTTCAAAGGCTTTTCCAGTTGCCCTTCTCAGCCGCAGGCAGCGTTAGTACCACACTTAGAGATTCGCTGAGGCTTTTGATGGTTGCGTTGAATTGGTTCTGTTTTTGTTTTGTTGTTATGGTTTCTGTTGGTTTTTTGTTTTTTTTTTTTTTTTCACCTCTGTCCATTAGTATTTGAAGTTCAGCTTATCTGTGCTTTGTGTAGCTTATTTACTTTCATAGTATCCTGCCAGCAACACCTGTGTAGCCAGACTTTTATTCACAGACTGCTGTTAGGTTTCTAACTCTGCTATAGAATGGTGGTTACGGTCAGGGTTTCACCTGAGGGACATTCTTTTCCTGCCAGTGGCAGATAGAAGTGGAACTGAAGCTGTCAGTAGTCAGAAAAAGGCTATGGGCTTAAGGAAGATGTAGGTTAACATTAAAAATTCAGTTGATACACTAAATTAAATAGTTCATCTGGTCAGGTGGCAACAGGAACATACTGTGGGAAAGATACCCTGCATTAGACCATGCACTGTGGTGTCAAATTGCCTTTTTTTTTAAAATATGCATTCTAGTATTGTTAGAAGACAAATAGTAACTTTTGTCAGAGTATACTGTTTTTTTTCTCCCTTAGAATGTGGTGCTCCTGCTGAGGATTCTTAATTTAGAGCTGCCAACCTATTTCAGGTGTGTGGTTTAATGGCTATTTGGGCTTAGCATATTTCCTAATTTGAGGGACACTGTCTTAACTTCAGTTCATAAAGATGTAGAGTACAGTAATAAACTGAGAAATGGTAGTACTGGATCTCATTTACTGAATTCTTAGTTTAAACTTCTTAGTTTAGGAGTTAATTTTTCAGAATGTGTAGTTAAAGAATTTTTGGGGGGGTTATGTTATTTAAGTATCAAGATTTTTTTTTTCCTCACAAATATTACTAGTCTTTGAGCTTAAAGGTATTCATAGTCACATCTAAATTTGTATCTTGATGTCTTGATAATAGAAGTCTGCCTTTTGTCATCTGATTCATGAATCTGGAAGAGTCATTCTGTATTAATTTTGTATTTCACAGTTGATGGCAATGAATACTATTTATATCTGGTTGGTAAATACACTTAGTAAAAACGTTTTTGATTCCTCCTCTTCACCTCAATTTGTGATGAATTTGGCACAGATCCTCTTTTGGGAAGATTCATTCTCTACTGCTGTTTGTCCACACTAATCACAACAAAAAGAGGTGACTGAGGAGGAATAAAGGAGTGTTGTTCATTTTCCCCCTCTCCTTCCTTGTAGCAGAAGAAAGGAAATGTAATATGGGGAAGAATAAAGGGGCTCTGAGTATACAGAACCCAATTAAGTTACTGTCAGACCAGAAGCATTAAGTGTTTCTTTTTCTCCCCTCACCTTTTTTTTTTCCCCCTAAGTTTGGGAGCTTTTTTGGTTTTTTCCTTGGCCCCAAATACAAAGGCTGTTTGAGGGTGGGGCTTTTTTTGTCTGCCAATCTTTGCTGTGTTTACCAACTTCCTTTGCAAACGGAAGGAGTGAAAAGTTGATGGGTGGAAGTTGCACATATCTCTACTGTATACTCTGAGGCTCCTTGCAAACCTCAGAAATGTTGCTTCTGAAACTGTTGGTGTTTGTCCATATCTTACCTAGTTCAGTCTAATTCTTGAAAATCATGTTAGCAAATACACCTAAAGCAAAAACCAAACTGTTGAAAAATAACAGCAAACTTGAGATTCAGGGTCATTCTGATAAAAAAATGTTGCAAAAGCAGGATCTCCCACTCTCCTGACAAGATAAGGCAATCATTAAGCTCCTCTATGGGGGAAAAATAAAGGTTTAGATGAATGCAGTTAAGATTAATGACATGCATGCTGCTGCTTTATCATTGAAATAATTGCCTTTGGTACATAGCAGGAACTAATTCTGTTTGTTTTCATAATCTTGTTACTCAGCTTGGGAACAAGTTTTAGGGAAAAGTAGGTGGAAATTCTGCCGGGGGGAAAAGAGGAATGTGTAGACAAATGCAACATCTTGAAACTGTTCTCAGCTTGCAAGGCTTTCTTGAGTTCTTTGTAATGTGGATGGGACCAATTATACAGGGATATAGTTCAAGTCTGTAGGCTTAGGTGCCTACATATTAGCACCAATTAACCTAATAAAACAAAAATCCTACCAGGAAGTTATAATTTATTTGAAGTGAGTGTATTTAACTGGAAAAACAGGTTTGCTGCACCTGCTTGTCTTCCCTGCGCCTTCTGATTGTTGTCCCTTGAACAATTGTCAGAGTTAGTACCAATTACATGGAAATAGTCTGGGGGTTTGTGTTGTTTGGTTTCTTTGTGTTGTTTTGGCTTTTTTTTCTTTCCTTTTTTTTTTTTTTTTGACTCTTAGACTCTTTCCTCAGACTTGCAAGGATTCCAGGCTCTGGATTTATCTAGAATATTTGACTTGATTTAACAGCTCATGTGTGTGGTTGTTTGAGGCCCAGGGTGAATATTTAACACTTAGGCAGTCTTTAGAAATTATATGCAAATTAAAATACATGGAAGTTTTTAAAAATAAGTTGTAAGCTTGCATATCTCTTGGGTAAATTTAGTTTCTTGGTGGAGCATGCTTCTTAACTGGGCCTGTAGCATCCAGCTCACCAATGTGTATCTGCTGTAAAGAGCTCTGTGGTGTGGGGTTTGGTGGTTTTTTTTTTCCTCAGCTGAACTTTACTTCTTAGGCTCATTCCCAGACCAAAGAGTGCATAGGTACCCAAATAGGTTGCAGAGAATTTGAGTCCTTGGACTCCTGTGCTTCTGTTATCAGTTTTCAGATGTCTACTATGGGCTGCTTTATTTAGAGCAATTGTTTGCCTACAGCCAGAAAATGAATAAGCATAGATTTCTGTGAATAAACAGCTCAACCATCAGGTCAGTGCAGAGCGTTCCTGAGTAGTTACGGTAAATGTCACTTTTCATCATGGTTAGGCTGATGATGCAGGTGCTTCTGGAGATTCATGCACCAATTTGGGATGTTCAGCAGCTTGCAGAGCTGAGGTTTAATGTATAGTTTAATGTATGTCAATGTTTAATGTATTTTACAGGGAATCTAGAGGACTTCACAATTTGCTTCTTCATTTATCTATGTTGCTCCTGCTTTTCTTACTTGTTTGCTCTCAGTGGTCACCTTTCTCATTGTTTTACTAATTGTCTTCATTATTTTCAAGGAAAAAGATGGCTCTTCCACCTAAGGTATTATGTAACTGTAAAACTGTACTGTACACAACATGTTTGAAAGACACTACATTGTGTAGGTACATCTTACTGTGGAAAAATGTGTTCTTGGAGCTATTCTGATGTGACTGAGTGTAAAACAAGGATGCTTGAGACTGGGGGGATTGAATGCCATATTTGAGTAGATGGAAAGTTCATCAAAGAGTAATTTATAGCCCAATTCTAGGATACCACTCCCAGCTGACAAGTTTTGAAAGATTTCAGGTATTTGTGTATGGGGAAACACGTGAGGGATGAAACTTAAGAGTTTTTAGTTGGTATTAGGTCATGTTAAATACTTCAGTCTGTTTATAGTTTTATACCTGCTTTACTGCTAGCATACTTCCAAAGCCAGGGAAATTTGTGGTGAGGCTTTTTTTCAGTTCTTAGTTTTTTCATTGTGTTTCATATACTTGCTTTGTCATTTTAAAGGACACTGGACTACTTGATGATTGAAGCTTTAAGCTGGTGAAGGGAAATGGGCAAGGAAGAATGTCCATTTTTGCTGCAAATTGGACACATAAAATGGGAATACGTTTTTTACATGCCTAGAATTGACTTGAAAATGAATCATTTAGTAAGATCCTCAAATAATAATTATTTGTGATGTAGGCAGTTTTAAGTCAATCTACTTAAACAAAAAATATTCACTGGAAATTTGGGACTTCATAAAGTAATTTCCATTAATTAAAAAAAAATTGCTTTCTATCATTGTTCTAAAACAAATAATTGAGTTGAGCCCTTGAATCCAGTGTGCTGACTTATTGTCAGTCTTTTAGCAGACAGAATTTTCTCTAGTGGATGCAGAGAGGATTTTGTTCATTTTAGTAGAGACAGCTCAAGGATTTTCTTGTAATGTGGAATCAAAAGAATTATGAGCTGTATCATGGTGTAGAAAGGAAAAAATAAATTAAGGTCCCAGGTGTTGAGAGCTCCTACATCTAAAATCGTGATAATTTGGTGATAAGAAATTACTGTTCGTTCATTACAAATAATGTTGTGGTTTAACCACTTTTCATTGTGAGAAGTTTGAATATATTTTCCTTCAATCAGTTGTACTGTAACATTTTTATTTGGATTCTAAAAAACAACTCTGGAATGCTGCTGCATTTTTGTATTTAAAGTGCCTATCTGAATCAGCTCAGTGCAAAACCTGAGTGAAATAAGTTATAAATCATTGGGTTTTAATATAATGTGCTTATTCAGGATTTCATTATATTGCCTTGCTTAAATCTAGGCATAGGGTATCCTCTTAATAAATGAAATTTTTTCTAGTGTGAAAGTTTTTTAATAATCATAAGCTGGTGGGTAATTTGTAGTGGAATTCTGCCCTGATCTGAAGACTGCAGGAAGCAGGACAAATGGAAAAGCTGTTGCTGAGTTGATGTACGTACAGCATGTACCTGCACTTGGCTGCTTATTTCTTCTCAGCAATAGTCTTTCTCTGTTGGTTGAGCAGCAGCAATTTATTAGCTTTAAACTCAAACTGGCACTTCAGAGACTTACCACTTTAGTATGGTTTTCATGCTACTGGTTAAAGGAAAAAGGAGTGAGAATTTTAATTGTCTAAACTTGCAGTCCTGTAAAAGTTTGCCCTGGAAATTACAAAGATGAGACAAGTGTAGTAGATGAGAAGCCAATCTCTAAGTAGCCAAACAGTTCTCAGTTAAGTATGAAGTTACTATCAGGGTTATGAATTCTAATTTAGAACCTGTATGTATTTGCTGCATGTGTGTGTTATGAGTCCTTCCCAGATTCTTCTGGAATTGAAAGTCAGAGTATGTTACTGAATGTGTGGGTGTGTATTTGGTGCCTTGTCACAGTGGGGTGCAAAGCAATGTCTTTTGTACTTTGACACATCCTAATTGGGACGTGCTATGAGGTTATTAGACTGCAGGGTGCTTTACAGAATCTCAGAATCCCTTAGGTTGGAAAAGACCTCTGAGATTAGCTAAAATGCAGGAGGATGTGACTTCTGCCTCTGTCAATAATGGTTTGTTACATGTATTGTATTATCACTGTATGTGTTTGCTGTAATCAAACTGTTCATTCAGAACTTTCATCTTTTTGTTTTTCTTTAAGGAGCTGAGTGTGGAATAAATGCAGAAGTAGAAAAACAGCTTGAAATGGGGAAGAAGTTATTGGCTGCTGGGCAGCTGGCAGATGCTTTGTCTCACTTTCATGCAGCTATAGGTATGTATCTCAGGGAGGTGACTCTTGTACTGAAATGCCTTTGGGTGGGTTCTTCCCACTGTTTGCTTCATTAAATATCCTGCTTTCTTGCAAATTGCATTCCATGAATCACAGAATTTGGGGTATCTTTATACAGCAGTTTGGACAGAAGCCAGCAGAGATGCAGTAGAATATTTATGCTTTGGTTTTGATAAAAAAAACTGTTAAATTAACTACACAATTCATAAACACTTAAGTCACTGTTGTTCTAGAAGCTGGCTGTATGAGAGGAATTATAATTGACTCTGATACTGTTTGATGAGGTATTCCCTGTCTGTCTAATCCCATCAAGATCAGTTTTCATCTTTATGATGTTTTTCAAAGTATGAGTATGTCTTTGAAAGGCTGACTTTATCCATGCTTTCTTCTATCCAGTGCTGTAAAAAATTCAATGTTTAAAATAGTCACTTTCTCTCTTCTTATTTTTTCTTAATTAAATCTTGAAGTAGGTGGTATCTCAGTGAAACTGATGCTGCTCTCATGTTTGAGATACTGCATTGGCAGTGGAGAGCAAAATCGTCCCTCTCTTGTAGTCAGATAGTGAGTTTGTTCTTGTTTGGTGTTCTGCATCTTCAGCAAACTGAGAAGTTAAATGTTTGCTTTTAAGAATTTTAAAGCAACTTAGCTGATTAAAATCCTTTAATTGAAGCATAGAGGCAGCACTGGTAAAGAGCAGTGTCCATTAACACTGGTTTCTTAATTGCATGGTACTGTTTTAAGTTGTTGGACTTTGTTATAATGTGTACAAGTGCATTTTTTTTCTCTGTGAAAAGAATATTACTGAGACGTTATACATTGATGAGTCGTACTGTTGATACTTTTTAATTTATGCCTTGGTTTAATAGTGAGATGTAAATGAAACATGGGTTGCTTCTGAGTTATTAATATTTTCTTTGCATTCTCCAAAATCGTTCTCCAAGACTTCCTTTATATAAAGAGAATGGAGGAGGCAACTTCCCTTTTTTTCTGTTGTGGAAGTTCCTTGTTCCGCCTAGATGCAGTCTGTTATTCCTTTGGTTTCTATGTTGCTGCCAAAGAGGGGCGGGTCTGTGCACAGTTAGTGCACAGTGGCTAGGGCAATGTGCTGTGGGGTCTGTGCACAGTTAGTGCTGCAGCCTGATTTTTTCCTTTATTATTGGTTGGCAAACTTGAACTTGGATTGATGAGGAGACCAGTTCAGTGTGTGGCTGTGCAGGTCCTGGTGGTGTTGTAGAGGCAGCAGTGGTGTGAAGTGCCTGCATGGGTGAAACCCACTGCTTTGCCAGCTGTGCTAGAGCAGCTTGTAGAAATACGGTATGACCACCTCAGTTGTGACCTTTATGGGGTTCTTATTTGGATGCTGATTTTAGCCTGATTGCCTCATTTTCATCGGATTTCTTTGGATTTTGCCTTTTTGAAAAGATTTTAAGCATGATTTGCCAACTGTGCTAGTGAGGAGGTAAGAATTCTTTCCTGGCTGTACTGCATCGTTGTAGACTGTGAGGTAAATAGATTTTTCTGTCTTGTCTCAGGCAGTCTATTTTTGGTTTCTTTGCAAACATCTGAAATAGATGAAAACTGCTGTCCATATTACCTCTCTTCAGTTAAATTTTCTACTCTTTCTTCCATCCCAGCTTATGCCTTCTGTCTGGGTGTCAGTTGCTGTTCATTACTGTTGCTGGAGTACTGAGGTAAAACCAGATAATCATCTGGTGCTGAAATGTGCTTTCTTTGTTAGCTCTTTCCTACCTTTCATCCTTTGTGTATTAATCAAGTTCCTTAATTACAGCCCTCGATTTGTACTTAGCCTTCACCTTCAGGACTCAATGCTGCTTTTTTTTTTAAGGGTAGTAACACTTGAATTTATTTGATGTGTCTAATGCTGACATACAAAGAGGCATACAGCATGGGAGTGCCTATTAAATTTCAGCTCTGGAGATCAGCATTTCCACAACCAAGATACTGTAGAGGAAGAGTGCAGATAGCTTCTTCTTGGTAATGGAGGTGGCCAGCTATGAAACTTCATTGCTGAGCATAAGATTATTGGTGGTGCTATTTCTTCCATTTATTTTGAAGTTCAACTTTAACCACAAATGATGTGAGGAAGAAAAATATTACTTCTGTTCCTCAGATATGGATGTTCTTGTCTGCAAATTCTGGATTGATTATTATGTTTTTAATAGTATAGTAAAAGGTTTTCTGTATTCCAACATTGGGTTACTTTTCCTTGAGAGCCCACAGTAACTGTCACCTGTTTCTGTGAAATACTGCATACAGAAGAAAATTAAGAATATTATTCTTGTTTTCAGAGACTGATGTTTGCCTCTTGTACAGGTGTATGTGCTAGCTTGGAGAGTGTTAAAGTAGCTGGATCTTGGAATTTTGACCAGGAGACTACATTGACTGTGTGGGCCCTGAAGTTAGCTTTCATGTTGATAGTGTGTGCATTTGTCTGCTGGTGAGAGGGAATGTTGGTGCCCACTTTACTACTAAGGAAAGAAGTTGCTGATATTTCAGTGAATGATATAAAGAGTTAGTGTCTGTGTTGACATTGCACTAACATATCAGTAATTTTGGGAGTATTTGCATGTGTCTGATATGGTGATCAGCACCTGGGCTGGAAAATGATGAATTAATGTACTTTCAAATGTAGGCCTGCAGTTGGAGGTAAAACATTAGTACGTAGAGGCTGTTCTCCCATATAAAGCTGAAGAACACATCCACATTTGACCTTCACTCTCAGTTATTTGGCATTTACAGTATTTGTGTAATCTTTATTGTTAAATAATTAAACTGCATAGAAAATACTGCTTGCATGATGTTGCAGATTTTATGTCTTATTAATGTATACCATTGTTTCCAGTGGTTTAAAAGGCAGATGGTTGATATATTTTTAGTCATTACAGTTCCACTGTGCCAGAAATTTCAGTAGCTTTGAGATAGTATTCTGATTACTGTTTGTTCATTTGCAGAGGGAGACTCTGAGAACTACATTGCTTATTACAGAAGAGCCACAGTGTACTTAGCCATGGGCAAATCTAAAGCGGCAATTCGCGATTTAAGTAAAGTGGTTGAATTAAAGCAGGACTTCACATCAGTAAGTATTACTGGAACTGAAGATTGCTCAAGTGTAAAAAAAAAAAAGAACTGCTTCAAAGAAGGTTTGGGGTTTTTTTCAGACTTTGCTCAACAGGAATAGAGAATCATTGTCCCTCAGAGGGCTTTAAAGTGGGTCAAATAATAGCAGTGGTGTATGTGCCTTAATTTGCAACGATGTTGAGTACAGTCTAGACAGTTATTTGACCAACTACTAGTTTTACTAAGTTCATGGATTTATACTAAACACTTCTCTCACTTGTGGTTATTTGGTTGTTCACCAAGGCTTTGCCCTTTGGGACAGGGAGAAGAAAGCACACAGATGCCTCTGGGTTTTTTTTTCTCTTAATCAGCATTAGATCTGAGGTATCTGTTCTCCACAGTAACTGTCCTAATCTCATTGCGTTCCTGTGTGACTGTTGCAAGCTCAGATTTGCCTACCACTTTCTCCATTCTGTGTACTATATGCAGAGACTGCCTCACTAGTTGGAAACTGATGCTGAAGTCCTCTCAAACTGATTCTCTCACCTCCCTTTTTTGTGGGCAGTGGCATGTCCTGTGTAGTTGACAATAAAGGAGCAAATGTTAAATTCACTGTTGTATGAAAATATTCGTATTAGGAATCAAAGTCTTCTAAATCACTTCTTTTTACGTAGGTTCTATTATTCTGAGAGTTTAATGAAATAATTAAATGTGGGAATTGTTTATTATTTCTGCTATTTATTTAATATGTAAGCAGTTATAATCAGGAAAGTGGTGGAAAGTCGCATTCACTTTGATTTGTGAAACTTCTTACATGAGTTCTTTTCATAAAAATTGTCTGCTTTTTGTCCCTCAGTTCTGGTGCAGAGCAATCCTTTGCCATTGAAGAGGCCTTACAAGAACATTGTTAAATCAAAAAGACAAAGAATGGGTGTCATGATCCCTGTTTCAGCTTGTTAGCTGTACTAAAATGAAACTTGTATTCATAGTTTGCTCTATTCCCATTTGTAAATGAGTTATGTTTCATTTCAGGCAAGATTACAAAGAGGACACTTACTGCTTAAGCAAGGGAAATTCGATGAAGCAGAGGATGACTTCAAAAATGTGGTAAGTTGGAGGCCAGTGTTGAGCTACATCACTACTTTTTAAGGTTGGGTTCTGAGCCAAGGTCACATCTGAACTCTGATGCTATATAGAGTAAATGCTATCTAGGCCTGAGTTTGTCTTTCCTGTTCTTTGCAGGCATAGCAGCTAAGCAACCTTTGTATGAATAAATGACCAGTGAAGTTGCAGTATAGTGATGCAGATGAAATGGGGTGTTGTCTGAAGCAAAGGAGCACTTTGGAAAGTCTTTCTTGTGTGTGCCTGATACTTCATGATCTCTGCTTACTGGTAGCTGAAGGGAGCAGCCTTCATTCAGGAAAGAGTGATGTAGTTGAACTCTGGTTTACATCACTATATTGATGTCTCCCTGGGAAGTCACTAGGGGCATCATGGATCAACCTTTGCAAGTTCCTCTCTCTTTTTACCTGTTGCAAAAGAATTGTTGACTCTTAATTTAGTCACTGAGTAGTTAAATCAGTACATTTCAGTGGTATCCCTCTGTCTCCTAATCTGCAGAGTTCTCCATGTTCATGAATGTCTGACAGTTCTTTCTCTCCATGATAGGAATTGTGCAGCTTCCAGCTACAAGTACTTGGATATTACCCACCTAAAACTCACTTGGGCTATTTTTAGTTTTGATGGGTATTTTGTGCATTTCAGCCCTATGCTGCAAAGCTAAGCTGATCTAACCCCAGGAAAAAAAGCCCTCAAAGAATGTGAATCTAGATTTCCTCTCTATTGCACAAAATTAATGTAAATATGAGTATGAATAAGATACATTCTTCATTCTTGCTTGCTCTTTAAGAGTTGTTAGTTTGAGCAGCTGATGTGTCCCTTAAACTAAAAAAAGAAGAATTTGCAAAGAAACAGATGCTGTCTTGTTGGCTGTCTCTGAAGAGACCGATGAAAAAAGAAGCTGTGTGGTCCAGATTGCAGCTGTTTAATGGAAATCTTACTAGGAAGTGTGGATGACAAAACTGGAGTGGTTATTCTGTATGTTCTGCAGGGCAGCAACGAGGAATGGCTCTTGCAGGTAGAAATGCGCCAGGCAGTTCTTGTGTCTGTAGCAGAGCTCCAGCAGCTTATTCTGAAGTTCACATAGCAATGGCACCTCTGGCTGCTCCTTCCTCAGTAAGTTTCTTAGGAGTGTGTGGTCTGATAGCAGCGCAGCCCTGCTGTCTGCAAACGTGGGAGAGAGTCATTCAGCTCAGATTAATTGAGGACACAGTTGCTGCAGTAACAATTATGCAGTGTCAGGGTTGATTGGGAGTCTCTGTGTGCATCTCTCTGCAGTTACTTTTTCTTGAAGTATTGCTTAATGCTGCATATGGAATTCTTTCTCCAGTCAACTGTAAAATATCTTCTCCTATTGCCAAACCTGCTGCAAAAATTTATTTGCTGCTTTTGGTCAGTCAAATAGTTACAATACTCAATCAGGCTTTAAGTCTGAAGTAGAACAGAGTTTCTTCCTGGAAGCTAATTTAGGAAACGAGCATATCAGTTCTCAATCTGACTTCCATTTTCCTTTGTTCTGTGAACAACATTGTCTATGTACTTAGAGTGGTCTGTTTTGAAGAGCATAATTTTCAGTTAAGTACAATATATTCAAGCAAAATGAGTGAATACTAAAGTAGTAATTTGCAATAGGTTAAATTATTCATGTGTGGAGTGGGTTAAATTGTGCTACATACCTTGAAATTTTTAATTAGAATACCTATTTCTTTGAGAGGTTTTCCTTGTTTTCTAAATCTTGCAGATTTCTCATTCCTTCTCTTGTAGTCATGTTCCTTAAAAAGGGGTCTCAATAATTTAGGAGATGCAGTCATTTTTGAGGGAGAGAAGGCAAGAAAAATTCAGCCCATCTAAATGGAGGGAAGGATGACAGGTAAACTTTCGCAGCTTGTCAGACCAGTGGCTTTGTGTAGAACTTAAAAAAACATTATAACTATTCTTCATATAAAACAATAAACCTGTCCTTTAATGAGTACTTGTGAAGAGAAAATTCATGTATTCAAATTCTTTCTATATAATTTCATAGTATCAGGAGAAGGTTTCATGGTGAGCACCCTAAATATCTTTAAGTGATTGATTGCTGAGCAGTTTGTCTGTATATTCCTGCCCTCTCTGGCATATTGGCACTGACTGCCTTGTGAGGCAGTGCTAGTGTGAGAGCAGGCAGTGGAAATGCCTAGCTGTAAAGGATACAGTGTTCCTTTTTGGGAGCTGAGCCTCTTGAGATTCAGCCTTCATGTGTTATTTTTAGCTATCTTTTTTTTTGTACTCTGTACTTTCCTGTTGGCTGAAATTAATCACGAGGTTTGGAAAGAGGGTGTGATTCAGACTTATGCATTCACATATTAAGCAATACTACATTTCTAGAAACCTCTCCTTTTGGCCTACAGATAAATCAAGCTGATTAAATGTTTTACATGGGTCAGGTTTTCCACATGAAACAAGGAGTAAGCAGAATTCTTTTGGTGATTTTACAAAGTTGTTGCTCATGCTGTATGAATAGTAATTATTTCTCTGCTACAACTTTGGTTTAGTGTTCATATGCTTTAATATCAAGTTCTTTCTGTTTGGGTTAGTGGTTTCTGATTAACAGAAGCCAGCGGACAGATCTGGGGGTGCATCAACATTTGTGTCCAGGGCCTTGAGCCATGAAAGCCCTGGAATGTTTATTTTACCTGTAAGCATGTGATTTTGACTGAAAATAAAAGGGATACTTTCATTGATGGTAGGCCTTCTGGAAAGGTGACAAAAACAATGCAAATCCTGGCAGCCCTGTGTATGTGCCTTTCAGTGTTGTCAGTGACTCTGCTTATGTTCCAGAGGAAATGCTCAGAAAAGCATTTGAGTTGGTGAATTCTGTGGAAGGTACAGAATTAGAGCAGAACTTCTGCCTTGTCTATTGGAAAGTGAGGAAAGGACGAAATTGTTAATATTTCTTTCAAATTCTAGTCTCTTTTAAGACCCACTGTAACACAGTGCAATTTATTGCAATAAATACTGTAAATGGAGGTGTCCTGAATAGACAATTCTGTCTGCCTTGGAAGAACAAACACTTCAAGGCTTGACACTGAAGGCACCACTTCTAGTTCCACTAGATGTCAGCCAAGACCAAGTGACTGAGCTCTAAACATCTGCAAATTGCTTTCTCATCTAAACCCTTGCCTGTTGCAAAATACATTGGGCAACAGCTTTCCATGGTTGGTTGTTATGTGTAATAGTACTGTTTTGGATGTAGGTGGGAGAGGCTATCTTATGGCACTGTAAGTTAATCAAATTGGGTTAAGTTACTAGGCAATCTAGTTGGCTGTTTAAAGCTCTCTTAATCCCATCTGAGATATTTAATATAGCATTAGATATTTCCAAATACATTCCTCTGTGCTACAGTGATCATCTGTAGCTTCCGAACTAAAGAATAAAAGGTATTTAAATATTTCCTTGGTTTTTTTTTTTTTTCCATCTGTCTGTCATTTTAGTTGTGTTACCTGATATGTTACCAGTGCAGGGCTTTCATCTGTGCACTGTCCTTGAGTGCATGGATGTCTTGATTTTAGATACCACAAACCATGGAGGTTTCCTCAGTTCCCTTCAGGATGTTTTTCACAAACTGAATGAGCTGGCTTGTTTTTGCTTTAGTTAATGTTACTTATTTAAACATCATAGCAATATGCTATTACTTGTTAGGAACTTATGAGTGTATATTTTCATCATACTGTAGCACACGCACAATGACTTTTGTTTGAATGATACCTTGAAAAATTTCCCTGTCTTTAACTGGACATGTGCTACCTAAAATTACCTAGGATGATTGACTCAAATGGTCTTGGTTACTGTTGGACTTGCCTCCATCATTGTAACATTGCTTTTCATATTCTGCTGACATTTTCTCCAAATACATTACAAGAAACATACCGTGAGTCTAAGGAGTGTGATGTTATCATAAGTTTTTATGGAAGTGTAAGGCTTATCCATACCAAAGGCTCTTAATTTTTAAGGAGGAAATGCTGAGAAATTAAGGAAGAAATCAAACAAGTCTGCTGGAACTAAGGAGTTCGGGACTTCAGAGAGTTTTGTGGACTTGGTATTTTTTGAAATTACAGGAGTAGAAATTTGCCTCTGCTACAAGCTCCAGATTTTAGGGAGAGAGTGGATGCACGGCATCAAGGGCTTGTAGGCAGAGTTCTAACCAGAAGAAGAGCTTTAATGAGACTTATATTGGGAATCTTAAAGAAAGAAAACTCTTTGATCACATTCCTCTCCTCTTGCTGAAAGACAACATAGGGAATAAAGGAGAATTTTCTGGTCTAGGTACAACTTGACTTTTGCCAAGTAAAATGAAAAATTGCATAGGGTTCAAAAAGATTTATAAAGAGGAATTGAAGACAGTGTGAGACTTGTGCATGATTTTAGTATAGCATTTAGGCTCTTTCCTTTCATATACTCAAGTGGTAGAACCAGGGGAAATTCTGATAAAGGACATCTAAGGGCTGAAGTTGAATTATATTAGAGACATAAGCACAAAATACATGTCTTTCAAGAACTTACTGGTGAGAAAAAGGGAAGTGGCCACTTCAAGATAAATGGGGAAAGAAAAAAGTACTGGATGTCTTTGAGTGACTTCAGTTCACTTTCTGTGTATAGAATGCAAGATAATACAAGTTTTTACTTAAAAACAAACAAAAAAAAAGTCATGCTGATTTGTCCTTTTTAAACTTTGAAAGTCATTCTGATCAGCAACAAGTGTGAAGTCGGTGCTTCTTTCAAGCTACAGTAATGCTACAAATTCCCTGGCTTTGCAAGGGAACGGCTGAGATTCTCTCTGGCCATGGGTATCTTCCTGGGTGATAGTAAAGTTGCCTGAAAGATATTTTAAAATTTTTTCTTAGAAAAGATAAACCTGCCCAAATGAAAGAGGCAAGTTTAATGTAATGACTTCCACTTGCTCAGAGAGAGGGGTTAAGAGAAATAAGAGTTCTGTTAGACTTGTTTAAAACTATGTAAGAAACAGAATGCCCAGCTGAGTCTTTTCCCTGGTTGTAGCCACTTAACTTGCTGCTGCAGCCAGTCTTTGTGAGGAAAATGTAAGAAACACAACTTCACAGTAACAGCTGTCTGGAACATGTTTCATTTATTTCTGCTATGAAGTTATAAATATGTGTAGTGCTTAAAGTGAGAGATGCAGTTAGATCACGTGATTACACTGTCTGTTGCTGCTGAGGAATCCAGTGTTTAACAACTGATAGCAGAGGTAAATTAATTAGGTTACAAAGAGGTCCACAACATCCAGCAGGTGATGGGGAACAGTGACTGTTGTGTTTGATGTGTCCAGTGATGATTGATCAGGCATGAAGAACTGGATTTCTCTGACTTCTGACATCTTGCGTTGAATCTCAAAATGATTCTTTCTTCTGAAGTTCAGAGGTAGAAGTGCTTCCAGTGGAGTTTGGAAACTCACTCTATTCTCAGCTTTAGTCAGTTCTCCATGATATGATTATTTATGGGACTGAAAGAGATCCTTGAACAAGCATTTGAGTCTCTTTTCTTGTTCATGTTCGCAGCTCAAATCCAATCCTAGCAATAATGAGGAAAAAGAAGCCCAGACGCAGCTGACAAAATCTGATGAGCTGCAGCGCCTACATTCACAGGCATTATCTGCCTACCAGCAAGAGGATTATGGAGCTGCTATTTCTCTTCTTGATGAAATCTTGGCTGTAAGTGTTAAGTCAAATGGTACTGTGAAAGTAAGAGCTTCTGACATCTTTGTTTTTGTAATAGTTTCTTTACTGATGTGAAAGTAACTTTGGTGTAACCAGTTTAGTTTTGCTGAGCACTTTGGGTCTGTAATAGTGTTGGAGAGAGGAGAGGGCTGAGCACTAGCTGCAGAAGAAGTCATAGTCTGTCTTAAAGATACTTCAGTTAAACTTCAATTACAGATAACTTTATTGATTATACTTTCCTGTTTTTCTACAATTTGTTATTCTTGGGGAAGCTGGGAAGAAGTTTTTCTGAAATCAATGAAGTTTTGCCAAGTATAGGAGTTACAGGGTTTTTTTTAATCTGGATTTTTTGTTGTATATAGGCAGACAGTTTTAGTCTTGAGAAAAAAGATTAAAAAAACCCCTACAAAATTAAAAATGTAGATAGCTAGCTGAATTTTCCTCTTGTTCCTTAGGTAGCTATATTTGTTGAATCTTAATTGGTGTAAACAGCCTGATAATGCAAGTGTAAATAACTTAATCATGTGGGCATTTTGTGTGTCATATAGAAATGTACTAAAAGACAGTTAACTGCTATAACTCTGTACATACAAATTGGAGTTTACAACCTTGGAGCTTTTGGTGATGAAACTGCCACAGTGCAGGAATTGGTTTATGGGGAGGTAGCGTGGAAAAGCAGGAAAGTCTCCTCTAAGATAATTTCCAAACAGCTGATAAGACTTAGACAGATTTAATTCCCTAAATCAAATTTTGATAGGCAGTTCCTCATGAGTAATTAGTTTTGCCTTACTGTGACAATTTTACCTCTCTTTATTCTTAAAATCTAGATATTAAGGTCAAACTTGGTGGAGCTGCATCTTACCCACAGGCTTCTTCCTGGAGAACAATTGACAGCTTGGTCCTTGCTGTTCATTACCTCTATTCTTTTGGGAAGATGCAATAATTTATGATTCTGATATCCTTTCCTGGAGGCTCAACAGACTGTCCTAGTTTAAGCAATGCCAGTAGATTTAATTCATCTCTCTGCATGAGTTCATTGCATCATTTACAAAATTTTCAGGCCTTTGTTTTTCTATTTGGGCAGGTGCATCACAGCATCCACCAGGAAGCAGAGATGCTAATTTCATGAGCTCTGCATGCAGCTTGAACCTTATGCTGTTGCAGTTGGCAAAGTGAAATTAAATGGGATTTTTTCTTTTGGGGAGAAAAAGAAGTGAAGTGTTATGGACCAAAAACAAGCTTTAATTTTGATTTCTCAAGGTTTGTGTTTGGGATGCAGAGCTACGGGAACTTCGAGCAGAGTGTTACATAAAGGAAGGGGAACCAAGCAAAGCCATTAGTGACTTGAAAGCTGCTGCCAAATTAAAGAATGATAATACTGAAGCCTTTTATAAAATCAGCAAAATATATTATCAGCTGGGGGACCATGAATTATCTCTCAGGTAATTTTACTATTTCCTCTAATCATTATAATTGAGACAGAAAATATAATTATATAGGTGATGATAAATCATGAAGTATCTCTTGTGTGAGGTTTGGATGGAGAATCATCTGTGGTCTAGATCTGATAAAGGGAGTTCCTTTCTAGAAACTAAGGATTGGCAGTGAAGAAACCCATGTTTGTTCTTGGCAAGACCAACCATCAATGGTTCCAGGCATCTTGTTTCCTTAAACAGAAGCCAGAGTCCCTCTCCATCAGAGTTGCTTACAAGTGCTGTTTTCATTGTGTTTCTCCTAGAAGGAAGTGCTTCTCTAAATTTCCTGTAGTGGAATTTTTCTTTTAACCTTAAACCTCTGTTGAATTTAAGATGCAAACCGAAGATGTCTACATTATGTTACAAGCTTAAGAATAAATAAAAAGTACAGGAGCATCCAAATATGAAGAGCTTGGGGTGCAGAGCTGTTTGCCTCTCATTCCTGCAGACAGTCCTAGATGACTTTTTGATAATGCCCTGTCCTTTTATTCATACTGAGTTAAATTTAAGGTCTTATTCCCATATGTCCCTAGGCAATCTGGAGATAACTGCCCTTGCCCAGTCTGGACTGTTCAGTTTGTGCTCTGTGGCTAGCTGCACAAATGATGGAATTCTTCCTATTGCACAGAAGTGGTTTCTGTGCCAATCATAATTTCAGATATGTTGCCTTCATCTCCAGAATCCTTCCAATGTTATTTCTGCCACAGAGTCCCTTCAATAAGGTGAAGAGAACAGAAAAAGCCTGTGTTTCTTTCCTTGGCAGATGGAAAATGCATGTGATTATACTTGCAAAGTTTGTTTTATAGCTGGCCAAAAGTAAACATGAAATTAATTGGTTTGCATTAGGCATTCCCTTTCCAGAGCCTACTTAATCTTGTGAGCTCATAGGTCACTTCCGTGATGATGACTTTTGGGAGGTGGCCATCACTTTGCCCAGTGATTTCAAGGGTAGGTGGTATTTAAAAGCACGATTGAGGACGCTGTTGAAGAACAGAACGGAATCAGAAAGAAAGGGATAAGCCTCTTTCCTTTATTCTTGTCTGATACCATTAATTTTTGCTTCATGAGATATGCTGAGAAAGAGTTCTATAGCTCTTGAACTTGCTGGGTGCTATCTATTGTCCTTCCCTTAGTTTCTTCCTCTTAAAGGCCTAATTATTTTCAAATTGTAAGATATTTTTGTCTGTGCTTAGGAACAAAATAAGATTTTGTAATCTCTTCCTGAAATTGACATAGTGGTTGTGCTATGGTGACTCTGTGGGATCCATAACATTTATTCCTTCATATGACTGCATTCTGGAGGTTTTTTGAGTTTTTTTTAGACTTTGGACTATTTTGGCACACATTTTCCCTAATCAGAGTCTGATTAAACATTCTTCACGGTGAAACATCAGCCTCAGGCTTGGCTGAGATTCCATCAAGGAGGTTTGTGTCTTAGTTGAGCTTTCTATTTCAAATGACACAAAATACACTTGAATGTAGGAATTTTGTAATATATCTGAGTTACAATTGATGATAATTTTCCTATCTATTCATCTGATAACTGCTGAATATAATTTCTTTCACAGAGTGCCTTTTTCTTCAAAGGTACTCTTCAGCTCTTTAGTCAGTTATTAGTGTAGCATTTAATCTTTTGTGTGTTTGACAATACAAAAGAATTAAAACCAAATCCAGATAAGTATCCCTGTATATTTTGGAAGACTCTTTTTGGTCTTACTTTATATTAATATTTGGATGAAGGGAGAGATCTGTGAAAGAACTCAAGTGTTATTCTGAACAGTTTATAAATGCTGCATTATGTCTCCTGGTAAAATTTCATAGTATGTGGTGACCTAGGTGTGTTGTTTTGTGTTTTTTTTTTCCACTTCTCCTTACCTCTCTGTGAAAAGTGAGGTCCGGGAGTGTCTGAAATTGGACCAAGACCATAAGCAATGCTTCTCCCTCTATAAGCAAGTGAAGAAACTCAATAAGCAGATCGAGTCAGCAGAGGAATTCATCAGAGAAGGCAGGTAAGTATTCACTGCTATATAAAGGAAAAAAAAATAGAAAAAACCCACAATTGAGGCACCAACTTACTGATTGAGGAGCTGATTAAAGTGATGCTTTTTGCCTGTGTCAGTTGAAGTGGGTACTGAGCAGAGCTCTCAAATTACAATTAAAATAAATATTGACTTGCATAGCAACTATTCTATTCTGATTCCTTCTGATGCCACTGTGTCCCTTTTGCATACTTAACTTCTTTCTGCAGCAGGTAGTAAGACAAACATAGGGATGGGAGTTTTCAGCTCTCATATATTATTACTCAGCACTGATGGGAACCCCACCTGAGCACTGGGCTCCCCAGTGCAGGAGAGATGAAACTACTGATAAAGTCCAGTGAAGTTCCACTAAGATTGGAGGTGAGGAGCATCTCTCTTCTGCAAGGAAAGGCTGGGGTGGCTGAGAGTGTTTGCCCTGAGACTTCTCTGCTACAGGGTGATTTCATCAGTTTATCTGAAGGGAGGGTGCAAAGAGGGTGGAGCCAGGCTCTGCTCGGTGGTGTTCTGTGATGGGATCAGGCCAATGGGTGCAAACTGAAACATGAAATTCCCTTGAAACATTAGGATATGCTTTTTACACTGCCTCTATTCCACTGGTGCAGGTTGTCCAGGGGGTTTATGGAGTCTCCCCACTTGAGTGTTATACAAAACCATTTTGGACACAGTTGTAGGCTGATTTCTGGAGGTGGCCCTGTGTGGGCAGTGGGGTTAGATGAGAAGATTTCTAAGAGTTCCTTCCAACTTCAGCTATTCTGTGATGAAAGGACCATATCTTAAGACTAAAACCACTTAGTAACTCTGCAGTGCCTTGATGGCAGAAGTGGTTCTGACTGTTAAGCTTTTTTTCTTTCATGCACCCTGTTTGATAGACAGTGCCTCCATATTCTTGTAGTTCTTGCTTTACTTCAATTTTGTGTTCCCAAGCACATGACATCCAGCTGTAAGGACCCCTGAACAAATCACTAGATATTGTCAAGGTGGCTTTTTAAAATGAAGTACATCAGGAGTGTGAATAAGCAGAACTGATGCCAGTTTTATTAAGCCAGAATTTGGACTCTTCACTTATTTAATACAGCATAAGCGAAGTTTCAGGGAGTCTGAGAGCTTCCATTTCTCTAACTTGTAGCAACCCGTGAATTCAGTCTCACTCTCATATTTTTAGGTAAATGTTCTAATCTGTTTCTCACTCAAACCATGTAACTTTAGCATTTTGAGGCCTTCACAGCAAAATAACACTTGACTGTGTGACTTGTGAAAAGAAAAGGAGAAAACATCTGCTTGATTAAAACTGGCATAAGGAGCTTTTTTGTACCTCTGTGAATAGCTACCTTTTGTAGTGTGCAAATAGTCTGGACTCTTACTGTGAGCACAGAACTGAGTCCAATCTCAGGTATCAGTGGGGGAGATGCTTATTTTGAAGTGGAGTGTCATGTTGGACAGGAGGCAAATCTGGAGACCCTTGGCTGTGCATTGTGAAGGATTGCTGTTGTTACCTTGTGCATAAGCCTGAGCAGGCCTAGTGCCTGCTCTTCTGTCTCTCAGCACAGAGAAGGGAATGGGAATGTAATTCTTGAAGTGCCTGCAAGTTTTCTTTACACTGTTGTTTCACACCTCAACTTTAAGGCTATTGAAGGGAAGGTCCTTTGGTAGAAGGATTGGAGAATCTGTGAATTTTAAGAATTTTAAAATAAAATGCAACACCCTGAGATAGTGATTACATTTCATGATATTACGCTTTATGATTTAAACAGGTATGAAGATGCTATCAGTAAATACGAGTCTGTAATGAAAACTGAGCCAGAAGTCCCAGTTTATTCTACTCGTGCCAAAGAAAGGATCTGTCACTGCTTATCAAAGGTAATTCTTCTTATCTTCCTCTAAATGTCTTCAAGATAAACATGAAACAAAACTTCCACAACTACATGAGTTTGGTTTTACTTTTGCCTCTCTAGAATCAGCAGGCTACAGAAGCCATCAAACTTTGTTCAGAAGTTCTGCAGCTGGAGCCAACCAATGTGAATGCCCTGAAAGACAGAGCAGAAGCTTATTTGCTAGAAGACATGTATGAAGAAGGTACACTTTTATGCCATTGGCACATGCTTAATGTGTATGTTTAAAATGTAGTCAGCGTTTCAAAGGCTTTTTTTTAACATGCACTTTGATTCTACACCATGTTATCCTTAATTAGCCCTGGTAGTTGCAGATTTACAAAACTACTTGGTGGTAATTTTGCCTTGATTCGTGTAAGTGGAATGTACTTGTTTCATCTACAGCAGAGTTGTCTTTACAACAGTGGACTGTGTTCAGGATGTTTTATGAGACTGTGCAGATTACTCAGCTCAGAGATGTTTTATATAATCAGCAGTGTCAGAGAATTGCATTTAGGTAAAAGGTGATTAGAGTTAGGGTAATGTAAATCCATTTTAGGAGTTCCATTTTCATGTCTTGAGATGGCAGCATGAAATAATACTGTTCTCTTCCCTAGCATGTGCTGAGGGCAGAGGAAGGTAACAGCCATTGCTTCTCCTTCCATGATCTCTGTAGTCTTGCTCAGAGAGTAAATTGATTCTATTCCTGAGGCTGCATTTTCCATATGGAATTTCTGTACAATGCATCCTATTACATGGAGTGATAGAAATGACCTCTAAGATTATCAAGTCCAACCATTAACCCAGCACTGCCAAGTGCACCACTAAACCATGGTGTCTCCAAGTGCCGTATCTGCATCACTTCTCAATACCTCCAGGGAGGGTGGCTCAAACTGTAGCGAATGGGAAGAAAGAAAAGTTTTTTAACAAGGTCCTGCACAAATGCAGACAGCCAACTTGGTCTTGTGCTGGGGCAAATTGCCTCCCTGTTACAGGATATAAGGAAACAGAGCACATACCTGGGGTCTGGGAGAGCATATTTCCTGTGCTAGTGCGTGCTGGGCTTGGCCTAGCCTGGTTCCAAGTGAAGAACCATGCTGAGCAGAACTGTGCTTCTCCAGATTGTGTAACATCTCCTGTGCCTTCCCCCTGCCCTTGACAGCAGTGAGGTGGATGTAGTTATACTCTGCCTTCCAGCAGAGCCTCCATCAACAGCATTGCAGCCCATTACTGTTCATCTGCCTGGAGGTGTCTTCATTTATCTTTTGATGGCTGGTTTCTCTTTGCCATAGAGAACACCAGAGCAATTAAAATTGTACTTTCATATTTAAAGGGGCAAAATGATTTTCATTCTTCCCTCAAAAATATTTTCAAGCTGGAGGCACCTATTTTCCTGTTAAAGGTAGGAAATTTCAAAGTACTTGTAATTCAGAACTTTGAAGGTAATTATTGTTAAGTGTTCAAGATGCAGTTCACTTTGTATAGCTGTGTTCATGAGATGGTTTTAATTACTTCATAATCACATGGGATCCAGGGCTTGTCTATGGAGACAGATGTTTAATGACTCCATTTCTGGCATACCTGATAAGTACAGGAGTCTATCTGTCTAGAGCACAAGTTTTGTCAAAAAAGGAAAAACCTGCCTTGCTGTTTCAAAATTGGTCAAAACGTACTAATTTTTGTGTTTTCTTTTTTTCCTCTCCCTACTTTACTACTGTAGAGGTTTCAGTAAGAGCATAAAGTGGTTCTGTTATTTCTCTAACAGTCTTGGTATGGATATAGGTTGTCTGCAGTTACTCATATTTGATGGGAAATTGGCCATCATTCCACATACAGAATTAATCTGTCACCGTTTGAAAAACTCAGGCAAGATACCAAAGCCAGCAAAGTTGTTTAGAGATACAATATGATTACCTTTTGAGAGATCATGAAGATTCTTGTATTGAAATAATGACAGTTAGATTTGACTGAAGTATTTAAACTGAAAGTGACATTGGAAAATAGTTGTTCCTTTCATGTCATGGAGCAGGATGAAAGGAAGTTTCCTGAAATAGCAGGCCAGTAAGAAGCAGCAGTGACTCTTCTGTTTGCTTGTGAGGTACTACTGCTTTTAGAAATAGTGACTCAAAAGAATTGATTAAATATCTAAGTTGACATACCAGGAATTAGTAATAAGTCTCCTGGCTTTATAGCAAACTTCTTGTGGTCATGAAGTTGCCATCCTTTTCCACCTGCTTCCAACCTTCACCCCTCAGATGGAGAGAGCAATTAGCTCTCTGAAAGAGGAAAATCCCTACACTGAAGTGTACCATCAAAATTAAAGAGGGAAAGGGCAATGTGTACTTACAGAGTGTGCTGGATGCATTCCTTCTGCAGTGTGCAGCACTGAAACACCTTCCCCTCTGCTTAATGCTTGCAGTCCTTAAATAAAGAAGTTGATTAAGAAAAAAAGAAGAGCAATCTAATACTGTCATGGCTGGTAGTTGACCCCTGAGCAGGTTTCCACGATAGTGCTGTAGGTGATGTGGTGCTCAGTGAGGCTGAGCAATCTAAGCTGCATTTGGCAGGACATTCTCCTAGCTCCTCCTAGTATTACCTGAAGCAGATGAAGTTCAGTGGGGCTTAACATTATTGGTGTAATAAAGCAGCATAATGAAATCCCTGCATTTTCACTGCTTTTATTAGTTTTGATAGCATATATTCAGCACACATATTAGTGCACACTCCTGTTTTGGTTTTTTTTTTAATGACTGGACAAATTATTAAAAATACAAGTAGAAGCCAGAATGCTTTAAGCAGAAAAGGCAGTGTCCTGTGATGTGAAAATAAATAGAAATTTCATTTGATTTGTAGTAGCCTAGGAAATTGTTTGGGCTCTGGCAATACTTTTTGGAGGGGTTTTTTTTCAGTAACTGAAACAAGATTGCAGTGGTATCAGATGTCTGGGTAATACAAATTCATTAGCACTTCCTGCTGTCTTGCTCAGAAACAGTGAAAAACAAATGTAACACCTGCTGAGAAATAGCATCTGCTTGGAAATAATCTGATGCAAGTACTTTGTCTAACTTGAGAAACTTAAGAGACTTGGATCTGCGAATGAGAGCTTGAGGATTATTGTAACAGTGAAAGAAGAGCAGTCTTATTAAAGACTTCAGCTTGCTTCCCTTGATAAATTTTGATATTGAAGAATATATCAACTTGGTGTCTTAAGCACTTGCAATAATACTAGAATTTACTTAAAGAAGTGTAGACCTCAAATGTCTTAAAAATTGTCGTCTCTTCCTTTCATTCCTGAGAAATGAAACTCTTGATATAAAAGTGAGAGCATGCCTTTGGGAAAAAAACCCCTAAAATATAACTTTGCATATTATTCATGCAGAGGTGTAAAAAGCCAATATTTGCCTTTTGCTAACAATATGAACTTACTGGTAGTCTGAAATCTGTCTTTATAGTCACTAAAGAGGAAGAGACTTTCTATTGTGTTGATTGAGTGCAGACTGGGGGAGAAAAATGAATATTCATTTAAGGACTCTGGTTAATTCATCCTTCAGTTGAACAACAATGTGGGACTAATGTGCAGTGAGCTTTTCAACTACTAATTGCTGAATCTTTCTTCTTGGTTTCTGTTTCTTCATCCCAGTCCAGGATGTGCATTATGTTCATCCTTGTGTTTGTAGTAACGTCCAGAGAATGGTGTGACCTACATTGGTACCCTCCCTTCTTTTTCATTTCCCACAAGGGTGATGAACCTAAAGAAAGAAAATTACCTAATTAATGTGTGAAAGTGAATTTCCTCTATTCCATGATTTTCTAATTTAAGAAAAAACTCCCAAAACATGTAATGTTGAAAGTAAAGTTTTGCTGTTTCTGTATGTTAATGACATAGCTTCAGTTTTGTTGAGTGGCTGAATTCTTTAACTGGAAGTTTGTAGAGTAGTGAAACCTTTTTTCATTGACTTTTTTTATAAAAGCTATTAAAGACTATGAGACTGCTCAAGCCAATAGTGAAAATGACCAACAGATTCGGGAAGGGCTGGAACGTGCCCAGAGAATGCTGAAGCAATCACAGAAGAGGGATTATTATAAAATCCTGGGAGTAAAAAGGTGAGATACTAATTCCAGATATGATGATGTGAAAGATGGTTATTTAAACCAGTACTTCTAGGGCTGATCACTCGAATTTGTTCTGCTGAGTGTTAATTTTTGTTCTGTATCTTGCTATCTTCACTCTTCTGCTGTACTAATTTTTAATGTTCAGCTTGTAAAGTGGTATTTGTTTACAATTCCTTTAGAAAGAATGGAAAAACAGCAAGAAGAGAGGAAATAAATTCTTTGGGAAGAAATTCTTAGTATAGATGACCCTGAGTCATATGGATGAGTTGGGGAAGAAATGAAGAGTGGCAAGAATTACTAAAAGTAACAAAAATTGTGGCAGATAGTGTGATAGATCTGGAAGGACTGACTGAACAACTTCCCTTGATAATGAGGAGCAAGCAAAGTTCTGAACTAGTATTGGTCGTCCTTCCAATTGGGAACTAATTTGATCTGTTTTTTGTTATTCATCTGATGGCAAATTCCTCAGACTGAGAACTATATTCTGCAGTCACTGGCAGTAGCATCTTTCCAAGAGAAGTATATGGGTGGTGAAGGAGAGAGTGAAGAATCTTTGCTTAAGGTTGCAGCTTGCTTCCTTTGTTTTGTGTAAAGAGTCCTCAATGCCACTTGAAGAAGGTTAACATCACCTCATAACTTTTCTGATGTCCTTAATTGGTGTCTCAGTGTTTATTTTAAACTTCATTAGTGTGGCATTTGGGCAATCAGAAAATGAAGTTATCTGTAATTTTATTTATCTAGAAATGCTCGAAAGCAAGAAATCATAAAAGCTTACAGAAAGCTGGCATCCCAGTGGCACCCTGATAACTTCCAGAGTGAGGAAGAAAAAAAGAAAGCAGAGAAGAAATTCATTGATATTGCAGCTGCTAAAGAAGTCCTCACTGACCCAGGTAATGATGCAGTGGCTTCTTATTTTAATTACTTCTTTTACATCAAGGTCAAAACAAACGTGTAAGTCATAATAAGCATTTCAGCTTCCCTTTTTCCCTTTCTGCCCTTACCCAGCTTGAGAAAGCAGTACACTAACACTTGTATCAAGTCTGTTGCATGAAGTCAGATGTAATCTGTACTTATTGTGACTCAATGACTTTTGTTAAAAGTCAAATAGAAATTATATTTTGAAGGTGTCTAGGATTGACCAACTCTGGATATACTTATGTCAAGGATATGTGTGTCTCCTTCTGCTTCAAGTGCTATTGCAAACTGCATTTAGATTATAGCAGCAGCTGAAGTACTCTGGGGAAGCCCTGTTATTACTGTGCCATGATTCCACCTTGGTTTTGTTTCCTCCAGAAATGAGGCGGAAGTTTGATGCGGGAGAGGACCCATTGGATGCGGAGAGTCAGCAGGGTGGCAACAACCCTTTCCACAGGAGCTGGAACACGTGGCAAGGATTCAACCCCTTTGGTTCTGGAGGAGGACCATTTACATTCAAATTTCACTTCAGTTAGAGCCAAGACTGTTTCTGGGTGGCTGCTGCTGTTTTTAACTTAATTCATTGAAAAATAAAAAGTCTCTCTGTTCAAGACCCAAAATCTTAATTTCTATAATGTTGTCCTTAACCCGGAGTCTTACTGCACTAGAAGAAAGCTCCTTTTTTCTTTTGTTGGGTTTGATTTGTGATGAGCTTGACAAGCTCACACTGATGGGGGTTGTGCTGCCTATGTATTTGCTGTGGATATGCAGGACACGTTTATTCCTACGGATGGAAAAAACAGTAAGATGCTACTTAGGACAACACTTTAAATTTAGAATTCAAGTATATGCTTAAAGATAAAAATGCATGTAAATATTTTTGTGGATTGGGGCCTAATAAACATGGCAAGGGTAGTTACAGTAGTCTCTACGTTAACAAACTGTTGGTTGTGCTCAGCAGAATGATCCATCTCCCAGTATTTTTCAGAGGAAACCCAAGTGGCCACCTGCTGGATTGGTGATGGAAGTGCCAAGGGTGGGAAAGAGGCTGCACACTGAACCAGTCTCAACAATTGCTCTGGACAAAGAGTGCTTGGGGGTAACTGTAGCTGAAATACTGCTCACTTTGTTGTTCACTAACCTGAAATTAATTGGGATGACTTCCTTGGTGGAATTGTCAGCAGTGAGGTGGGGTTGGGAGGAAAGACTTGATTTTCAGAACGCTTCTTTTCTTAATGTGATTTTTGGGTGTTTGTTTAGGTATCATTTTTGAGTAGTTTGCACTTCAACAAAACATCTGCTTCAAATTTGAGCAGAAAATTTGATGTGACATTTCCCTGACTCTGCAGCAATTTGTTGGTTCTGTAGATAAAGTCAGAACTGAGACAGGTTGTGATGTGAGTGTACTGCAGGAATGTGATATTAACTCCAGCCTTACCATGCAATACAACTTCAATTCTGCTGGATGATGCAACAGAGAGTTAGTACTACATGAAATTGTAGTAATTTTATGTTTCATGTAATAGCATCGGTACTGCAGAGACAGCTGTGTGCAAAAAGAGGGACTCACTTCCCACTAGCCAAAAGTCTGTTTCTAATTTTTTTCTATATGCACATACTTAAAATGGGTTTGGTGTAGTTGTTGGAGTTGTGTGAATGCGCTGTGTGGTGTTACCAGGGCTGCAGCTGGTAGGAGTGAGGAGTCTTCTCATTCTGTAACCGCATCTGTCATAATTACTGACATAATTACTGAGTTTCATCAGCAGCCATTTTCTTGGAATGCAAGAATTACAGTTCATCAGTGTTCTCTTGATTGGATTTTAACTGGAAAACAATAATCAGTTGATAGAAGTCTTCTCTTGCTTCAACTCCTGGCACTTGAAAACCTAAGCAGCCTCAGTAAAACAAATGAAATTAGCAAATAAGGCCTTCAGTCTGAAAGGGAGGGGTCTCTTACTGTAGATGAAGTTGTTGTTGAAGTAGAACCCTTGGCTCCTGCCTCAAGTACTTCACTAATATAATTGTGAGGCCATGCAGCTTTGTAAAATGTTTTCCAACAGCACTTTAAAGCTCAGTGTTCACAAATTTATCTTCAAACTGAGGAGGTTGTATGGTGATTTCTAATGGTTTATGGTACAAAACCACCACAGCAGCCTCTTAAACTCCAGTGTTGGATGTTCACTAAGTTGAATGACTTTCTACAAGTTCAACTTGTGCTTGTGACCTGTTGGAAATATTTTGGCTCGAAGTGATGGAGATGCTCAGGGCTGTTGAGAGCGCTCAAGGCTGGCACAGGTCTCAGGGGCTGGGGCTCAGACATAGGAACTGACTGCACAGTGAGGAGCCTGCTGCCCCGTGGGGTTGGCCTCTGTGCCCCTGCTGCTTGCTGGCAGTACCTAAGGTTGGGCAGGTAGCTGTGGGGGGCAGCTGTCCGTGTCCTCCTGCGGCTCTTGTCAGCCCTCCGCCCTGAGGGGTGAGCTCCACCCAGCTGTGCTAGCCCTGGGTTGTGTGTGAGCCATTGGAACACTTGCGTATTGCCTTGTTCTCTCCAGCAGGGGCTGCTTTAAAATGAGTATTGAATGAGCAGCGTGAGCGATGTGCCCGATTGCGTACATGCAGGAGTGGCGGGGCTGTGCGAAGTCACAGTAAAGACTACAGACAGCTGTGCTTGTGTGCCAGGGGACTGCTGGAAATAAGTTCTCTTTCAAAGGACTGCCCTTGTGCAGCTTTAAAAGCTCGAGCTGAGAGAATTGTTTCCTGAGGTTTCATTTTTTTTCTTTTGTATAGAGAAGGAATAAGATGTTCCCTCATGAGTAAATTCTTCATACTAGGCACTGATGTTGGAGCAGTGTGGGTTTGTTTCTCGGAGGCAGCGGGACAGAGACGAACAAAAAAGGACAGTGTGCATTTTGAAAATGAATGAGTGGGAACGGGAAAATTACATTTTAAGAACAAAAAAGCTTGAATGTAGTCAGTAGAAGAAGATGATTGATGCATGATTGCTGTTCATAGATTCCTTTTGTTGGAAGACAGGTTTTTGGAAACAATAGCAAAACGCAACAGCGGAGAACAAGGCTTTCTAGTATTGAGCAGCTGCTGTGCACAAGAAGTGTTACCACCCCGGTGCTGTTTTGAAGGGCATTGAGGTATTCTGGGAAACCAGACCAAGTTGTGTTTAAAAGAAACCATTTATGTTGCAAGGCTCTCCAGCTCTGGTGCTGCATTTCCTGACGTGACTCTGGCAAAGGAAGTGCTGGTCCCATGCTGAGTGTTAATGGTGCAGGCGACACGCAAGGAAGCTGAACTCGCCTTTTATTTATTCGTGGGTGTCTGTAGTGCAATAATGTTCAGTAACTGAACATTGAAGTAAATGTCCCGGTAGTTTGTCAACCCTGAGATGTGCATGAAACATTGTTCCCATCATTGGCCTGTATGTAGATGCAAACTTTCTCTGTGGAGTTCTTTCAGTTTTAATAAACTTGTTTCCAACTTGTTTTAAAATGAAGGTGGGGGGAGCATATTTTACCTGGTAAAATACTGATATGATAATTGATCAGTATTATAAGAGATTTGAAGGGAATTACAAACTGAAGAGCTCAAACTTGTGACATATGCAGAAAATGTATTAGTTTAAACTTAAAAAAAAAAACAACAACAAACCTTAATGCTTGTTATCATTTCAGTTTTCAGACTGGTGTTTGGAACAAGAATTATTCTTCTGTTTAGGGCCGTGATTTATAGGAGCTTTGCTGGAAACTAGCCAGGATAGCCTAGCAGGTTAGTTATATTTAAAAGTGCCTTATTGTAAGGTATTGTTTGCTCTGTAATACACACTTTTATCCATAAAGCCGTAACAAAATAATTGGGAGAATAATTTTTTTTTGCCCTCAGCAAATTACTAAGTAGCAGTTTCATGTTTTAAGAAGGGTAAGTAAAGTTAGCCAGAGATTTATCAAATGTTTCAAATTATAAAATGTCTTTATATGGAATCATAAATCTACAAAGCAAGAACTGTTTTTTCTAGAACTGTGGGAATTATTTTATGGTATTTTTCACAATAAAGATATTTATGATGACAAGAAAGCATAGCTGTGCATTTGTCTTCCCTTCTTTCCTCATGCTGCTCTTCAGGTTTGAAGCTGGAGCTGTGCAGGACTGCACAGGGCACTTCTGCAGGTGGGGGACAGGAAGAGAAGGAAGCAGCCACATTCTGTGTGGAGGAGAACCTTGTATAGAAGTTAACTGCAGCACCTATAGAAGCTCTGTTGAGTGCTGATTTCACAGTGAGAACATCCAGCCCTTGGAATATCCCCAGGAAATGCTGGATTCCCCAGTGTTGGAACAGTAAGATTTGCCTGATAGGGTGCTGAGCCATCTTGCCTGGACTGTGCTTTTGCCAAAGAAGGCTGGACCAGGTGATTCTTGAGGTCTTTTCCAATCTGGTATCCTGTGATTCCATGAAATCTCAGACTGAAGGCAAGTACTTGATTCAGGGAATGGGTTAAAAGGAACATTACTGAGAAATATTTTTAATACTAAATAAAGCTCTGGCTCATCAACAATACTGCACTAATGCCTGGTTTGTTCATTTTCTGTTAAACTTACCACCTGATCTCAAGATCAAGACATAGAAAAGACACTGTCATAGGAATATAAATTGTAAAACCCTTTCATTTGAATAGTTCAAATATTCTTTTGCTTATTTCCTGAGTTGTGCCATGTTTTGGCAACACTCTAAAGCAGCATGTGTTTTCATCCCTTTCACAGGGCAGAGCACAAAGACTGGAAATAAAAAACAATCTCTCTCTGCACCTCTACTTCTCACCTCACAGCAGATGCCTTGATTTGAACACTGCTATTGCTTCCCTGCAAAAACACTTTAGAGGAAAGGCAGTTGAGGACTTGCTGCCATTTTTTTTCTTTGGCTCTATTAGCCAAGTAGGGAATGGTAATTGTGTAATACAAAAAGGGAGAGCAGAAAATAATCCATCTTTGTTTCTCCAGAGGAACCTTTTAATACTTTGTACAACATACACAATCCATGGATTTAGGATTAAGGCATGCTAATGACTCAAAGTGCTGCCTTAAAGAGATCTTTAAAAAGCAGTGAATATGTTTGTGGGACCTTTCTTATTTTATTTTATTATTATTTTATAAACCATTGTATATTAAAAAAAGCTTTCTTTGAAACTAGTATTTTGCAGGGAAAAAAAACCAACTAGAACATTTTGTACAAATATAGAAAACACTAGAAAATAGCATGAAACCTTTTACATCTTCAAAATTATCTCCAGCAAATTACATTTATAAAATTATATTCTAATCATTTAAGCAATCTCAAGGAAATAGTATTTAAAGAACCATTTCTTTTTTTAAAGCCAGTAGAGGTAAACCAATTTTAAAAAGAACAGGATGCTACAAAGAAAATGAACATGAAATCAGTGCATGAATTATCCACTTTTTATATTGCAGAACATGCTCACATAGATAATCATAATTAAAGAGAACTAAGGTTTCTTAAAAAACCTTTAACTTCTCTCCTAAAGCAAGTTTTCCAATATATGCTTCAAGCTTGGAATACCAAGGCAGATCCGTGTGAAATGCTGCTGCAGAGTCAGGCAGTAGCATGGAAGTATAAATCTGAAAAATATTTTGAAAATAAAATAAAATAATGCAGCAAACAGCTGAATAATGGTTCGGGGGTTTTTGTCCTCTGCTATGGCAAATCAGTTACTTCCTTGTTATGCAGGGAATTTTTAGTAATGGTGCATGATATCCCACAGTAATTAAGAGAACAAGCATAACAAAACAGCTCCTGCACTGAAATGGGTCAGACATAAAGGGAACTGACATTAGGCTTTACTGACTTTTGCTATTGGGTTGCACAGGAAATACTGCATTGGGTACTTCATAAAAAGGAAATCTCTCAACAGACTTTTAAAAACCTGTATGTGACATGCTAGAACTGTTCAAAATACATAAAGGTAAAACCACAGAGAATACAAAGAGCTGTAAAAAAATCTGCATGTCTCCCATTCCTTAGTAATATGGCTTGAAAAATATCAGCAACGTGATTTTAAATACTCGCTCTTACAGTAAGAAATGGTAAGTAACCAACAGCTGAGGACAATGACAGTGGATACAAAATCTGCTTCATTTCTCTAATTGCTTATTCAGTTATTTGCTGCTATGGAAAATAATGTGCAATCCTTGCTGATTCACCCACTTAGAGCTAATTACATGGTCTTGTGTAAATTCAAGCATTTAAACTGGAAGGCTTCCTATAAGAAAGTGTGGTCTCATGCAATCCTATTTTGAAACTAGCACAGCCTGAACAACAGGGTGTGTATTTAAGGCACTAGGTTTCACTTTGAGACACAAATTCCCCATTTTCAAGTATGTGTATTTTAAGAACTGTTCCCTGCAATTTCTGTGGGATCAAAATGTCAGTATCCCATTAAAGCAACAGTTTTGTGAGTACAGGTTTAGAAAATTACAGGAGACACCACTGATAGTCAAAAAATACTCATGTATTTTATTATTTTCAGTTATAAACAGAATGATGATAATCAAAAGTGAGTAGAAGCAGCTTTCAGGTACTGACCTTCTGATACAATGTATGCTGGTCAGAAAATCACCTCAACCAAAACCATAATGGAATTTTATCACACACTATTTAAGTGGCCAAAAGCAGCCTAAGAATCAAAAATTAATTTTAAAAATCTCTAAGAGTGCAGAAATCCTGCATAATAAATGAAGACTGTCATTCCTTGCTTTAGCTTCCACGTGGAGTTATCTTTGTATGGTCTAAATTAGACATATTTTATGAAGTTCTTTATTGTGACCACAGCATTTCTTGAGTGACAAAACTATGGGCATATAATCAAAATTTCTGATATTTAAATACAGTAGCCTAATGCATGGAATATGCACAAAACAGTTTTCAAGTACATATTTAATGTGTGCGTCCTCCCCTGGACTGACAATGCTGAACACATCTGCCTTTATATTCCAAAGTCCTCTGGGCAAACTGTACTTTAGAGAAGGAAAAGAAAAACAAAGCCATTGGGAAAGTTGCTCCATGCCACTTAAAAAACCCCAAACCCCCAAGTACCTGTGGATTTCTCATTTTTGTATTGCATTTAAAATGTTTTAAATAACACTTTAAGTTATAAAATATTTGACTTCACATTAAAGAATGCTGCAAATAGTGCCAATGTAACAGCTGTAAATTCTGTTCAGTCCTTCCCAGAAGACTCTGGAGCTGTCACCATTGCTGGTCATGGGCTGTGCTAAAGTTCATCATGCTTGAGCCCTGGAGCCAAAGGGAAAAATACACAAAAGAGTTACACACAGACAGTGCCTGGGTTTGTAAGATGTGGAGAAAGCCTTTTACTTTCCATTTCCTGCTAATCAGTCTGTTCAGGAACATGAACTTCATTTTTGGAGCCTTGCTACAAGCTGACCAAAAGCTTTCACAAAGAATAAAACCCACTAAGAATTCTTTAAAAGGAAAAGTGTATTTGTTCCTCCACTCAAGACTTATAAATATTTATCTGCTCATTTTTTCTTCAACCTTGAGTGCTCAGATCATCTTTTCATTTTGTTTTACATTAGTCCAAGAAGTCTTACTGGGAGTCCTGCATATGCGTTTGTGCCTTTTTTTTTTGCTTTTGGGTTTTGTTTGTCTGGGGCTTTCATGTTATTTAATTACTTAGTTGAAAACAATTTTAGTTAAAAAAAAAAGCCAAACAAAACAACAACAACAAAAACCCCCAACCAAACAAAAAACCAAACCTTAACCCCAAACTAACTAAAATAGAATTTAGTGCAAAAAGGCTTGGATAGATAAACCTAGAGAGAGAGAGATACAGAGGCAAATTAATACTCAGTCCCCAACTGCTTAATAGACATGAGCTTTAGATTATCCAAGTGAAGTCTAAGCTAATGTACTTTACTTAATATTTGTGGCCAAAATAATGTGACTGTTGGTTGTGCTTGAGGTGCAGGAACAGGACCACTGAGCTTTCTCTTAGATTCTGGCATGAAACAAGAGGGTTTGCTGTCAGTGTAACTCCTGTGGAAAGAAGCATCACACAACTGTCAAACCCCACACCATTTCTCTAACAACAAGGGAAATTACACAAATACAAGATTTGTACCTACTGACCCCAATCTTAATTTCAACTAGACTGATATTTTATTTTTAAAAGCTAACAGCTGAATATGCATCTAAATTACCTTTTTGAAATAATGATGTTAGATTTTTCTTCTCTCTTTCAATTTGCTGTATTAAGTTTCGGATCTCAGAGTCATAATCGACCCATTCAGGGACTATCCGGGCAGCAGCCTTTAGTTTTGGTTCTTTGGTTTGGGGGTTGTTGCACTGAAAGGTTAAAACATATTAGATGTGAACAAAGCCAATGTGAAAATAACACCTTTTCAGAGAATTTAGCTCAAATGAATTGTAAATACTTTTCTTTTTGCTGACTGTCAGCATAGCACAGACATGGCTGGCACAACACTACTAAAATTTAGACAAAGTTGCCCAGGAGATGCAAGATTGACATTGGCACATTGAAACTGAACCTGATGTGGGTTTTGAACAGAGAGCACCTGTCTTCAAAGCACAAACAAACTCATTCTAACAACTGTAAAGACACAAAGAAAACTATTTGCATACTGAAAAATCACACCAAGTTCCAACTGTCAGTTTTCCTTTCAAATTATAGCTAAAGCATCAGAAATAGTGTATGTGTGTTGTCAAAAAATCTAAATGGGGAAAAATGGGATGGGGATAATAATGACAGGAAAAAGATTTTTGTCTCTTTCTATTCCCAAAGAAAGAAACTTTCTTCTTCCTAAACATGGATAGTGTCCTGAGCATTATGCTTTTAAAACTCTGCTTTATCTCCTGTTTATAGCAATGAAACAGACCAAGAAAACCATGACAATGTTAAGGTTTTGGAGGAACCTTCTTTGTGGGGAGAACAAGAGCAGCCCATAGTGCCCAGACAGGTAACAGCACTTTGTCACAGTTCCAGTAACTTGGCTGACTATGGAAAAATTATAAGGAAAATACTTGTATGGGCATGAAAAGCCTCAATCCCATCTGGTTAAGAGATAACACTGAATTTTTTGGTACAGATTTCAGCTTTAATGTAAGCAGATTTGGTAGAGAGCAAGTGGGAGAGGTCTCTGGAGAAAATGTTTCAGGGGAAAGGATGCAATGTTGCAGGGCCTTCCAGCAAGGCTGGCTTCATGACATGAAACACATTCAACCTGAAATGCCTCAGAAATCACAGCAAAATTTTTCATCTGTACAACTCATCTAAATCAGGATCAACTCACCAGGTCTATTGTTTTAGCCTTTTTCTTGGATTTATCATCACACCAGGTTTCACACCAAAGCCACTCCTGAGGGAGAGACTTAATGGCTACTTGATGAATCATGTTATTGGGAAGATCCTGTACAAATTTTGTAAAATTATAAATTAGCATTGAATAGAAACCAGCTTTCCATTCCTTGAAAAAAAAAACAACAACCCTGACTCAAAAAACA